CTGTTGTCTTCTGCAAGTTGACGAGCATCTCATTGAGGACGGCGAACTCATCGAACGGCAGCTTCCGGCTGAAGACGGTCTCGGGCTCCTCACGGCCCTGGATAAGACGTCTCTTCAGGGTCTGGACGAAAGGCATAGCCTTCTTCATCTCACCCATCTTGCCGACCTTAGCGTTCAGCTCCTTGTCGTTGATGGACAGGTTGAGACCATCGAAGGCCTCGCGAACCAGATCGATGTACTTCTCCTGCCACGAGGGGTACTTTCTGGCGGCGTAGATTGTGAGCTTCTTGGGCTGACGGGGATCGTAGCCGGTGCTCTTGCCCTTGGAAGCCTTCTTGGCGAGCTGAGCCTCAGCAGAGGTGATGCTAGAGGACGTGGCCCGGACATAGGTGCTGATGGCTGTCAGCTCCGGTGATTGCTCGGGAACTTCAGGGAAACGAGCGTGGTGAATAGATTCGGGCTGTATCGTAGGTGACGTTAGTGTTATGCTCTTTCAATGGTATCGAAAATCACTAACCTTCTTCAGGATTTCGAGCCAAACGTATTCAGCCCAGTGGGGAGCAATGACAGCCAGCATGAGGGCTTGCAGCTCGATGTAGCGCAGGACCACATCACGGTGCATTCCAACACCGGCTGATGTTGCGGACTCACGGTAGGCATCACGGGCGCTCACCATGTCGTATAGACCAGACTTCAGGGCGAGCTTAAAGTCGGTGCTATAGTGATGTTAATACTTGTTTATCATGGGGCGTAAGGGGAGGGAAATGATGTCTTGTAGCTTACTCTTGGTAGTGCTTCTGGGTCTCACGAACCAAACCGTTCATCTCGTTGTTGAAGATCTTATCCCAGAATGCATCAGCGGGACCAGTGCGCAGAGTCTCATCCTTGGAAATCTCCTCAACCCATTCCTTGAGGGTGTGCAGTCTCAGAATGTTACTGTTAGCGACAGTCTCGTCGAAGTTAGCGTCCTCGATACCATCACCAGCATCAGCGAACGCAATACGGGTAGCGTCAGCACCGAATTTGTCAACACTGTCCTTCAGTGTAAGGAAGTTACCAGTACTCTTGCTCATCTTCTCACCGTTAAGAAGCAAGTGTCCGTTTGCACGAACACCGCGAGGCCAGTATTCTGGTGGGAAGAGCGCAACGTGGATGTAAAGGAAGAAGGTCAAGTGGTTCTGGATGAGGTCCTTTCCGGAAACTCTGACATCCAATGGGTACCAGTACTCGAATTCTCTGCGCATCTGCTGCAAAGCCTCCTTGCTAATTCCGCTCTTTGAGATCAGCTCGTCGCTGAGCTCGCGTCTTGTGAATACGTAGTCCCAGACCTCGTCGATCATCTGCTCAGCCTTCACGTTCAAGGGGCCGTGAGTCTGACCGTAGCGGTCACCGTGCAGCAAGTGGGCAATGGTGTAGTAGGCCATGTAGACAGTGCTGTCACTCAAACTCTCAACGAGGAACTGAGGATCCCATGGCAGCTTAGAGCCCAAACCATAGGTTCTCGCGCAAGCCCAGCGGTTGAGCCAGTCAAGGTTCTTCTCGAAGCCGTGCTTGGTCTCGTTGGTGTATGTGTTGAGGGTGTTCACGACGTGGTCCAGTGTGTCCTTTTGCCACTTGGAGTCGTTCTCTCCGTAGTTCAGGAACCATTGACCGAGGTACGCAACCACACAGTCATCTCCACTTCTGCTGACGACCTCTCCCATGGGATCGGCAAAGGGAAAAGCATCACCGCTCTCGTAAAGAGACTTACGGATCTTGTCCTTAGCAGCGCTGACAGGCTCACCCTTGAATTCACCAACAACCATAGTACCCTTGTAGAAGGCTTCACCGTATGCCAACTCCTTCGCCTTTGCCAGCTGGGTGACATCCTTAGGAGAGTTGATCTTCAGCTGCTTAACAAGGGTAGGGGCAGTAAGGTTACCGTAAGTTGGAGTTTCAATAAGGGGGAAGATCTCCAGCTCGGCCCACTCCTTCTTGATACCATAGTAATCGGGCTTCTTGGCGAGGTCAGCCAAAGTAGCATAATCGTCAGGGCTGTCAGATGGCACGGAGGTGACGACACCAGTACCCTTGCTGGCAGAAACGCCCTCCATGGGCAGAATTCGCACACCCTCGGTGTGGAACGAGAGTGGAGCGTTAACAAGAGTGCCAACGTAGGCGGATCCTGGAGCCTCCGCGACAAGCGGCAACTGATCCTGAGATTTGGGGAAGTTGTCACTGCTGAAGAAAGTGCCCTGGAAAGCCATGTTCCATGCAGCCCGCTTTGTGCAAACATAGTATTCCTTCTCCTTCACCTTGAAGATACCATAGTTGATCTTAGGGCCGAGGAAGCAGCAGGTCTGACCGTACATCGTCTCTGGGCGCAGAGTAGCAGGGACAAAGTAAACACTGGCATCCTCTTCGATCTTGCCCTTGACGATCTCGGCAATCTGTGGGGCCCATTCCTTCACCTTCAGCTTCATAGCGGTATATTCCTGGGGTCCGACACCTTCACCCTTGGTCCGGTCGTGGTCCATGCAAGGCTGTCCGTCCTTGGGAGAATAGATAGTGTACCGGCTACCGTACTGGATCTTACCTAGTTCATGGAGACGGTTCATCTGCCAGCGCACAAAGGCATCGTAGTAGGGGTTCGCATCAGTGGTGACCATCTGACGGCGCCAGTCAATTCTTGCGCCAAGGCTGTCCAGATCACGGATGGCCAGGGGAGGGAAGTGGTGCAGCCAGTAACCAGCGTCAGCGAACTTGTGGATTTCCTCCAAGGGGATACCGATCGCCAACATGATCTGGAACTGGTACTTCATCTTCACAGTCTTGGAGGCGGCCTTGCTCTTCTTTCCGGAAAACTTCTCTTGTTGTTCGTTCTTGACCTCCTGGGTGGGGGCGGCAGGGGCCTTCTCCTCCTCCTCATCCTCTTCCTTATAGCCCTCGAAGTTCTGTCCAAATTTCTTGACTTCATCGGAAAGCTTATCCGCGCAGGCCTTGATAGGCATACCGGTGCAGTGAAATCCCAGAGGGAAAAGAGCCCTCTTACCCTCCATGCGGGCAACACCGGCCATGAACTCGACCTTACTGGCAGTGAAACTGTGGCCTGCGTGCAAGGTACCGTTCATGTAAGGGTAAGCCATGGTTCCGAAGAACTTGGGATACTTCTCACGGAGCTCCGCGGCGGACATGGTGCCCTCAGGAACCTCCGCGAAGGAGGGGGCATCGACCTCGAAAACCTTGTTCTCCTTCCATTGCGCCTGGTATTTCTTCTCGATGGCGATAAGGGTATCTCTCTTCTCGGTCTATTTCGGGATCCACCAATTAGCACCGTCTGGACAAAGAAAGCTGGGGGAGGAGGGGTAGGATATAGAACATTTTCGAGCTTGAGTGTGTTTTTCGCGCCGTTGCTCGGGTCGAGCGCAGCTGCGGATGCAGCAGCGGCTGCCATGGCTCTTAATGAATGGTTTGCTGTACTGCAAACTCAACTGAAGAGCCCTGAACGGGAGTGGATCAAAATGGTTTATATGACTCTGCCGCGGGGTAAGACTTTATCGATGTTCTGAGTCAAAAGATTATGTGGGAATCGGACCCCGGCAGTACACTTCTCACCGCCTGCCTCATTCATCGGACAAACAGTACTACATGTCTTTTCTTATCATTCTACCATGAGTCAAGATTGGAAAATGTGTTCATCTTTGTAGATGGCTCATAAGGCGGATTACTAATTAGAGATTAAAATAGATTATTGTTCGATAAGAAACACATTGAATGGCGAGCGCGTCAGCAATTTGTGCGAGAACAAAGCCAGATGTCTAGTCACATGACCACGTATCGGACCGTCTCAATCTTTCCGCCGACAGGCCAAAAATCGAGATGAGCTCCGAGCAGCACTCCATCCAATTCCGCTCGGGACTGTTGCAGCTGATCGATACCCCGGGTCGGCTAACTTTTGCAATCTTCAAAAAGTCCACTTTTCCATTGTTGCTTCAAAGTTAAAGCGTGTTGCGCCTTCCCCGTCATCATGGTGAACGTCTTCAAGCGGATGCGGAAGCTGAAAACCGTAAGTTGGCCAACACCATTGCTTGCATCTAAATGAATGTCAAAGACTGACTCGAGGTTTTTAACCAATTGCAGAAGGTAATGCTCCCAATAAACAAATCCCCACACCTCTGCCATTGCCCCAACTTTTTGGCAAGATCGCGGCGGCATCGAACGCTCAAGTCTATTTTGGGACGACAACAACAGGGGAGTCCCGTTGATATCAAAAGCGCATGAACTAACTAGTTTATTCAACAGATCCTCAACGTACGCGTAGGAACCGGTGCCGCCACTCTTCCCTCTGTTACCTCTGCGACCCAAGAATTTCCCGCAATCACCCGTCTCCACCTCACATACGCTCAGAAGATCTATGGCGGCCACCAAGGCGCACGACATTTCTGGCGCAACTGTCTTCCCCGGCTCAAGTACCACAACCCAGGTCTCCGAATGACAGTGAAGCAAACACAAGAACAAGAGGGACCGGCAGCCTTGACGATATACTTCGCAGAGCGGGCGAGCAATGCCGCTTCCTTGACCGCGGCGAAGATCGAAGACAAACATGCCCCGGCGCCGGAGCCTACAGAGAAGACGGCCATTCTGGATCTGAAGAACCTCGATCATAAGGAGATTTGGAATAAAGTTAAGATGATGACCGGGGCCCAGGACGTGCCTGCTACCCCCGAGGAGGAGGCAGAGCTACAGAAATTGGAGCAAATGCGTCAACAATCGGAGAAGGACCGGGTGCGGCTGGCCACTATACGCCAGGCCAAGAAGGACCAAGAGCGGATGTTACAAGAGGCTCGGGGAGAAATCGAGAAGCTGAAGCAACTTTAGGTCTGGTAGAAGACTGTTTGGGGTTTGCGGGAAGACGCTGGGCATGATCAACTGTAGCATAGCCATTTTTCTTTTTTTTTATTTTCTTTTAGAATATGTAGTTCTAGGTGTCTCTTGTGTTAAATAATGGCTTAACTTTCCCCTGTGATCTTGAGGGATAGATACATCGTCAGGATATCATCAAAGCAAAGACAAAACAACGAGCCTTTATATATATCGGGCTCATTGTGTACAGCCAAGTACAAAAAATAAGTCACACCAGAAACATAACTTTCCTACCCCAAACCCTACATTTTCTCCATATTCAAATGTCACACTCATAAGTAGTAGGTCAACATACAATACCCGTACGCGAGCCATTCTCAAACATTCCTAAACTCCTTAATAACCACAAAGCGAGCGGTACATCTCAATTTAAGCATGATCTGGCGTATAGCTCGTCTCGCCCAGCATGCTCTGGCCGGCTGATACAGTCGGTGTTGCAGTCTGGGTTTGGCTTGAACCTTGCTGATTCAGTGGAGACGGGGAATGCGCTCTTCCGGCAGCAGCAGCTTGAAGTCTCTGATCCAATGCCTTGAGAGCCAATGCTCGTCTCCGCTCCGCCTCTTCACGCTTAGCTGCACCCCTCATTCCTCCTCTCTGGTTGTTAAGAAGAGTGGGAAGACCGGCCTCCCCTCTCGCAAGAACTTGTTGGTTGCCCGATGCAATATCTTCATCCGAGAACGGGGTGCAAATCTTCAATGCGACGAGCAAAGAGTAAATTTGTTCCGAGACAAACGAAATTGGAGGCTGGATTGCGTCTGGGAAGAGACATGCGAATGCAAACGTCTCACTTGCGTCTCCCTTAAAGCCTAAACCGTCGGTAGATGTACCTGTTAAATCCGGCTGCCGTTTAAAGAACCGAAGGTAGGTCCAACTAGTCAATAGGCCGAGCCAGGAGAGTATCGCCGCCACGTGTGTTCCAATTACTATGCCACTGATCGTGGTTAGCAATAGGAAAAGCGCCGGGAAATGCTTCACCCGCATCTTCACTAGGCCTTTGAATATAGTCACAGTATGCTCGGGAACAAGTTGTTTGAAAGCCACAAGGAAGGAGGCTTGGATCGATATGCCACCACATATTTGGGTTACGCTTGGAGACGGGGAGTCAGTAGGGAAGGCGCAAGAGGTTGTGCATTCGGTATCGGAAAGCAAGGCATACCCGCTGGTCGAACCACCCCTGATGGTAGTTCCTAAGAGATAAATGGGAACAATCGTCACATTCGGAATCACCGCGATGGTCAGAATGAATTTCGCAAACTCTCGGGAACCCCAAGCGCGCTCTAGGTACTTGCCCCCATAGAACAGGGTGGCGCCGTTCAAGAGAACCGTAAAGATATTCTGCTCCACGAAAGTCGCGGTAAGAAATGTCCAGGGGTAATAAAAGAACTCGGTTGGGACGAGTGTCAGATAGGGCACAACTGGCGTGGTCAAGGGATGCCCCCCCGTGGCATCAATTTGTCGCCATCGGGCGATATTGTACAGGAGGGAGAGGGTGAGCAGGCTGATGAGACAGGTACGGGTCGCAGGAGGGATATTGACTCGGAGCGCCATTGTGAGAAACGAGCTCTTGCGGCTGCTGGTGTGCACGCAGGCCGCAGGCTGTCGACAAAACCCGACTAGGGGAATTAAGTGTCAAAAGTTGGTGTTGATCACTGGCTGTTTGGAGTGGATTTCGGGCCAAGCAGCACTTCCGCCTTTGGTTTGGTTCGTTAATAGGCTCTGATCGATCGTCTCCATTTGATTGGACACCCTATTTTGAACACCCGCCCGGGGAAATAACAAAGGTGACCACCTGAGGCACCACCCGAGACTCGAGCCTTGGCGCCTAAGGTGTACTTTTCCAACGACCGAGGTACAGGGGTCTGTGTGTGTATGTACATGTCGAGGTGCTAATCTATCAAGGCGCTAAACAAGGAAACATTCCAAATCATGTTGCTTTAAAGTTTTAAACAGTAAAACTCCCTTCTGACATACTCCAACCGCTTTGCTTCAGAGCGGCTATCAGCTCATCTCTGACCATCTCGGTCTGCTGACAAGGATTCTTGGCAAGGCTAAGACTTGTGGCTCTGAAACCGTGTATTTCATGAAATCGGTACCGGGCAGGGGAAGAAATAGATGTCATCATCAAGGCGCAACCCACTTCAAGTTGCTCCGTGGATGGCCACAGTGAAGTTTCGTGATTGATGGCTTAACCAAAGGTCTCTTTGAATTTCAACGGTTACGACCTCCGCTTGTCACTACAAATGGTTACCGCAGAAGATTTGAAATTTGACTCCTCGAATGAGAGCTATTTCTATCCTTTCTGGAAATCCAGATCTACGGAACGAGCTCCCTCCTTCCTCTTTCAGTCCGATAGGCCCTCAAGGCATAATTAATCAGGCAAGTCAGAAAAGATGCAATGTGGTACCTAAAGGGTGGCACAGCCGATTACCATGTGGCTGAAAAGTGATAAATTGACATTGGAAGCGCAGAATGGGAAAGAAAGGAATGGGTCTCCGTCTGTTGAACGTATCCGTCGTATGCCGCCCTAGAGGTCAAAGTGAATTAAAGGACAACCAGGAATTTTAGAAGAACCCGATCTTCATTAGTCATCGAATCAAATCCGTTTTATTAAAGTAACTCCTAGGATCTGACAGTTGTGCTAATTTTCCTAGTAGTAATTACTTATATTTAGGTGTACATTCACCATTCAATATGGCTATTGTGGGTAATATAATTAGTATTGTTAGTTGTCCATGTAATTTCAGGTCAGTCCAATACTAAGCGCTTGGAAGAACGTTCCCCGTTTATTTTATTTTATTTTACTTTTTTTACTTTTTTGGTGGTGCAATTAAAGCGGAGGATAATATGAAAATAAAGAGGTGAAAAAAAAAAAAAAAAACTTTCCTAAGGAAATAGAAATAGGTTGTCCACAAAGTAGGTACACTACTAGTACTACTGCGTGGCCCTGTGTAAATCACACTGTAATCGACCCGCAAAACGCTAGGTCCCGAAGCAGACAAGCGCACTGGCCGATCATTTGCCCGTCAGAACCACCCAAGGGGACCGGTGGATTTCCCAACTGCACGCTAAGTCGTGGGCCGGACGCCACAACGAGTCAAGCCAAAAGTCCAGGTCGCAAAGTCAAAATCGGGTTTGACTGCAAGAGTGACTGGCAAAGGGTGCCGGCGTCCTCTGAAACAACGTCCCAGAGCCGCCTGGAGAAATTCCACTGAGCTTTTCTTTTCTTTTTCTTTTCTTTTTTTTTTTCCCACTCTCTAAACTCAACTTAGCTTGTTGGTTCGAGATTTGAAGACTACTACCTCACTTCTTCCTCTTTCATTTCTTTTCTCCCCTGCTTGCAGTCACGACAACCATCAAGCCAATCTACCTGTACCTTATTATTACCCTGCAGAAGTGGTGGTGATCATCATTCCTTGACACGCTTGCCCTGTTCCTTTATTATTATTATTATTATTTTTAATTACCTTTTATTTTATTTTTTTTCTCCCACTTCCTTTTCGTCGTCCCCATTCTGGGAGTCCAGCCCTCCAGTTTGTCCACCCCTCTCCCGTAACCGTACTGGTACAGCTCCAACCATTGCAGTTCGCTAGCGGGTCTGCTATCTCAAGCCACACGTTGGTGTCGATTTCGACCCGTCTCGATATTCATTCTTCACTTTCTCTTTCCGACTCTTGCGACCTCTTTTCCACAACCCCCTTGTTTAACGCTGCTCAAGGGTCTCATTAGAACCCTCATCAACCCTCTACCCTTTAATTGATGATCTTACCCCCCGGCATTTGCATTCCACCTTAACTCTCTACATTATATCCCATCCCCTTCAACTACGGTTTTCCCTGTCACGCCTTGGCTGCGTCCGGCCCAGCTTTTGGCAATCACGCTCTTTCCGACGCCGAACTGGAACTTCCCGTCATTCGTCCTGGTGGTTTAAAGAGAGAAATTTGTTTTATCAGCAGACAGGTTCCTTCGGTTTACACGGTCTAATCTCGCCTATATCTCGGGTTTCTCGCATCTCTCAAATTCTCGATCACCCACCGTTATCCTTCTGCAATCTGTTCAGCGGAGGTTTCTGTTATTATTCCTGGCATGCTAGCGGATCCTCCACCTTACTAGCTGTCATACATGTAACAATGTCACATCCTGATCTTACGTCGCATCATGTCAACTACCTAATCTGGAGGTACGTTCTAATTCAAGGTTCTCTGCCGACATCCGAGTTCAAAACCTCTGATAGCTCATGATAACCCCCCCTGATGTCTATTTTCTTCGTACATGTCACTGACTTTTAGTCCCTAGGTATCTTCAAGAATCAGGTTGGTTTCAACCCCCTTTTTATTCAATCTTAATTCTCTTTTTGTACTTTTATTTTTTATATTATTTCCCCCCTCTTCTTACGCGTTTCCCTGTATCCTCGCTTGACAGGACTTGAGGTATCCTCAAACTCCAAGATTCTCATCTAACCTACATCGCAGGTCACGGTGAAGCTGCAGTAACACTGCAGCGCGCATGGAATCATGACCCACAGAGCTTACCTTTCGCTCCTTATATAAAAACTCATGCGTTGGTGTCTTTGGTTCAAAAGGGTCTCCAATACCACGAGCTCGAACAGTCACTCGATAAGGCACGTTACCTTACTCTACCGGATCTAATGTTTTTGTTTTCCGGTCGACTCTTTTTCTTTCTCTTCAATTAGTGTCTTCGAAGAATATCTGTTTATCAATGACTAATGAGTTCTACAGGATGGGAATCCAAGGCCCTTTTCACCTTCAGATTATTTCTTTGGACCAGCGGTGCTGGAAGCGGAACCGCGGAAAAGTCAGGGTGGCCCGGGTGAAAATGGCACAGACCAGGCACCTGTCTCGCCCACGAGTAAAGTCGCGCGCGACAGCGTGATCAACGGTCACTTGACAGGCGAACCTGCGGCACCTCAAGTTGTCCCCAATGCTAAGAAAACCCGTAAGAGTGACCGCGCAGAGACCAACGGGGACGAAATTCCCATGGAAATTGATTCAAATGGTGTTGCAAATGAGACGAAATCCGCTGGAGCTGCATCACCATCCTTGGCCGACACTGCTGTGGATGGGGACGGGGACGTGAGCATGGGCATGCGACCGGACTCGCAAGACCAGGAACCAACCGCGGCGCCGACCTTCACCTTGACCAACGGCCACAGTGTTGGCGTCCAGATCACACCCGCCAAGGCTGCCGACCTTAGTCCCAATACCGCCCTCTTGAATGTGGCTGATGGCTGTCACGTGACCCGCGCATTGTGGCGTCCAAACGACTCCACCGTTGTCGTTGCAGTCGGCGAGACGTTTTGCAGTCTATGGAAGATGCCGTCATCTGCGAGTCCAGTGCAAGAGAAACTTGTGGAGGGTAAGGGTGATAATATCTGCGTCTCTGCGGTCGCCTGGGACCCTACGGGTCAGAAGTTGGCCGTAGCCACATACAACGACATGAGAGGGTCTATCACTATGTATGATGTCGCTGGAAATGCTGTTGACCTCCTGCCCGAAGTACCTAGAATGATCACTGGATTGCATTGGACCGAGAGCGGCACCCATCTAATTGTCGTGGCATCAGATAGTAAAGTCTCCGAGCTGGCTCTCTGGGATGATTCATTGCGACCGGACGAGTTCCCCTCTCCACAGGTAATCGATGGATCAATCTATGACCTCAGTTGGCTTGGACGCAATGAAGCATACGCTTCAGGTAACGGAACGGTCTACCAATGCGGTGTCGATTCGAGTATCCACATCTCCAAGACATTTACCAGTGAAACCGATAGACCTTGGACATTTATTCGTTCCGCAAATGTCAATTCCTCCTCGGTAGCAGTGGCTGCATCGTCTGCTGCAGCTGCGTTCTGGATTCCGACACACGACATGCACCTCGATGGTGCACATGAAGGGGACATCACGGCAATAGAGCTTAAGCCAAACACACTAGAGCAACCACAAGCGAACCATCCGTTGGTTCTAGCCTCCTCATCTACTGATGATACAGTTAAAGTATGGCATATTGATCTGGACGCAAAACGATTTGATTGCATCCATCGTCTGTTCCTCGGTCCATCTTCACCTGCCCTCGCCAGCAGTTTCTCTCCGGACGGGTATGCTCTGGCTGCTGCAAGCAAGGAGAAATTGTTCATCTGGAATTCACAGAGGGGTGGCACAGCAATGGCTACATGGTCCGTGCCGGGGACCGACGGAACAAAGATCGAAGAAGGACAAAACCACTTGGCCAATGGACACAATGGGAACGCCGAGCCAATACCAGACCGTTCTCTTGCATGGGACAGTGATGGTAAACGACTCGCTTTTGGCTTTGGCAAGCAGGTATGTTGTCTATCGTACCTAAGTGGAGATTAACAGACTTACTAAGATTGGGTAGTTGGCTATCATAAACATGCAAAGTTGAGACTTTGCGAACGGCGAATACGTGATGTTGGGCTCAGAACGCAGGAATATCTAACCACACCTTGATAATATTCTTATATGCGATCTTACAACCTTTCACTACATAATTTATGATATCCTCGTCGACGAATACAACCGACAAGTATACCTTAGCTTTCGCTCTTGGCCTTCTGGATCGTTTGCCACCAGACCGCCTAATCAACCTTCGCCCAGGTCATTCCTCCCATTTATGTGTGGCTAGGTGGAGCGCAAGGAATTGGATCAAAGTCGATCAACAGCTAGCAAGTAGCGCAACTTCAGGAGGTTCTTGTGGTGTTCTTTCTTCCTTCAACATTCTACTTCATTCGATAACCATGTGGTTATATGATACATATCGGCGCAGACTCGGTGTTTTCCAACAGAAAAGCAGTGAATTGCGGTTATAGTGGGTTGCGGTGGGCACATTGGCGCATTCTATTCTCTTAATTCTCAACTGTACCCTTGCTTCTTGGTCGGCATGATTACGGAATGTCAGAATCTTCCTTTGTCTTGGGCTTCGCATCGGTTCTTCGGCAAATTCTCGGTCTCAGTTTTCTTACGCCGGAGTCGCTTCCAGCCGAATTTAATCTCAGATCCGGCAACTCGGCGTTCTCAGATCATATGATGGTTTTATTATGTGTTATCCGCAAGGTCTGTGGCTAATCTAGTACGCCTTTGCCTTTCTTCCCTTCTCTCCTGCCGACCTCGTTCACGAACGCGGAAGCCTTCTTCGACATCTTTCCAGCCACGCATCCACGCCGTTATGCCCTCTACAAGTGCTTCGGTATCGGTCTCATAGCGCTCCTCGGGCTTACGCCGTATCCACCGCTTTGCTTTATTTTGTCGCGATGCCCCCGGTTTAGGTTCGTTCTGCCACCCGTTAACCCAGGCTTCGAGTCCGCGAACCGTACCGTGAAGTGCTTCACGTTCCGCTGAGCCTTCCATTATGTCTGTTTCCCTGCATCGAACAGAGTTATGCATTAGCCCAGGAATAAAGGTAGCGGATTTGGTTGATATTAACTTACAGCTCGTGGACCACGTTTTCGAGCTCCGATATCCTTCGCGACAACCCCTGGCTTTCACGCTTAAGGAGGTCATATATTTGGGATGATTCTTTGCGGCGTTGGTTCAAGTCGGCATTTAATGCTGTCACTTCGTTCAAAAGAGCCATGAGTTGCGAGCGCGAAGGCTCGAAGGCGGATGAAGCACGGTATTCCACCGGGGCAGAGCAGGAGGCTGCGGAAGCCACGGGGTATGAAGTTTCAGGGCAGGAACGTGTAGGTCGGCATTTGACGACTTCCTGAGTGAGTTTTGGTCGTGGGTCCAACAGGGCTTCCAGAGTGTTGAGGCAGTGGTGGGCCGTGGTCGTATCCTCACTTGACACGTCGGCGTTCTGCGAGACCATGTGTGCTAATTTCGCAAGCCGCTGTGGCAGAGGCGTTACGTCTTCATGGACATCCGAGGGAGAAGTAGGGCGCGACATATCCGTCTCCCAGGTGTGTTCCGGAAGGGAATGCGGAGGTGAAAGCTGATCCAAGCGAGCCGAGTACGGTGAACTCTCCATGACCGATTATTGTTTCCCTGTATATATGGTACCTTTTTCTCGTGCTATTTGGCCGTTCTATTGCATAGTGTGTAGATAAGTGAACGGATAGGAATGTTGATTTGCTGCAAGTATGTGTGGGTGCAGGACGTAGGGTAGTAGTATCTTCGGGGGTGTTTGGACGTATAGAAGAGCGTCAGAAAAATAGTAAATTATCGAATCTTCAAGGACAAGGGTAGTTGCGACTGAATGAGGCCAGTCATGTATTATCGGATCGCAGAAAATCAGTTCGTTCAAATTATATAGATTAGGTATGTCTTTATGTCAGTATAGGTATTATATGAGAGTGAGTGTTGCCCAAAATGCCTGTGCGCGACAAATCAGAATGAACCCAAATAAACTGCGAACGAGTGAACAAAGGCAAAAGGGAATCTTTTGTCATAATCCGAGAGGAAAGGCTGCAGAAAAAGACGGTCAGGTCATCAAATGCCAATTGATAATAATAATGCTAAGCCGGGAGACTATTCCGTATTGGGGCTCCATGGAAGAGCGCCGGCCAAAACGTTTCCTGATAAGTGATGGGAATTAGAAAAAAAAAGAAACGAAGACAGAGAGAGGAAACGAAAAAGAAACTTTGATATTTTGATTGATTTAAAACGAAGCCTATTCCAGACGGGCTCTTTTGCTTTCCTGCTTCTTTTTCAGTTGTGAGGGCCCGACCATCAAGTTGCCGCATTGATTTAATCTGATTTTAGCGATTTCGAATTGCGTTTATCTATCTCCGTTCTCTCCGACCAATTTCATTTCTACTCTTCCACCTCCCCGCATACGATCGACTCGGAGTTCATTGGCACTCCCAGATTTGATAGGATGGCGCCCCCTGTGAGTATCTCATCTTATTCATCACCTATTTTCTCTGCGTCCATCTTTTTTGTACCTCCCATTTGAATAGAACGAGCTTGTGCTGATACCGCCGAATGGTATGACTCAGATCACCGTTGTGCCGTCGCTTGAGACGGCAAAGGATGTAATTAGCCACTCAAAAGATGCCAAATATCCCCCGAACCTACTACCACTTACTGCATCTATCCCGGCCGACCTTTTGACGCCCACAGTGGCATATTTGAAGGTTGCCGAGAAGTGAGTTCCAAGTCCAGAGCCCCACGCGCCCTCTTGCCTATAGCGGGGCAGCTGATACGGCCAACTCTTGCGCAGATCCAAACTATCATTTCTTTACGAGAGTGCTGCAACCACGGAGACAATTGGGAGATATAGTTTTGTGGGAGCTGGTATGCATACTTTCCCATTTATGACCACCCGCTGGAGCTTCCATTAACCTGTGCATTTGCGACGCAATGAAGATCCCCGCAAAGTTCTCAAGACCGGCCCTGGCCACGGCCCCGAGTGCGATCCCCTTCCGATCCTGGAAAGGGAGATCGCTGAATATCGCGTTGCGACGGTACCCGGCTTGACGCTACCACCACTCACAGGTGGTGCTATTGGTTACGTCGGATACGACTGTGTGAAGTACTTTGAGCCCAAGACGGCCCGGCCTCTCAAGGATGTGCTCGGAATCCCAGAGTCGCTGTTCATGCTGTTTGATACCATTGTCGCCTTCGATCACTTTTACCAGGTCATCAAGATCATCACCTTCGTTCCTATCACGCATGTTGATTCGGATTTCGAAATCGAGTACCGGAAAGGCGAAGACGTGATCAAGCGCACTATCGAACGACTCCTCCGACCCGAAACCCCGCTACCTCCGCAAGGTCCGATCATTCCCAACCAGGAGTACACATCCAATATCGGGCGCGAGGGGTACGAGCGGCACGTGGTGAAGCTCAAGGAGCACATCTCCAAAGGCGATATCTTCCAAACCGTGCCATCGCAACGGCTGTCGCGTCCAACCTCCCTCCACCCATTCAACCTCTTCCGTCATCTGCGCACAGTCAACCCGTCGCCATATCTGTTCTACATCGATTGCGAAGATTTTCAGCTCGTTGGCGCTAGTCCGGAACTTTTGGCGAAGGAGGAAAAGGGTCGTATTATTACGCATCCCATCGCTGGCACCGTCAAGCGTGGCAAATCACCCGAGGAGGATGAGGCGCTCGCAGAGGAGCTACGGGGAAGCCTGAAGGACCGTGCGGAGCACGTCATGTTGGTGGATCTGGCACGTAACGATGTTAACCGCGTGTGTGACCCGACGACCACGCAGGTGGACCGGTTGATGGTGGTTGAGAAGTTCTCGCATGTGCAACACCTGGTATCGCAGGTATCGGGTATTCTGCGGCCGGATAAGACCCGGTTCGACGCGTTCCGGTCAATCTTCCCCGCCGGCACGGTCTCCGGGGCGCCCAAAGTGCGGGCTATGCAACTGATTGCCGAATTGGAGGGCGAGAAGCGTGGAGTGTATGCTGGCGCGGTGGGCTACTTCGGGTACAACATCGCCAGCACGGACGGAGCAACAGAAACGCCGGGTGCTATGGATACCTGCATTGCACTGAGGACGATGATGGTCAAGGACGGGGTGGCCTACCTCCAAGCGGGTGGTGGAATTGTCTTCGACTCGGACCCGTACGACGAGTATATGGAGACGATCAACAAACTGGGGGCCAACATTGCCTGCATCAAGGGGGCGGAAGCGAAGTATCTGAGCATGGAGAGCGAACAATCCTAGTCTCGATGCGATATTCCTGCTTTCGTTCGCTTCTTCGGATTCTTTTGTTCCTTTTTGTTGACTGGCATACTGGGAATTGAATGACGACTACGATCTAGACCGATGGAAAAATGAAATCCTTTACATAATATTTTCTCTTCGTTCCTTTACTTCCAACATCCCACATTCTGATCGTATCACAGGATGCTATGAGAATCCATATTGTAAGGGGTATTTACTGGTCAGACGAGGTAAGGAAACGTACAGACTGGCAGGGCTGAATTGACGAAGCAGTACTACAACGTTTCCGCACTAATCTATCGAATGCGAATAGGAGCTTGAGGACACCTCATTCTCGTCAGAGCTTCTCTGGGAAGAACTAGGCAAATGAGAGAGCGAAGTTTCACCCAAAGCTGCTGCACAATCATCTGATTAGGGTATGTGGTAGGAGTTGCCTCAATTGGACTCAATGCACCACTCATGTTGAAACCTATTGGTCATGGCTCATGGATATTCCACTGGTAAACAGAGTCGTTTCATGTTTCCCTTAATATAGGTGGTTGAGTATCCTCTTAAGGGGTAACAACGCCACAGCGTGCCCTTAAATATCACCTATCCAAGCCGACTATGGACCATAGCTAACTGAAAGAGGTCCTTGACCCGGGGTGATCCTGGATCTGCGATGTTCCTGTATCATCGAGAAGTTCGTTTTAGGCTCTCTAGACAAGCACTTGATGCTTTTCAAGCCCTTTCAGGTACGCAGACGCAGCCACAGCGATAGTTGTATGTGCTACCGTTGTCGCTACAGCCAAATTAATCACATTTGTTGGTTGGCAAAGCACCCAGTCTTGCAAAAGCGCCATATTCGTGTGCCAATTCTCTCGAGCAGCACCGGTCTTGAGAAGAATTTTCTAATTCCGCCCCCTCCACCGCAGCCTTAACCTTTGTAGCAAGCACACTCGCTTGTCCGATCCCGATTCACGCCGTTGTCCTCACAACTTGTGCGCCTCATGGTATCTATCGCTAAGGGCTGAAGTTCACGATAGGCTCAGATGAGGCATATACCATGACGTTAAGCAGCAAGCCACCGTCGGCGACTAGATGATTCTGGAGCCTCACCGCGTACAACCCCAGAAGTTCCTCATTGACAATCCGCTCGGCGTGGGGATCAGACTGATTCAACCTACCCGGATGGGACCCCTGTTTATGGGGATCGACGCAGCAATGGTGATGGTAGTTTTTCAGGTTCTGACCCAACCTACGGATAAGCAGCCGTGGGCGAATTGGATGTCGAAGTGAGTTCTGCTTGCCTTCTAGGTCATTTTTCGGTCGTTCTGAAAACGGACTTGCCTAGCTGGCGGAGGAATTTTCAGCTTGCATGTAAGTTAGTCTCTGTCATCTTCTACAAGAGTGACCTAGATAGCATCACACAGTGAGAGTATTCCAGATGCAGAAGCAGAAAGCCATAGGTTTGACTGCCGAATAGACATAATAGACAGCGCGAGTTCGGTCTACGATAGCCATGACAAGAAGATTATTATATACCGGAATCACGGGAAGCTCGTAAGGTAGCATTACCCTGGTGGCTGGACCAATAACAAACCAGTTGTAGTATCGGATGAACGAGTACGAGTGTCCAATAAATTAAATGGATGTACTGATTAAGAACACTGCTGCCTAAGCGGTACCGATTAGGCCCCCATCCTTATTTCTTGAAAAGATGTAGAAATTCCGTGGAGAAAAGTAGGTTTAATTCCTTGGTCGAACCATCAAATATAGAAGGGTGGGAAATTTTAAAATCTAAAATTTTTTTATTAAAAAAAATTATATATATAAAAAGCACGTTGCCTTATGACGTCGTTGGTACATTTTGGCATTTAGTAAAACCTTCAAAGTATGCCTGCACCGCCACAATCCTCAATGTATGTACAAGCACACCCTCATGAATCAGGGACGGAGTTCTGCTGTATGGTCACTTTGTAAGATTCTCGTATCAACGAAGAACCATTCCCTTCATTGGGAAACTGGGTAAGGAGGAAAGAGGGGTTGAAGAAGAGTTTCCCATATTGAAAAAGGTCGCCAAGGCATTGTTGTACGCGGCCGTCCTTTGCCACGGCGCCACGACATCATCAGGGCTGCAGATGGTTTATAAGCTAGTCTATTAGTAGTGGGGGGTGAACAGACCATTTCTATCGGAAGAGTTTTAGAGTATGGCACGGGGTGGAGTTCTATATCAACTTTTGAAAAGGGAACAGGGTATTTTGGATCGACTCATTGGAAGAAAAATGACGGTTAATTTCAATCTCGACAATGTATACATGTATATATGTATACATGTATACATGTATAACTACGGAGCACTACCGAATTTGGTAAAATGACAGAACACCCTGAAACTTTAAAACAGGGTCTTTCGGGCCGTTGTACATTTGGGAAATCCCGTTGCATACCGTATCTCCATACTATAATACTGTACATACAGTAGTAACTGAATAATCATAGTTGAATGACTGATGACTGACTGATTGTATACTTCTGGAACATACGTTTCCTCCTTTCTAATCTCCAACTTCATTGTCTCTCTTCGCTTCTTCTCCGGTTCTTTTCTTCACCTTTCCAACTCTTGCACCGTGACTGATCCCATTGTCATAAAATCCATTGGACATCTACTGGTGCCTCTTCAGGGACAGATCTACCGGTGGATATCAACTCGACCCCTATTTCCTCGACCCCGGAATTCTATCTGCTTTATCTCTCGGTTCAGACATGATCTCTGTTCACAAATGCTTTGAACTGGAAGTGATTACATATTGAAGATCTTATTTCCGAGAGAGAGAAAGAGAGAGAGAGCGAGAAAGGAACTAGTTGTGGTTGTGTGTGTGGGGATGGTTCGAACCTGAATTGATCGGGAGATTTCCTTACGATTGGGCGTTGGTCGTCGTCAGCCATCGACCGGTGGCCACCAAAAACCCAGACGAACTTTCCTGCTCGTCATCGCGACTTTCTTTTCTCTCTACCGCTTCTTTCCAAACGCTACCACTACTAATTCTTCTCCTTCGATTTCTCGATTTCCTTCATTCCGATCGTTCCTCCCTGTCCTGATACCCTCGTTGTGTCGTTTAGTGTCCTCAGGGACGATTCCGAGCGGTGGCTGACATTCAATCCCATACGCCCGCCTTCCGTCACACTGCCACTGCCAACTCCACTACAACCACCCGCGATAAGGAGAGAGAGAGACTCACCTCCGCAACTCACCAACGATTCCACCGCTACCCATTCAACCCCGACGCTCCCCTGGGCGGTTTTCGCCTGATTCTCCCTGATTCCCGAGAGCTACCGCTATACCAGGAGCTCTGCTTATTTTACCCTACTTCCTTTCTGATCATCCTCCCATTGAGCTCGAGTGTCCGGTTGTCGTCACTATGTCGAAAGTCGTGCGCAGTGTAAAAAATGTCACCAAGGGTTACTCGTCGGTCCAGGTCAAGGTCCGAAATGGTATGTACTGCTAATTTCGTCTTTAATGCGCTCGGGTTGGGTAACGATTGATCGGTGGCGGTTGCTCGTCGGTCGCTACCTGTGCCCTTTGAACCTGCCTCGACGTCGGCTGACGCTCGCAATCCCAGCAACGAGTAATGACCCCTGGGGCCCGACCGGTACAGAAATGGCAGAGATTGCCGCCCTGACGTTTAGCAGGTAGGCCTCACCAACCCATTGAGCCTCGGCGATTCTCCCCCCTCTAGACCGAACTAATCCCGTTGTACGTACAGTCCCACCGATTTCTACGAGATTATGGACATGCTGGACAAGCGACTAAATGATAAGGGAAAGAATTGGCGTCACGTGTTGAAGTCCCTGAAGGTATTAGATTACTGTCTCCACGAAGGCTCAGAGCTAGTCGTGACGTGGGCCCGGAAGAATGTCTACATCATCAAGACCCTGCGCGAGTTCCAATACGTGGATGAGGATGGCAGAGATGTCGGTCAAAATGGTAGGTCGCGGACGGTATGATCCCTCACTTTGCTCGGTTGCCCACTAACGATACGTAGTGCGTGTCGCTGCTAAAGAACTCACTACTCTGGTGATGGATGAAGACCGATTGCGAAGTGAGCGCTCTGACCGAAAGCTGTGGAAATCGCGGGTGAGCGGGCTAGACGACTACCCAGGCCATGGCAGTGAACCACAACCACGTCGCAACGAGCGCCGTCGGCGTCCCGCGGATGATGATGATGTTGAATACCGCTTGGCGATCGAGGCTAGCAAACATGAGGCCGAAGAGGAACGGAAGCGACGGGCGAAGAGCTCTATGCAAACCGGGGAGGAGGACGAAGATCTAGCTAAGGCGATCAAGCTGAGTAAGGAAGAGGAAGAACTTCGCAAGCGCGAACTGGAAGAGAGCAACGCACAATCCCTCTTCGATGATGCCCCCGTCCAGGCCGCCCCGGCACAGCCCACCGGTTACAACCAGGGATACCAACAGCAAAGTGCGGTGGACTGGTTCGGCAACCCGATCAACCCCCAGCAACCTCTGTCGACTGGATACTTGAACAACCAATACGCACAGCAGACTGGATTCCAGGGACAGATGACTGGAATGCCCAATGGCTACACCAACGGATTCCAGGCGCAGCCTACAGCCTTTGACCAGAACCCGTACGGTCAGCCCCAGAATAACTTCCTGCAGCCACAGGCCACGCTACAACCCCAGGCAACCCTGCAGCCGCAGCATACAGCGTTTAACACCAACAATCCCTATGGTACCACCGACATGTTCGCCCAGCAACAGCAACAACCCCAACCGCAGCAACAGCAACAACAGCCGCAAGATAACTTCCTTTCGTCGGGCACCAATAACCCATGGGCCTCTGGCAGCCCGCAGCCGGGAGATATGTTGAAACCAATGCAGACCGGTTCCAACAATCCATTTGCTCAGCGCACGCAGCCGCAGCCGCAGCAGTTCCAGACCAGGCCCGCAACGTCCGGACACCCATCTCTGAACACGCTGGCAGAAGAGCGCGCGACCACCGCCTTCAATCCAATCGCCAACTACCAGGCCCCTGTGGCCCCTGCACCACCCAAGAGTACCCCGCCTCAGATGAACGACCCGCATCATGCTCGTCTCAATGCACTCCTCGCCAGCGGCGACGGCCAGGATACCTTTGGAAACGTTGGCGACCTTCGTATTCCCGCTCAACACACCGCACCCGGCACCTTCGTCAATTCTGCTGGTCAAGGTCTCGATCGCCTACGCGCCAACCAGACCGGTAACAACCCATTCTTCGCCCAACAACGGTTCGTTCCCCAGCAAACAGGATTCGCCCAGCAGCAGACCGGTTTCGCGCAGCCCACGAACAACCCCTGGGGTGCACAGCAATCATACCAGCAGCAGCCTCAGGCCGGAGGCAGCCTGATAGATCTGTGAAAGACGAAAAATGTTCATCCGTGATGTCCATGGTATACAACTTAACGGGTTTGTGGGTGGAAGTGGAATACGATACCAGGTCTTTTATCTTGTCTTGTCTTTATCGATTATATCTCTACTTCTCTTTCCTTTTATTCCCTTTGTTCCGTTGCGTCGTCTTTACAACGAATGGTTGGGTGTTGTGCTCGCATTGAATTAGGGTTCCGGAATTGACGTACAGATTTCAGTCCAGTTCATTTAAACCACTTTTACTACTTCTATCGCTCCACTATGTTCTGACGCTTTACCTTCTCGCGTGCGCGCTCTCTCTCTCTCTCTCTCTCTCTCTCTCTCTACCTGACTCGATTTGATGCTAGCCGGGATATCCAACCAGTTTAAACCAGACCCTTTGCTTTCATGTGTTTGTCTTGCCCTTTTATCTCCTTGATGATGTACCGTTCTACTTATACCTATTACCTACTCTATTTATTTGGGTTCATGTTTCGTAGTATATAAATTATATTGTATTGTATTATACATGGTTGTACTTCGTATATTGATATTGTTATACCTACGTAGTAGACTTAGTTATCTAAAGTCTAGATTTACTGTATCTGATGTTTTACTCTTTAAAATGACCGAATCCAATATATGCAATATACTGTAGTACAAGTTGCTAAACGAGAGCTACACCATAACCACCAAGGCCAATTAATGGACTTCCCAAAAGAACGTATGTTCATACGAAAAGGGACACCACCAATAATCATAGACAGGGTCATCTACATCCATTCATTGAGAGAATATGTGGTCTGTTCCCGACCCCGGACCAGTTCACTCACTACGTACAATACATGTCCATAAGTTCCAAACGATCCAATCCTATTTGCATTCATCCTGCAGTCATTCATAATCATAATCCATACCGTACCGTACCGTACCACATAACGCAGACCAGAACCAGAGAACCATAGCCCAAGGTATCGTATCATATTGTATCAAACCCAATTCGCCCAGCCAAACCGATTCCCCCAGCCTCTGCAAGTTCCATGAATGCAACGGTCCCAAAGATGAATCATAAGGAAAATAGAAAAATGAGAAGAGATATAGAGAGAAAGAATAAAGGGGAAAGTTTTAGCCGCCCCTCTCGCCGAATTGTCGAGCCCAATCTTCGTACTCTCTTAGTCCTTCCCGGCTGACGCTGGGTCGGATCGAGGAGAGACTGGCTTCGAAGTCTTGGAATCGGATGGCGCGGATTTGGTCCATGGGGGTGTGGAGGAGGGCTTCGCCGAGGTTGCGGAGGGGACCCATTGCGGCGTCTTTGGCGAGGGCTGTTATGTCGGAGCCTGAGAAGCCTGTTTATGTTTGGTTAGCTTTGAGATACTGGTATTTAGGGGAGGAATTTTAAATAAGAGCAATACCTTCTGTAAGTTGTACTAAAGTGTCGATGTCTTGATCTGTCAAGTCATGCACCTGGTGACTTAGTAATGTCCGGAGTTGTTGTTCGCGGACGTGATGTTCTGGGAGAGGGATATATTGTCGGCGGACGAAGCGACGGCGTGCGGCCTCATCGATATCCCAGGGCATATTTGTTGCGGCGAGGACGAGGACGCGGCTGGGGTCTCCGCCGGCTTTCTTGTCCTTAGGTGATTCACGACCTGCTGCGGCGCGCTGCAGATCTGACCACTGGATCAGAAACTCGGTCTTTGAACGTCGTGAAGCCTCGTTCTCCGTGCCGGACGAACGAGCGGATAATAGTGAGTCAATTTCGTCCACAAAGATGATCGACGGCGCCAGCGCCTTGGCTAGACCGAACAGGGCGCGGACAAGCTTTTCGCTCTCACCATGCCACTTCGACGTTAACGTGGATGCGGAAACTGAGAAGAATGTCGATTTGGATTCCGTGGCTACAGCGCGCGCAAGCATCGTCTTACCTGTCCCTGGAGGTCCAAAGAGGAGCATACCCCGGGCTGGTTCTCGCAGACCAGAGAAGAGATCCGGACGGAGGAACGGATAGACGACGGCTTCTTTGAGGGCCTTTTTGGCCCCATCTAAACCGGCAATGTCGTCCCAGTGTACTTCGTCCCCGCGGACTACAATATCGTTAAGGATCTGTCGGGCGGTTGCCACATCCACCCCTTTCGGGAGCTTGTTCAATATATCCATAAATGCGTCATCCTCGTCCTCAACGTCCACTTCGTCCTCGTCGGCATCTGTTGATTTAGGACCAAGAGATTCGGGATCGCTAGATGACGGTGGGGTGATAGCGCGCCTGATGCGCGGAGTAGACCGTCGTTCGGGGCTCGTTCGGGAAATCGACATGCGATCTATATTGTCACTCAACGCATCTTCACCAGTGGAAGCAGGGGTAATTCTTCGCGGCGTGCTTGCAGACCCAGCCTGCGGGTTGTTCGCGGTATCTGCAACCTCCGTGGATCCTCCGGAGGACGTGGGCGGCTGGTAAGACGACCTCAATGCTACGGGCTTTGGTTTGATAGAAGGCTTCGGAGAGGCACGTGGCTGAACAGTATCCTTGGAGCCCGTCGAGACAGAAGCGGAATGCGTGCGATTTGCTGACGGCTGCCGGATGCCAGCCGGAGCCTGAGGGGTGGATGTAGGCGTTGAAGTTGGTGCGGGAGTAGACTTTGCTGGTGACCGTCGCGGTGTCTGACCGGGGACGCGAAGTTTCCTCCCGGAGCGGCGCTCCCCTCCAGAATCCTCTAGAGGCACACTTTTCCGTGGGGGTACCCCATCGCCGGATTTCGAACGGGGTGGTGTTGACTCCTTTCGGAAACTGGGATCATTTGCAGCGGTCAGACGGGAGGACGCTAGGGCAGCGTCGCTAACGGTCTTCTCCGACGACGGAGTGCGATAAAGGCTTCCCCAAGCCAGGCCTGCGGCTTGAGAAGCTGCGGCCGGCCGCAGGTCTTTCCGTCGCGGGCTGATTTTCTTTTTGACGGGCTTCTTCAAATCGGCGTTCCGTAGTGTAGACGGCATCGCTTTCCGACGCTCGGGGCTGGAATTGCGTGAAGATGTAGTCTTTGCCGAAGAGGATTGCGTCTTACGCAATCCGGGACGACCCGCCATTGGGGTTGATGAGCCCGTCTCGTTCCCAGTAGACTCCGAGCTAGCGGTGGTCACAGGTGGTGGGGGGCGTCCGGGGATAGTGGGCGGTTTAGATAGATCGGTATATCCGACGGCGGGGACAGTTCCCTCTCCAATCCAACCGCGATGACCAGTGGTAAATGGAGGAGATTTACCAGACGGATCCTTTCTGCTCTCACGGAGGGCTTCGAGTAGATCGACGCGCTCCCGACATTGGAGTTCTAACTGGCGGATGGAATCCTGAAGAGCCCTCTCCGTTTCGTTCTTGGGGGTGTACTTGGAGGGGACCCGATAGGCGTTATGATAGTAGATGGTTTCGAGGGCGGAGCGCCAAGACTTTAAAGCTTCTTCTTCGTTGTTCTGTGCGAGAGAGCGATCAGTGACGAATGGAGTCAATTGATGAGGGCAGAATGGCAGACCTGTCCTTCGAAGTAGACGGCAGTCGAGCACATCAGATAACAGTCATCGTAGGTCTTCTGGAGGGAAGACGCCGGTTTGGGCCGCATCATTGATCAATTAATCCCAGAGATCTTCGGCGGAATTGCAGGACCCGCCCGCGCGCTATGGATGATAGTCGTAGTAGTGTAATACTAGTTAATTGTAGTCTGGGGGAAGGAATGGCACAAGGACGGGGACCAACTCCTCTTCATTGGTAGGAAGGGTGGATAAGAAAAAAAAAGAAAGAAAGAAAGACGTTCGGGACGTGGAGGACGTGAGTAAGTGAGTGAATCGAGAGGTAAGATATGAAAGTAAGTAAGTCAGTGATTCTCCATTTTCCGATTTTTCTCTTACCCAAATTCGGTCATGATTTCGCGTGACGTCGTTGGTGCACCGAAAAAGGGAATAAAAGGTGCCCCACGGTGATGGCAAAACTTCTTCCAATGCGACTCTACAGTTAACTTGACTCTCTTTTTTTTTTTTTTTTGGCATTTATTTATTTATTAATTATTATTATTATTATTATTATTTTATTCCTTTGGCTGGTCCCCAGAGTGGAGTCGAGTGTCAATCCTTTATATTAACGAAAATGGATATCTGCGCCAGCTCAGCTTGGCTGGTGTACTAACTCAAGTAACTGCCTGCCATATCATATCCCGTCTATGTATACATGGGTTCCAAATGCGTAATATATCAGAAGAAATATTCCAAGATTCGGAAATCAATCAAATGAAGAAAATAGAACCATAAGAGAAAAGGAACAAAGCCTCCAAAAACACTTCCCTTGCGTGCCAACGCCGGTACAAATATAGCATACATAGGGCGATCCAAGAAAAGCTCTCGCACTTTTCCCGACACAATCCGTCCCACAAGGTGTATATCAACCATTACCAACCACGAAAATGAAACCCGATGACCAAAGGTGAAAAGAGGTACCGAAGAAAGGGTAAGTCGTCCTCGCTCCGCCTCATCCGCTGTGGCTCCAGCCAGGATTTTCCGACTCCGAATGTCTCGGACATTTCGCGTACATCCGAAAATAAGGGCACATGGGAGAAACCGAGCGCATGCTTGAGAGCAGAAGAGTCAGCATAGAGAGGTAACAAAGAGAATCGAGAGTATGAACGCCGCCACCCACGCCGGGGAATTCTGCCCGCAACATGGCTTGGAATTCCTCTCGTGTCGCATTTCCGCCCTTCGCACGTGACACTTGGCCGCTATCAACCGGCCGTCTTATTAATTTTTTTTTTTAAAAGAAAATTTATTTTAAGTTGGTTTGATCATTGTTTTGTTGGTCGCGGGAAGCCTTACACAAGGCCCCAGCACGGAGATTTATGATGGGTAATGTGGAAGTCGAATTCATGCGATCGGGCCAGTGGGGAAAAAGACACACTTTTTAGGCGACCTCCTGGCGCTTGAAGTACGCCTTGGCCATCTCATAAGAGGTCCTTTTGCATGACATTGTCAGTAAGAACTCAATATAGTAACGGCGCATTCAGACACCAAAGAAATGGAGGGGCCCGGGGGAAAAATATTCACTCACCAGCAAATGGCTGTGCTGGGCATCGTAGAAATGATACGGGGACGGGCGCCACGCAGGAAACCACTCCAACCGAACTGCCGCTTGATAATGGATGCGGCGTTAAAAAGACCCTTCGCCGACCGAATTTCCTCGTTCTGTGCCAAACCGCGGGTTTGCAGGAGCGTCTTCACCACGTCGAGTGGTGTTGTGAGACCAGCTGCGAAAGCGCCTGCGAGACCACCTGCCATGCAGTGGGTGAACGGGTCGTAATCTCCGGAGGGATTCATCACCTTAGAAATGGACTCATAGGCAACGAACTGTGTAGCGGTGAAGGGGACGGTCATGCAGAGTGTGGTAGGATAGGAAACGTAGAAAGCCTGAAGACCTTCCGTTCGGTAGACAGACCGGGCGCATTGAAGGATAGTCTTGTGTACCGAGCCATGAACTTGCATACGTTGCTTAATCACTGTGTTTTCAGTTAGTATACAGTGGAGTTTCGGGGTTTGTTTTAATTTTTTTGGTGGTGCTGGGGTTGCGGGTTACTCACCATCGAAGGGATTCATCAAAGCGTCACTGGCAATGGTCGCCGAGGCACCACTCAGGGCTGTTCCACGTTAGTAGCCAACCACTTAATGACACAACCATAACCTCATCAGTCACTTACCTGCAGCAAGGGGATGGTGACCGTCATCGACATTGCCACCGGCAAGATCCTTTACAATTTCATATGTACCAAAGTAGACAGCGTGGGCGGGGCCTGTTCGGGAATTTCACATCAGCCTCCGACATCTCCGAGTAGGCACCTCTGTATGCCACCGGCTCCGCTTACCAGCGCCGACAATAACGCTCGAAACGCCCTTCCATAATGTCCGCCAGCCCTCAATTCGGTAAATTGTGGAAAACGCATTAGTGAGACCTGTGTAGAGTCCGCCGTTCGCAGGATGCAGGATTTGCATGCGAGTCTAGCGTAGGCATCCGGTGTCAGTATTTGCCTGCTTTTGCAACCCGCCACAACGCAAAACTTGCGCAACGCAGAGAAAGAACTAGCATTGACTCAACATACCTTCAACAAGTCCACCGGATACATGACAGCATGTTCCTTAACCTTTGTCAGTACGGGACCGACCATCCACCGTTATAACCCATGTTCTTGCACACATACCGCTATCCCTGCAAAGGCACCAGCCAGCATATTCCGGCCGAGGCCATAGTTAGACGGGAGGGCTTCGTAGCTATCGTAACAGTATAATTAGCCCCGGAAATCCCGATATAATAAAAAAGCCGGCCTGCGTCTGGGAAAGGAATCCTGGCAATCGGGCAATAGAGGCGAAAGAGTGGTATGAAAACATAGCAATGATTTTAAACACTCCCTATGCTTCTCATCGAACGATTGACCAGGCCGGAAAAAGTTGAGGCGGATTTTGCGGGAAAAAAAAAACACATACTCATACTCTAACTCCTGCCCGGGGATTTGTTCGGAGACCGCCATCGAGCTGTTGTAGCTCCAGACGCAGCCGGAGCCGCAAAGAGGAGGGAGAAGGGTTAGAAGGGAGGGAAAGAGGAAAGGGCGCGCGGCGGTGGGTGAGGCGTCACTGTTGTGAAGGTCGAAAAGATAATACCGAAGAAACCGAGACCAGGTTGCGGAGTGGAGAGATAAATCAGTAGGGCCGATTCCGAGGAAGGGAAAAACAACAAGGAGGAAAAAGAAGTATAGCGGAAGAGACCTGTCTCAACCACCAGAGGAATGCAAAAGGATCAATGTGACAGGAAGAAGGTTGGCTAAGATAAAAAAATTATGATGAGTTGAGAGAATGTGAAAGAGGGAGGGAAGAAATAAAATAAATTAAAATGTTTAAGTCGGGGATAAGAAGTTGTTACCCAGAATGGAAGTCCTTTCGGTCGGCTCGACGAATGCTGGATAAATGGAGGTCGATTAAATGTTATCTGATCCATTTTAGATTAATAGAAACACCCAGGGAACCTCTATGGAATTTTCTTTCCTAGTACGAAGAATGAATTTAGATTTTCTAGTGTTTATTTGTATGTTATTGGATTTACATTCCCCTCAGTCTTCCTCTATAATTCTACTGATTTTCCCTTCTCGAAAGTACAGCTCTCTCTCTTTCTCTCCGTCCAGCTGAACCTTCGTTAAAAAAAAAAAAAGATTAGTTAAGGTATGTCACTTGGGAAATTTTGCCTGCTGAATCAGCTTTCCCCGGCTAGACTAAAACAAACGCGACCGGCCTGGTCCGATGACGGAGTTTATAACCCTCAACCAGCACATCCCAACCATTGACATTGACACCAGTTGACCTTTTTTTTTAAGTTGACTCATACCTTTCCGAAACTCTTCCGGCTCAATACCAAACCACCCAAGACAAAGGAGAAGAGGTCAAAAAGAACCAGACAAGATTGCCACACCCGACTAACAGAAGAAGCAGAAGTGCCGAATGACGGAGGAATGGGCCGTCCCTCCGCCGAGGAAGCTCTCCTAAAAGTCACCGAGAGAGGAAGGTCACTATTCCCTTTTCTGATTTTTCTTATCTGATCCATGCCGAATCCTTTTGGACTCCATCGTTTCTTTCCCGCAGTCCTCCTTTCTGATTAGTCCCTACTCTTTCTTTCTTCAGTCAGGATTGTAACCCTAAGCGAACTACCGCGGCTCACCGGGGATCCTGTGTGTAAAGTATTTGCATGACATTAAATGACTAATGTATAACTCAAGTAGTTTCTTGAGCCTTTCTCCTTTAGTACAAATGAGGTAAAACTATATTGTCCGGTGGTTCTTGAGACTTACGGACTATAGTCCCTACTCCGCAGTATGTGCTTCCTGGTTAGGCAACCATGAGTCCTTTTCGCGTCGGGCATTTCCGCGGATTCCACATCTACGTGGTGTTTTACATACTATTCCTTACCTATATACCAGGTTGCTAATCTGGACATGAACTCTTGGTAAAAGAGAAAAACGGAACGATAAAGAAAAAAAAAAAAGCAAAATTACCGCAGAAAGGAAATAGGTGCAGTACAATACATATCCGCCCAAGATGTCAAGTACAATGGTAGAATTGAATATAAATGTAAAAGTTCCCCTATAGTAGATGATAATTGATACAACAAAAAAAAATCACCATGCAAATAACACCCACGAAAAGCTCCTCTTAAATGTTCACAGTGAAACTTTCCTGCAGAGAATTCATATGCGCTGTCATGCACGTCGTTAAAGCAAAAGAATGACTGGGTCTTTTGGGATGGTCGCGGGAGACCACCAGTGGTTAAGCCCGTTCCCTTCTATACGATTCGCTCTAATCTACCAGTCCACGTTAAAAGACCATTCGCCTGGAGAGATACACCAGTTAGTTTTCGACAGCCAAATTCACTGGGGTTCAGGACAGAGTGCATACCATTTTTCAAATTTTCGGCAGTGTCGCTTAATAAAATCACTCGCCGCTTGTTACAATAGGCCGTCTTATCCAAGATATCCACCTTGAGGTTCGCTAGTTCGGGTACAGGCTTCTCAAACATCTCGCTGAGGTTCTCCACTGCGAGCTCCAAATCTTTCTGGTTATCTTCGAAGATCTCGGTCAGGTTGTTACGTGCAAGGTAGTAGGCAAAAGCGTAGGTCCACTTCAGGGTCTGTCGGCATTGTTGAAGTGCTTGCGATGCAGTGTCGAGGAACTGAACTTCGATCCACGATAAACCTGATTGTGACTGGAGGCTCGTCATCTTCTTTTCTGTCTTTAGGTAGAGGTCCTTGTCGAGCTTGGCCGATTGCTCATGGTTCGCATATCGGTTGTAGTAATGGAGATATCGCTCCAGTGACGCTCGGGACTTCGCCTGTGCAGTGCGGGCCTCAGATCCCGATTTCTCTTCATAACGGTTACAATTATACCAGCTAGTGCCGTGCTCGGACCATAGACCCATGCACATCCAGCAGAACTCATGCTTGCATTTGCGGCACGTCATATGATTGCAACCTCCGTTCTTCTCGATCGTCGAGTGGCACTTCGGGCACTCTTTTGTGTTGGCTGAGATCCAGTTGGCCGTTTCGGAATCGTCCTCACACTTTTTGAGCCACATCTTGACCAGCTGACAAGGTGCTGGTTGATGATCGTTAAGTGTGCAGCCAAAGCAGAAATGATGCTTGCAGTTACATTGTACGGTGGGTACAATGCGACGGAGGTCGCGCTGCTTGACCGGGCAATCAACAGCGTATTCACAGTTGGGAGCTGGGCACCATTTAAGATTCTCCTTGTCATCGACATAGGTTCTTTGTAAGAGGGTATAATACCTGAGAGGAAGTTAGCGATGGTATCCGCCTGCATTCAAGCCAAGTAAACTCACCTGTCCTTGAGATCAGGTTTGACAAGCAGGCTCAAAGACTTAGAATCCACGATCATATTACAGCCATCACCCGGACACTCTATCCTGGCCGCTTCTCCTTCCCCACGAATTTTTTGCGCAAGGTAGTGGCGGTAGCATTCGACACAGAAACGATGTCCACACCGCATAGCGTAAGTCTCCAGGTTATCGCCATCTTCGCAGCAAATCTCACACACGAATCCAGGTACTATTTCGGTCTTTGGTGTGCCTTCAAAGTTCGTCCCTAAGCCGGCCTCTTCCAGGGTTTCTTCGGGATGATCCATGTAGCCCTCAATAAGCTTTTCCCGATTCCATCGTCCATACCGTAGAAGAATGGCGGAGGATTCCGGCGGTAGACTTAATATCGATGAGACTTCGTTGATCTGTTGATTCTGATCCCGATCGATGTCATCCGGGCTTAGGACCTTGAATTCAACTTCGTAAGGTCTTCGTGAGGTTGCAACAATATCTTTATCTTTCGAGAAGCCGCCATCGAAATCATCACCGAAATCTACCAATAGCAAAAAAGAAGCAACGTCAGCATCTGGTCATGATCACATTCAAAAAGTTGTCACAAGCGGGGCCGCAACACTACGTACCTTCCCCTAGACTCTCATCATCACTCGCCTGGGTATCCAAAAAGTCATCGGCGCTGGAAGCAACGCTCATAAAATCGTCATCAGACTCCATAGTGGTCGACGCCGGCGTAACCAAATCAGGGCCTTTCTTTTCCGCGGAAACCGTGAGCACCCCTGACACGACAGAGGTCAGATCGGGGGTGGGATCAAGTTCTGCGATATCAGGAGATTCTACTTTCGTCTTGCGAGCAGACTTCCGGGGAGGAGGTCCAGTGGCGGCTTGCGAACGGGCGACGGAATCCTTGGTGGCGGAGTGATTGTCTATTATCGCCGCCTCGGCCGCCTTTCGCTTCCTTGTTTGAGGAGGCGTGGTGAAAACAGTGGTGTTGCGGCAAGCCGGTATGTGCTGACACGAAAAAAAAAGTAGGTCCCGAGATCTAACGTCGAGACCTTCTCTTTTTTTCCGAGACAACACAAGGCGCAGCTTACCAAAGGTGGGTGATCAACCTGGGGAGGGCTGATAGATGGAACGGGTGACGAGGAACACGAAGGGCGGACTGAGAGATTGGCGTGTGCAGTAGCAGCAGCAGGACCATGCACTAGCTCTCAGGCGATCAATCGTTGGGCGTGAATAGCTTATCGACGCTGGCACCTTTTGGGCCTTGGGGGGAGAGGAGAGGGGTGTGGATGTATGTAACTAGGGACGGGAGACGGACGGACGTCACGGGGAGAGTGGGGGAGCCTTAGGAAGAACAAGCCTCAGGTTTGTTCTTCTCCTTTTTGGGAGAGGGGGGGGGGTAAAATTGCACTAGAGCGCGGTATTCCCGAGAACAACGGGAAATGAAAAGCTGAGCTTCAGTGTTTACCCAAATCTGTAGTCTGGGTTCAAAATGAGGTTGCTTCGGAAGTGACTGAACAAAACAAAGTAAATAGAGAATAAAAAGAAAAATTTTCAAACAGTGGCGGGATTGCTAAGCAGGCAAGTTTACAGTTTTTATAAGGGCGTGCCAGTATGAGAGGTTTCCAATGACCTGGTGCTAATGCCACGGAATCTCCGTGTGGGGGAAGGCAGCAAAAAGGCAACCTAAAGCGGGTAAGAGCAATGAAGCAATGTTGTAGTCCCAATTTTATGATGTCTTTGATTGGAACTGGATCATTGTCAGGCTCGGAGGTGGCCGTATGATAGATGGGTGATTTTGGTTCGCTGGCATAAATAGATCCAAGGGCACCAATGATGTCAGATCGTCTCTCCGTCAAAGATCTCTTGGTCATTTCTGTTATATTATGTAGGACTATGATGGAGCCCTAACCAAACGTGACTCAACCTAATGACCTGAGCAAATGACTGAAAATAATAACCTTAGGCAGCCACCAGGCAGACAAACCAGTCATGTTGTTCCTCTTCCTGTGGTTGAATAAATTATAATACTACTACGTATAAGTATACTGATATCTCGCAATGTATTGAATTTTCACTCATAACGGTTCATTTTTTGTTTATCCGCGTTTCATAACACGTTCCAATTCTATATCAGATCACTCATCATCGCTCTCTTCCTCTTCGTCGTCGTCATCCTCTTCCTCGCTACTTTCCTCTTCTTCAGCGTTTGCCAGCCAGTCGACGAATTGTTGGGTCTGGCTGCGCACTTGTTTCATCTCGTCAGTACTAGAGGACCTCTCATCATCCCACCACTGCTCGTATGCCTCCTCTTCTAGGATCTCTAGGTCATATAATTCCTTAGCAACAAACAAGAGGACTGTATCGCCACGGTTGCGGTGTACGAGATCTTGTTGAAACAAAAGTAGTAGGTCGACTTGATCAGGCTTCGCATCGCGGTCGCGGTCGAACAGGGACCGTTCGATAATCTCGCGATACTTGCCAAAGAGCTCCCTAACGATGTCGCCGGCTCCCTTTCCACCTTCCATCAATTGCTGAGTACGCTTCATGAAAGCCGACACCACGGCGCGTCGAACTTGGTGATCAGACGCGTTGGCTGTCATACGTAGACTGACCAGTTCCAGCTGCACCACATCTGATGTGACGCCATCGCGCAAGCTGTCATAGACACTGGTTGCAGCGTCATGAACGAAATGTTCTTCGTCATCGTCACCGCCTGAGCTGCTAAAGCTTCCTGAACGAGAGTGGCCGTAGTCTGAGACTTCGGAAGAAAGAGTCGAGATGGAATCCGTGGAGAGCGAAAGTTGCGCCATATTGTAAACTGCGGAAAGAATCTGTTAGCTTTAACGGAGCTGGGAGTCGGTGGACAAGGAAACGTACCCAGTCCCGACGAGGCATTGCTCTCGGTATCCGAGTCATCCTCATCTTCGTAGGGGACGTATTCATAACCCTTGCCGCCTTCACCGACGACTTCCGGTTCACTTTCCGGCACACCCCCGTCTTCCTCCCTTGGGGCGTTGGTAATGCGCTTGCCTTCGCTGACGGTCATCCCGTCGGCGATCTTCACTCCAAATGACAGGAGAGCCCCAGGCTCGACGGTGCACTTGCTACCAACTTGAACGTTATCTGCAACAATAGCGTGGCGCACAATTGTACCGTCGCCAATCACAGCACCATCCCAAATGTAGGCACCGTCTAAAGTGACATTTTTACCAATCTTGCAGTTCCTTCCCAGAACCGTATCCTTGACTGTCGTCTTATCTCCGATGCTTGTGCCTTGTCCAATAACCGTCCGCCGGCCAATAACACATGAACGAGCCAATGTCACACCCTGCTCCTGGTAGAGGTTTCCTTTCCGAAGTTCGTAGTTGTGGCCCGGCAGCAGGTTTGTGTCGGGGCACAGAGGGTACGCCCACCTCGAAATGACATCCTTGGTAACAGCATCATACGCCTTCAAGTTCCTTACTCTAGCCGCATAGTGATCCTTGACGATATGTGTGTGGATCGTCTTTCCATTTAGCTCGTAATCTTTCAGCACACCATACAAGAATTGCGTCCGAGGTGTCTGATAATCGAAACTGTCGGACCAGAGACTCAGCACGTCAGGCGTGCAAATATCGATGCTGCAGTCAATCAGATCCTGGCGGATATCTAGCTCTGCGTTCTCAAGAATGATCTCCGAGTCGATATTGAGACGGGTCGTCTCTCGCGAATGGTGATCAATCTCCTCGTAATGTAGACAGCGATCCTTCGTAGGATCAATGATGAAGACGGGCGAAGAAGACGAAGACTTGGTTCTATGGTTTCTGCCGGCCTCCCGCAAGACCATGGTCATAATGGCATCCTTGTTTGCTGCACGACGAGCCCGATGTTGGGTCAAAGCACCTTCAATAGGCAGGTTGCTGATGACATCTCCGCTCACAACGATGAAATCTCCGGTAATAAGATGTTTTCCATCCAGATCGCGCATGACGTCTCCGACGGAGGTAGAAGTGGACTTGAGGAAAGCCAATTGCTTGAACGGCGATGATGGCGATCTCCATTTCGACGCACTAAAGCACCGTAGAATTAGCACCACGGTGAACTGCGTACGCAGAGGAGAGAGCGTCATCCACGTACTTAATATACTTCTCCAACTGATCCGAGTGTGCTCCGCCGTACAGGAACACATCTTCGACACCGGCATTCGCAAGAAACTCCAATGTATACTCAATCAGGGGGGTGTTCGCTAGCGGTAAAAGACACTGTCACCGTCCGTATCAGCCCATGACCCATCACTGTGTGTTTTCCCCGCAACATCCGTCCTGGCATCAATAGCTTGTTTCAACTACATACCCGAGGCTTGTCGAGAGTGAACGGTTCAAATCTCGTCTCGAAGGTGTCGGCAAGAACCTAAGCAACATCAAAGCATTAGCCACACGATCATCATGCACCCCGCCGTCCTATAATAGTCGGCAGTCGCAAGAGTAGATTTTCAGAATGATAACATACGACAGCCTGCAACGTCTCCTCTACTTCCTCCGCAGCATTTCCCCTCTGTTTGGAGCCACCGCCTTTCTGTTTCGGACCCATCTGCTAAATCAATGGTAAGCGTGAGTTGCGCGGAAAGATCGAATGCCACATACTGCGACTCACTGAGTAAGTGATTTCCCCCACCTCACTGAAAGGCCAGATATTCCTGCAAAAAGTCTAGCAAGAGTGGATGGATGGTGGTTAAGAAGCCCAGGCGATAAATGGGCTCACAAAGAAACCGAAAATCAACAATGAATCCGCTTGCACAACCTAAAGGAATTATTTCCGGTTCCCCTCGACGCAAAAACTCCGCCAAGCCATATTGAGTGATTCATCCCACCCCGTCCTTTTTTTTGCATGTTTGTTCTGTTTGCGAGGTTTGCTGCCCAAGTTCTGTTTCTATCACGTGAATCACGTGACGGGTAACATTAGCCACACACAACCTGAAGGACCAGCTTCAGCCCCAAAGAGTCCAGAACACCTTTCGAGGCCCAGGCCCTCCTGGACTTCTGATAAATATCCCTTGTTCAGGAACCAACGGTCTAGAACCTTAATATGCCTCTTTATTGTACTGGGCAAGTCAAATTAAATAGGAGTTCCGATCAGACGCCATCTTCCCCCCGAACCGAAGGGCAATCGGAAGCTTTCAAGCTCCTGTGGATTACCCGGTCCGTCTGGGGCTGGGGTAGTAGTACGCAGCATACCCACTTATGTAAGTGTGCGCAGTTGTAGCAAGGGCTTCTGAGTGGAGGGTATGTTGCGGGATGATTGGTCCTAAGAATGATAGGTGAATGGTTGCGTGTGTTCTGTATTTTTAGTAGGTACAGCTAGCTAGCTAGTATGTAAGCACCATCAAATTGTGTTCCAAGGCGAAACATCATAAATTGCGCCAACGTGGATATCCCACTCGAAGGACAATTTTACCCACGTAACATGTTCAACTAATTACAGCAACAGTACACCAAAACAGTCTGAATGCCCAGGCCCTAATATGGTTCAACTCCCTTATATCCCTTTATAAACGACACGAACATTTCTGCTGAGAGTATCCGCGAGAAACAAAAGACAAACAACCGAAGGCCTCATAAACGCCGTAAGCTATCAAAAGTCCACCCAGGGGTCAACGGTATCGTACGGGTAGAGATCTCATTATAACCAAGATAGCAATCATGAAGGGGGAATATAGTGATTGAGGATACACGGAGGGGAATGCAAGAGAGGTAGTTTGTTAGTTTGTTGATTGGGAGATATACAGCATTGAGGAGATGGCGAGGCTCAGCCAGTCCGTGCAGCCTGTACGGGGTTGACCATCGCTTGAGGTTGGGGCGCATATACACGCTGACGCTTGGCGAGATTGGGGGTTTCGGCAGCACTGGCCATGTCGGAGACCTGCCGTCGTGGTTGCGGCCGTGCTGCAGCCGCAGCCGTGAGGGCCACAGGAGCTGTCGGATACTGCACCCCATTTTGGTCTACGGCATATGCAGTGGCAGTAGCAGGAGTTGCAGGTACATATTGACCTTGCACCTGTTGCAGATTAGGGTGAACTGTGGCCATGCCCTGGAATTGGCCGGGTGTTTGCCAATTGTTTATGGACGTAGCTGGCGACTGGCTGGGAGAACTATCCTCTTTGACAGACTGGGCTGCCGAGCTCTGTGCAGCCATTGTTACCGCCGCCGCGGGTTGGGCCGTTTCCATGCCTTGCGGCATGGTCTTCAGATGAACCAGGTGTTTTTCTAACATATCCAGAAGACTCTTTCGCGTGAAGGGCTTGGGAAGAACATCATCCATTCCTGGTCAATGTTAGCAGGATAGTCGCGGAGGCCGCTCCTAGTACCAGATTAACACACCATGCTGGAAGTAAAGCTGAATGTCATCACTCCGGATGTTGGATGTCATGGCAATGATCGGCGTCCTATCAAACTGCCGAATGAGATGACATGCTGAGACACCGTCCAGGTTGGGCATAATTATATCCATCAGAATAAGATCGTACTTCGAGCCATCTTGTATTTTGTTCACCGCCTCGAGTCCGTCGAACTACGTTCCCATCAGTCAGGGTACCAGACTTGGAAAGATGACCTGTGAAGCCAACTTACAGCAGTATCAATGACACAAGAAAAGGAGTATAGAAACTTTCCGCCAATTTGACGACACGTCGCATCATCTTCGACTAGCAAGATATGCGGACTACGCATCCAACCCGGGTCAACATTCGTACTCTTCTTCCGATTGTCTGCGAACTGTCTCCGAGCGTCGTCGACTTCTTGCTTGGGCGGCATTGGGTATGGCACATTATTGACATGCTCGCTGTACATCGGATCGATACCATTAGTAGCACCCACAGGGTACACGACAGGTTCAATCTCGCCGTTCATCTTCGGATAAACTAATGCTGTGGTCGCGGTATTCGTCGGATTGGTTGGGTTTGCAGGGGTCGCAGCGGCTGCATTCGGCGGTCGCACCACCCCATTCCGCGGGGCAGCATCCATTGCGGGCGTCGTGGCCACGACGGGACCTGTTTTGGGTGGCTCCCCTAACGAATCAAGGCCGCCGAGATTGAACTGAATTTCGGCATTCATATCGTTGAGAAGCTTCGAGGCGTGCTGCAAGGGCGACGAAGGCTCATCGTCCATGGACGCCACCTGGGAAGGGCTTAAGCTTGAGCCCCCTTGACCTTGCGCGAACGGTCCGGACGCTTTACTGTCTCGCCGTTGACGAGCATCCACTGATAGTAGATATGTCATCAGTTGGTGGATGACATGTTCATGGTTGAGGACTGTTTTCTGGACTCTCATAACCTCCTGCAGCATGATCTGATGGTCGACAGTTAATTGTGCATAACGATCAGAGAGATGCTGAATTTGTTGCTGCTGCGCCACTATTTGCTGGTTTAAGAGATCGATCTGTTGCGTTGGAACGGAATCTTCGTTGTTTTGGGCCTGTTTCCGAGGGGCAGGCGCCTTCCGTCGAATATTGTCAAGTGATTCTTTGCTGTTCGCTCGGAATTCGGGGTGCTTGAATTCCCACGCCTAGATTCCTGGTCAGAACCATGAGAAGCCACCAGTGCCAAGTATCGCAGTCTTACATTCTGGCCGTACGGTGATTGCCCATTCTCTTCATTATTTTGTCTCACTTTGTGGAAGTCGTATTTGTTTAATTGTCGTACAAAGCTGGCGAAGTTGCTATGTTTGAAATGTTTAGGAAGGATAGTTTTCGTAAATTTTTCGCACTGCGGCCAGGTTTGGATCGATTAGCAGGAGAACAGCGACCGTGAATTCCCAAGGCACGAGGGCGTGCATTACCTCCAAGACGACAAAACTGTCCCCTTCATCACCCCACCGCACAATCTCCGCGTAGGACGGATCCTCCAGCATTCTGGGAAAGAAAGGTCAGTGACCAGATCAAGAAAGGAAGAAGCCGTCCAAAGTCTTAAACGAGAGCATCTTGAACAGGAGGGCATAGAGTGGCAATGAGTCGGGTCGACGGGAGAGCTCGGAGGGAGAGAGACAAAAAGGAGAAGATCAAACTCACTTGTAAAGTTTCCGCACCTAAGCATTCTGTCAGTGATTGTGACCGGATAGTGTAGCTTTTTGTTCAAGGCAAAAGAAATAATAGAGTAACAATAATATAAGAATAATAAAGAGAAACAATATCATCGATATACTTGTCAAAAAGATCAACACTTACAAAATCGCTGGAGTTGCCCGCGGGGGCGGTATTGGTTGTGGTCTGGCCACCGTCCATCGTGGGCTAGATGGGTCGCGACCGATCGAACAAGCAACAGGCTCAAGCACGTCGCAGAACCTCAAGAACAACGGCTGCGGGAGAGTATGAAAAGAGGTAAAAAAAAAAAAAAAGAATACCCAAGTCGGTGGTCAATTACGCACCGGGATCGCGAGGGAGAAATTTCCGAGCGAAAGGATAAGTAAGAATAAAGGTGAAGAAGAGAAAGAGAAAAGAAAAAGAGAGGAAGGGAAAAAATGACGGTCTAACTGGACGGCGTTTGGTTGGGAGAGGTCGAGAGAAAGAGTAGGGAAAGAGATGGTGGCAGTTCCCTTCAGTTAAGTTTTGGGTAATTTACTACTTCTTGCAAAAGTGGGACTTTTGATGGGGGGTCACTGACTTGGTATCTGCACCCGCCATTGGCCTTTTCTTTGCTGTCCGAACCACCGGTCACCGTTCACTAGCCACAACTTGCCATTTTTTCTCTACTTTTTTTGATTTTTCGAATTCCTTTCATTGCTTTTTTATTTTATTTTTTTTTTTGGGTCGTCCCCTTCTGAAATTCTTTGGTACATTTATCGCAATGTTAAACAGCTTTATCTCCGACAATGCAAGGAGCTAAAAGGGGGAAGGGTAGAAGGACAGGAGCTCCTCTCTGACACTCTGACCGTAAACAACAGCCGAGCAAGACATCTACTAAGTGCAATTACCTCGGAGGGGAAATGATGATGTGGAGAAAACAGTCCACTTCTCGTACTCTCTGCCTTAGTGCTTTAAGGGTAAAGAACATGGCTTGATCATTACGAGTAGATTTGTCGCCAGTCATGAAGGGACAACTAATTACATCTGAGTTACTTTCTCTTTGCCTTTCTTCATGTTCGGGCTTCCAAGAACTGAACGTTGCAAAGAAAGGTCAGTGCGTTCATGATGCAGATAACGTGCGAGGAAAGGATGGAGGGGAAAAGATGGAGATAGGCTGTTGGAGATGCAATGAGGAGGGGCAAATCAACCTGCAGCGATCGTCGAGAAAAAAAAAAGAGGAGAAAAAGAGCGGAGACTGTTCATTCTCATCGACATACTATGGAGTAGGGATCTGATGACATTGACCCTTTTTTTTTTTTTTTATTTTTTTTTTCTCTCTCTTTAATCCATTCATTCATTCATCACCGAATTTTGAGGGCACTAGTCAAAAGGTGACCTTGAATCATTCCTTTTTGGGATGCATTCTAGTCAGGTGTACATATTACATAACATTAATTATGTACACACGGTGGTATGTACTATGTAGTACTCGTTTGCATGGATCCATACTTCACGCTACTTATGTAGTAGATATTACGGTAGTATTAACTGAGAGATTTATTTTTGTTACTTTTTTTTTGGTTGAAGATAGGGAATAAAAACAAAGATATCATTCACTTTCATTGTACAAGGTTCAATTGTACAGTTGTATTTACTGTTTACAGTTTAATCTTTCAACGGTGGAGACTAACCCACTTGGTCATCAAAAGTCACTCGGAAGGCACATACTGATTCGGGTTACTCATTGCTGATCGCTTGCAGGTCAGTCTTAGACTCTCTTAGCATCCTGCGCCATTCAACGGCCGGACATAATGCGACCCTCCACATACTGCAATCATGTATTGACTAACTATATTTTCCCTCCATCTCCTGACTGCATTTTGTTCCTCCAAAAACAACTTTGATATGAAGTACTCGGCAAGTGCCACCAGTTCCAGGGTAGAGCTGGCCAGACCCTTCCATGGCTAACGGGGGGGAGCTACACGCCACCTCCAGAGATTCGCTTTCCGCCGGGTACAATAACTTAGAACCCTGGCCTATAATAAGAACAATAAAAACCTACCTGCTGGCACTCTTCCGTTTGTGACGTAGCCTGTTAGGCCGATCGACTCTGATCGACGAGAAATGCAATTTATTATTAATTTAGCAGGTACATTGGACTTTTTCTGATATCTCACTGCCCTATTCTGCATGTTCGCTTTACCTACTTCTGACTCTAGAAATATATATGCCCTCCAAAAAAAAAAAAAAGAAAAAAAAAGAAAGGGAAGGCAAAGAAGCATGACTCGATACAAATGAGTTCCATACCCTGAAATATTCGCCACGCTCGTAAAGTATCCGAGGAAAACACAAGCACTTCTACTGGTACACAGTCTCATCAAGCGCTTCCTTGACATGCTTTGGAAGGTAATAATTCCGGCACAATCCGGTCCAGTGGATTCCATCCAACCGTACCAGAGCCAGATTCATCAACGAGGAACCACCGCTCTGCCTTCGAAGCGCCTGTCGCCACATGTGCACTAATTGTCTGGCCCTGATGGCTTGATCTTTCGACGGTGCTTGCACGAGTAAGAGTAACATGAAGCTGGAAACCGTCGCAAAACCGATCCGAGACCCTGAGCGCAGATGATCTGTTAGATAATGGTTGCTCATAGAGAAAAGAGGTGATAGAAGACGCATACATGAGAACCAATACCCAGCCAAGTCACTATATGCCATTCTCATCACCAATCGGAGAATCTTCGCTGCGCAGTTCTCGGCCGCTTTGAGAACTGCACTCCCCGCACCATTCTCATTTGACAGGTCTATTGCTGGGGTCGGTTCGATTTCGTCAGGTTCCATGATATGAAAGATGTATTCATCAAGTGCTGTGGTGAAGTTGTTTGAGGCTTCTGTTTCTTCGAATAAGGGCGGCGGAGTAGCTGAACGGACCATAGGTCGCAGAAGAGCGCGGAAGATAAACACTTCCAAGAGCGTGTATGCAAAATGAAGACAGGTTAATTGTGGACCTGTCCCGTCGATAGATGCGAAAAGCCTATCATGCAGTCTGAGTGTTGCCGGTAATTGGACGTACCATTCCCTCAACCTTTGTAGGAGTGGACGAGCAGTTTTGAGAGATTCCGAGAAATTCGATGATAAGCGTTGTGATGACCGCAGAGCGCTATTCAAATGCCTGTTAACAATGATACGGTTTCAATATGATAAAGATGTCACCCACTAGAGGTCGTGCTGCACCTCGTCTGCTATTCGAGACAAACGGGCAAAACATTGGAATTGCTGCGCATGCAGGACATCTTGTGTCAAGAGGCTGTTTGGAGGCGACAACAGGGCGACCTGCGCTTCATCAATTTGGAAATCATTGTTGTCGAGTTCTGTTACATCCCACTCATCATTTCTGATATACGGGGGCCTACCCATCAGGAGACTTCTCCACTTGTCCTCGGCATGAATCGCCCACCATAGTCTTCTTCGTAATCGCCGCTCCCAGGCCGGAAGGCCCATCGGCCCACATTCTAGTTGAAGACCGAGCGATGTAGCAAGTCCGACGAGCAATCCAACAAAAGACCATACAGACGCGCTGTCAGCAACAGCACTTTGACTCTTTTCAGGTGCTTTGTGCAAATAAAGAAGTCCCGCTTGCAGGGCTGCTAAGTGAGGGGTGTGTATCTCTTGTAGGAGGATCTCCCACACTATGCGCCAGAGCTGCTCAGTTGGCGGCGGTTTGTAAGCGTTGAGAACTGAGAGATACTCGTCAAACTTAGTAAATGGTTGTGCCGAAGCGTATATAGCGGCCAGAAGATGGACCGGCATGTTGTTAAGGACATGTTGATCGGGTGTGATGCGAGTAGAGGTGAGACCGAATAGTGTCCTAGAGATGACAGGAAAAGTCGGGAAGACGAATTTGACAAACCTGATATGTCAGTTGATGCTACTGAATCATAGGAGGAGGCCACTAACAAGGCTACCAGCTTTTGGCCGCAGTCTAGGGGAACTAGACTGTTTAACCCATCCCTTAGACTCTGGTTCCTGGGAATCGCTGTTTCTTTCTTTGTGGACGCGTATAGCTCGTCCGTAGTTACTAGGAAGTGAACGGGAATCTTTTCGTCAAGCGGAACCCCTCCCGCATTTCGGAAGTGTACCTGATGGAAAAGAAGAAAACCATGGTCGTCGAACTTGCAATGTCGAAGAAGCCATGGGTCTGATTCGCCTGATGCCCCAATGACTTGATATGAGAACCCGTTCAGCTGATCTAACGTTTGAATCGCCTGAGCTGGAGGCCTCTCTGGAAAGGGATAAGTTGCTGGAGCCGTCGTAACGGGTTCGCCTGACGGAATGTGTCTTGAATCATAACCAGCTGAAGGGTCTAAGGAGAGGATAGGCTCTGATTGGCATCGGACCAAGTCATCTGTGTTGACTGTGTCGTTTGCCTCCTCTACGGGCTGCACAGTCGTCACTTGCCAGGCCGAAGGAGGAGACGCCTGACTCGCATCGGGGAGTGCTGCCGATGGCTGATGAACAACCTGAAGGCCACCGAAGGTACACAAAGTACCGGAAGTTTGACATCTTTGACAACTATTTCCTCTCTCCGCTTGACATCTTAACTTCTTTCGACGACATGGGTCACAAGGCGGATGCCTCTTAGAACGATAGGGCCGAGTATAACTCGGGGTATGAGGGCTATTTGCATTTCTCGGGGAAAGTGACTCCATTCTCTGACTTTTCAATGTTCGGCGGAAGGTAGTAGAGTTAGATGGATGATTCTGTGTCTGCCGAAAAGCATTCCGGAAACGTTCGGCGAAATAATGATCTGATTCGTTCGGGCCTTGGCCCGGACCAATGTTGTGAGAAGGCGCAATCAAGAGTCAGTTCAATGGGTCTTGAGCAACCTTCCAATCAGACCCCCTAGTGTAGTCAATGCAGCCACTAAAGCGATTACAGGAAGTATTCTGCATTTGGCTTTTGAGCAGTAGGGACTGTGACAGACATTGCAGGTTGTATTAGTGCGTGTCTACTGTCTGAACAGCATGAATACCTCCTCAAAAGGAGACCATGTTTCTATCCAAGACCACATTTAAAACCTTGTTAGAACAAGTACGAAACTGTTAACTCTGCATCTGAGAACATCTTCGGCCTTTTGGTGGATCTTCTCCTTAGCCATATATCTATGTGTTCTCGGAGGGCGCAAGAGTGGCCCTCCAGGAGGCCACAAAAAAAAAGAAAAAAAAAAAGAAAAAAAGCAAAATATCAAGTCCTTCTGGTCATCAATTCATACCTGCTTGTCAGAAATAATCACAATGTCCACATCACTGCCAGGAAATCGGGATTTGCCCGCGTCGCAGTATGATCTCTCGACGTACCTGGGACGTGTTCGTCAATGCGCAGACCTATCAGACCCTAGGTAACTTGACATTCATATTCCAATAACGGGACATCAGTTAGCTCACAACGTGATGCTTAAAGAACATTGTTTACATCAAGCGCCGGACTGCAGAATGCGAAAGACCTTCTCACGAAGTACAGATCGGGGCAAATCCAGAGCATGAGCCCAGAATTGTGGCAGGCTAAGAAGATTGTCGATTCAACCTTGCATCCCGATACAGGAGAGCCAGTGCTTCTACCATTCCGCATGTCGTGCTATGTCTTCTCCAATTTGATTGTTACCGCGGGCATGCTTATCCCGGGAATGAAGGTGAATCCGGACCATAAAATATTTCGTTCTAGTTATGTATGATAAGCTAATATAATGTCCCATTACAGTGGAAAGGCACTTTGGCCTGGCAAATTGCCAACCAATCCTTGAATGTGGCCATCAACAGTGCGAACGCGAACAAATCCACTCCTCTTTCCACAGCGGGAATGATCAAATCGTATCTCATGGCGGTATCTGCTTCTTGCTCGGTCGCGCTCGGGCTGAATTCCATTGTTCCAAGACTAAAGTCGGTTTCACCAAGTACGAAAGTGATTCTAGGACGCCTCGTCCCTTTCGCAGCTGTTGCCAGTGCTGGTGCGCTCAACGTGTTTCTCATGCGCGGCGAGGAAATTAGACAAGGAATCGATGTTTACCCATTCACATCAGTGGCACGTGAAGAAGTAGACACTGGAGAGAAGGTCCCGGTGACAAGCTTGGGGAAGAGCCAGAAGGCTGCAACTATCGCGGTGGGCGAGACAGCCATTAGTCGCGTTGTCACTTCTACGCCGGTTATGGTCATCCCACCTCTCCTTCTTCTGCGCTTCCAGAAGACGGAGTTGCTGAAGAGGCGTCCATACCTTGCGATGCCTATCAATATAGGTCAGTTAGCCGTTATAGGAGTATGATCCGTGGTCTATATACTAAGTTCTGTTGTAGGATTGGTTTTCTTGACGTCCGCTTTCGCCCTCCCGTTCGCTTTGGGGGTATTTCCACAGAGGTTAGTGATGAGTTCCGATCGTTTAGAAGAAGGTTTTCATGGAAGAGGAGGTGAAAATGGGCAAGTGGTATTCAATCGTGGCATTTGAGGTTCTTTCATCGATGGGGAGGCGTCAGGGCTATCTATAGCCAGAAATGCGTAGTCATCTGAGGCACATCTAAAACATATTCACATAGTCTATGACTGACTTGCCCTAGAGCTTGATTTATCTGTGATGATCAGTTCCTGAAAGTACGTACATAAATAATAGCCTAGATAGCCAAATTTCGACATACGACCAACATTCGTATCAAATAATCTTGAATGGCAAGCGATATTAGGCTAATAAAAGAAAGGAGAGCCCATACGTGCGTGCTAAGAGGCAGTAGATCCTACCAGATAATCGGATGTCGCACAGACTGTCCACGTATGCATGCCTGAATTTAATGACTTTTACTCAAGGACCGGTCAGGTGGTACTGATTTAGCCGAGTATAATATGTCTACGATTCCTCTTTTCTGAAACTCTACTATATCATTCTTTACACATCCTCGTGCATACCTAAGTACCTTAGGTCAAGATGTCCCAGCCACAACCTGATGCTTCAGTTGATAGAAACCACCAAAACGAAAAGAACAACCTCCCACAACAGCAGACATTGTTCTACCCATGTGTCTATACCACGCAATATCCAAAAGAGGCCCCAATATCTGAAACTTTAATCGATGAGAAGTTAAAGAATTTCGACGCAGATTTCATCAAACTGGGCGACGAGCTCCGCCATGAAAGGAAGATGAAGGTAGTAAAATACTACACTCAACATTCGAGTGATGATAAGAAGAGGTTGAAACTGTTGCTGCGTTTTGCAATCGTCTCGAAGCTACGTAAAATGCAGCGTTTGCCGAAGAGAGAAGCCGGTAGTTCTTTGGAGCGTCGAGACTTTGCAGGATCTTCTATGGGGCTTTCCGGGTCGCATGGTCAGTGTGCCATACATAAATAAGTGTGTAGAATTTACACTAACTGTTGGTATGATATGAAGATGCTGAAAGGCTGGCTATGTTTCAAGACCCCAATTTTGGCTCTCGTGTGGATGCCTAAGTATTAGCATGGTGATAATCAACTTGACCCTAGATAGAACACCCAGGAAAGCGCCAGGCAGCGTAATAACTGAGATGTACAAGAGAGCTGACGGAGCCACTTTTTGTTTTTTTTTTACTTTTTTTACTAAAGTTGCACCGAATCTTCGAGGCACTAATTCTCGATCCTTGTACCTTTTTATACTAGTATTATATGTTGACTGATATTATTACCAGGTAGAAACAAATATCATGTCAGGTCAGTTAGATAAGATTTAGTGTACTGCGTGTCATAAAATGACTAGGGTATAAAAGTCTATCTTTATATTTCCGATATAAATAACAGTCCCCACTATATTCTAGAAGCAGGTATATCATATTTTTATTTATTCATTGTTCTCCTGGCTCTATCCTAGAGTAGCAATATCTAAGCAAAGAATTACCCCAGTCACAAGGTCTGGATTTCGGGACCGTTTGATTGCTTTAGAAGCAGATGGACTGATTGTCACTCACACAAAAATAAACAACAAAGATCTACCCAGCAATAGCCTACTCTACACCTTTGTGGAGTTTTTGTGGAGTGCTATATAATTATCTTCCGTGCTAGGCTAAGAATAGAACCCTTGTACAAATTTAGAACATATCTCAAATCTCAACGTGCCATCGGTCTATGCACACCTGTGTCATCTAGAAAGCTGTTGCACTGAAGAAAAGTAGCTAGGAACATAGGACATGCTCCTGGAAACAGTACTGGTAGCTTTAGCTTTCTGAAGAGCCTCGAAATAGTTCCTGGGAGGAAGACCCATCGTGCCCGGAGACATTAACATGGGCCCTGGGGCTAGAGATATATGATTCAGGGAATCCGTCTCGCTTTGCGGGAAGCATCCAGGAAATTGCTGCTAGAGAAGAATGTTGCAAGTACTATGATCTCATTTCACCACTTTCTACCGATTGCCATCTGCCGTAAGCTCTAAAACGATGGCTGTGCGGTATTTCTATTATTGGCCAATTTGGATCCTGAACCCGCATGTTGAGCATCGACGGTACATACTAACCGACCCCTACAATGACTTCCCGGGGTCGGTTATGTACTCTGTACATGATGGCGTCCACCGCTGCTGATTGGCAATGTAGGATTCAGCTCGCTACTGCAGTATCCATAGCCCGGCCATCCACCTGAACATCCGCACAGCCAATCGTTGCGATTCCCCACAACTACGCTGTCTGTTGTTATAGTCGATCTTGGAAGCCCACACGAGTCATGACACACAAATGGAACAGATCCTTTCCTATTTCTACTACGAACGTGAAGCCCCGCATCGGAATTGCTAGCCGCTAACATAATATCGGGAAGGGCCACATTCAGCCCAACTGGTATTACAGTGAAGTCGCGCGAGTCTGACTTCCGTTTCGATGTCATGGAACTCAAAGATGATGATGATGATGATGATGATGATGATGATGATGATGAATATTCTAGAGATAAGATTATTGAATATGCTAGACGCTGGGGCGGCTATAGAGTGACCTGTAACGAGAAGGAATACTCCATGGTACAGATCAAAGCGGCCAAATAAGCCAAAACCTTTTCCTCCGACAATGATGATTCCGAGGACTCTGACTGCTGAAGCACAGAAATATGTACCTAGTCAGTTGAAGCATGTGTATAATCAACTAATATTGTTGACTATGTCAACCCCTGGGATAGCTGCCAGACCACAGGACCCGTGACAAGTTAATAATTTACTCTTCAGAAGTAATTATGAACATCGCAGTGGCCTCATCAGCTTGGCCAATCATGCTCTTAACCTGGTAACTTTCATCAGCAAATTCCTATTATATAATTTACGATCACGATGAACCCTTACCTTCAGGGTTCCGCCATTGAAAGACTGAGCATCATCTTTCTTCTCTCTCTTGTCAACCCAATTATAGTTCTTTTGATTGATGCTAGCGTCACTATCCAAGATAGCGGATTTGGAGGTATTACACAGTACTAATGCTCCACACCACATCTCAACCCTAAGTCACGTGCAGTTCATAATACCTCAGCACCCCCAATTCAAAGGCAAGGAAAACATTTCAGCGTGATTAGGGCCAGTAAGAACTGAGTAATGAAACCCTGGCCATGAATAGGCAGTATAATTGATCCGGTATATATGGTAGGGTTGGTTCAAGATCTAGGTGATTTTCCAAAGGTACCTGGCAAAAGCTTCCGGAATCAGCTTTATATGATTGATGGTCTTTTTTGGTTTTCTTCCTGCCTGGCTTTCAAGGATTAAGTAGACTTCGGCAGAACCTTCAAGGGACTCTACCGAAGTCTAGAATTACGGAGTAAGTCTCGACGCACTACCATCTAGGCTGCCACCACCATCGACGTCAATAAGTCGTTATAGATTAAGTTGGCAATGCTTCCTATCCTTTGCACCCTCCTAGTAATTGATAATTGACCCGGGGGTTATTCTATTTACTACGCCGAAATTGCGAAGAATGCAATAAGCATGATCTGTAATGCGTGGACCTGGCAGATCGCCGTTCAGGGCTATCGGCTCAATTCAACCAATAGACGTTCGAGATGCCCGAGCTTTCCATCAGAAGCATCCTTTCTCACTCCACCCAATACTAGCCTTAATCGGCCACTAAACCAGATGGAGTCTTTTCCTCTTTATGTCTCTCCTGCACTGTCCGAGTTTGCTCAGAAAGCTGTTTCAGCGGTCGGTCTTCTTCAGGATGGGGCTCCAATACCGAGTCCACTTGTCGGTCCCGCAGAGAAGGCACAAGACATTTATAAATATATGTACGGAACCACCCATCGCTCTAATGTATCCTCCGGCATATTTGCTCTCTCAAGTATCCGCTACTCGTTGCCGTTCCCTTTGACTTGGATATGTCAGGCAAAGAAGATCGAAGCTTGGCTCCTTCAAGGACGTCCGAAAGCCCCGAGCTAGCAGGTAATGGAAGCTATCCCGAAGGAGGGCTCAGGGCATGGCTGGTAGTCTTCGGAGCGTGGTGTGCTATGATCCCATCCATGGGCCTGTTGAACTGCCTAGGGATCCTACACGCCTGGACGAGCACTCATCAGCTTCAGGGATACTCCGAATCAAGCATTGGTTGGATATATGGTGCTTATGGATTCTTCCTTTATGTTGCTGGAGCCCAAGCTGGTGAGTGAGATTGTTTCAATTATACGAAAGGTTACTGAGCCATGTGCAACAGGGCCAATCTTCGATGCATATGGACCAGCCTATGTCATTATTCCTGGGTCGATTGGAATTGTAGCTGCACTGATATGCTTCAGCTTTAGTGAAGGTATGTGTGACTGTATCAATTCCTTGCTGGCACTCCTATTCTATGGACCTCGTCATATACCACAATTCTAACGCAATGCAGAGTATTATCAGATTTTCTTATCTTTTAGCGTCCTCGGTGGACTCTCAGCCTGCACATTATTTACACCGGCAGTCTCATGCGTCGGACACTGGTTCAACATCCGCCGCGGCTTTGCAACAGGCATCGCCTGCACAGCCGGCGGACTGGGCGGAGCGATATTCCCCCTCATAATACTATTCGCAGCTCCCAAAATCGGATTCCCATGGGCGATCCGCATCATCGCACTCGTATGCGCCGTTCTCTGCACACTAGCCTGTCTCCTCATGAAAACGCGACTCCCACGCAACAAAAGAGCAGGTGCCTCCATTGATTTCAAAGCCCTCAAAGACATCAAATATGCCACCACAACCGCAGCCATTTTCCTAGTAGAATTCGCCGTGTTCATCCCAATCACCTACATCGCCTCATACGCAGTCCACGTCGGAATCAACGACACTCTCTCCTACGCACTGATCGTCTTCCTCAACCTCGGCGCCGTCCCAGGACGCTTCCTCCCCGGTCTCATCGCCGACCAGCTAGGCCGCTTCAACGTAATGGTCCTCACATCGCTCATATGCGCAGTATTAACCCTAGCTCTCTGGCTGAAGGCAGGAGACAACATAGCCGCCATTATATGCTACGCAGTGCTGTTTGGCTTTTGGAGCGGAGCAGCGATCAGTCTAACACCCGTGTGTATTTCACAGGTCTGCGCGACAGAAGACTACGGGAAGAGAAACGGAACGACGTTCACGATCGTTAGTATTGGCACTCTCACTGGGATTCCGATTGCGGGCACCATTCAACAGCACAATGGAGGGGATTATTGGGGCCTTATTGTGTTTGGGGGTGTGCTTTATTTGGCGGCTACTGTTGTTTTTGGTGTTGCGAGGGGGGTTTGTGCGGGGTGGGCTTTGAAGACTCGATTTTAGAGGAGTGGATATAGATTAGAATTCCATGAAGTGGTTAACGCATGCTACAATGATGGAGAAATAGTTTTCTCGCGGATTTATCGCAGAATGTGTCGAGTACTTCTATAGGTAGTAGTTGTACACTCCTCAGTCTGGCCAACCCACTCAGATCCAGACACTTTGAAATAATGGCTAGATACTTAAGTGAAGTCATACATTAGAATTACGTCCTCCACCGAAGCCATCCAAGACTGGTCCCAATATAAAACGCAAGATTTCCACATTGATTGCTATGAGACCTCCAAAAGAGCCACAAAGACAGGAATGAACCGCAACACTTCCCAAACCAGACACCAAGCCCAGATATGGAGGGGGAAAAAAAAAAAAAAAAAAAGGACCAATGTCCCAACAAACGGTCTCTTATTTCACCCAATCCTCCAGAAATGATGATCTCGGCGTTAATTCCCCATTCTAGTTATGATAATATGATAATTTTTGTCAATAGTAGCCTGACTATCTTGGTTAACTTGGATTTCGGCGAACATCAGATCTATACACGCGCGTGGACCAATGAGAAGCTGGTTTCCCCGAATGGTTGGGGTTTCTCCACTCAGCTGATGTGTACCTGCCCGAGATCCATAGTACAGTATGTATGTATACCTATTTTGTTTTTCTTGATTAATGAGTAAACAGCAAGAATAGTATGAGTTGTACATACATATATATCAACGTCATCGTCGTTTGTCAAGCTCGAGGGGACTCGATGTTCCGTGACAATATATATCCTCTCAGGGCCATTTTCTCCCTTTCCTTAGCCTGCCTCAGCTTCCACAACCCAAGCTCTACGACCCCCACCTACCACTTGAATATATATTATAATGAACGAGAAACTAAGCCCAAAGAATCTTAAAACAAAGATCCAAGCATTCCTCCATAGACCAGACCGCACAAGTGCAACGAGAGTCTCTGACACCGATTCGGAGATCACATTGACAACCAAGTATGGATTATGTATTGTACCTTGAGAGACGCCGAGGTATCTATACTGACCTATCTTAGGGATCGAACTGATATTACCAAAGAGTCTCGTGGTGGACCTGTTCTGTATAATGGTATGTTGTTTCGTCGTTCTATGGTTGAGGAGAGCTGACTCAGAGTTTGGGTACAGGAGATCAGTGCTTCGGGACTTGTTGTCGGGGGAGTGGGTATCCAAGATAAATGAATAGAGGTAGTGAACGAGTATATGTATGTACAGTAGTAATTAGGAACTTGAGGGACGGGGGGTTATTATTGACTTGACCGCACATAGATAGTCCAACGTGGCGACTGCTTGTTGGCTCTCCTTGGGGTTTGTAATTAGACTGCCATTACTGTTTTTGAGCGGGTTCGAAAGTCATGAAAAGCCTCGAGAACAGTAGTATCCAGGTCGAATAATAGTTGCTGAAAGGCTGAAAGCGGTTTCAGAAAGCATTGTCGAGTGCTTTGAGCAACTGGTTCTTGACCTTTAGCCATCAACTCTTCCGAGCTGATTTACTTCGTGGGGTAGTGACCCTTATCATCTTGCAGAAAAATTATATACCATATGGGTTGGGTCTACCCGTCAAGATAAGTCTAGCATACTAGAGTGGATGCTCACCTGAGTAGTGGTGACGATAAAAGTCACACTGACACGGAGGGTCAGACGGATATAAGGTTTTTGCATGCCATAGTGCGTGAGTGAAGACAGGGTAGAATTTGAAACACGGCACTGTGAAGTATATGGATATATAGATCGACAGGAACGAATGTCAAAGACCTTCTTCACCGGGACGGTATGTCTCGCTCTTCAACGTCCGTCCTGCTCTCTTACAGCCAGGCAAGAGCACATAACCCAGCTCTTCTTCTCTGCAGCGCCCCCGTTGTAGGTTTGCAGTCCAGCTACTTTAGCTAAAAATGAATCCCTCATTCAGCCAGCCTGGGAAAGTGCTCTGGCGCAGCACTAGTTCATTGACTGGTTCGAGCTATATGATAGATAGGTCGGATGCTGGCCCATTATCCCCAACATGCTTAGCAGCGTTGGCTTCAGCCAGCCTTCGACTACACCTAATTCTGAAGACAGATATGCCGGAATTACCAAAGCACTGACAACTCGCAACTTGAATTTTGCCCGCTCTACTACGATTAATGGGTCTAATTAAGATCATATTTGTTACTCATCGGCGTCCTGTTAAAATCAACACAAGAGGCACTACTAACTCAACCTTCTTGGAGGTCGCACCTCTTAGGCTAGGTCATACTAGGTTTTAAGAGACATTGTACCTGCCCAAGTAGTACTCAGAGTACCCCTAGCGCCTATCCTGTCTTCTTCTCCAGGGTTGTCATAATTCTCCGTTTCCGTTCCCAGCCAACCATTCCGTGTCAATGCGTCGGTAGGGAAGTCCCCAGAGTTCAGTGTTTCCTGCATACTCGGATCACATCCCACCTAGACATCTTTCAAAACGAGCCCATTTATTTATTCCTCTTTTCTTTTGCCAGCTGGACTGTAGCCATGAATGTCTTGACACCGCACGGGGGAGCTACTCAAGCGGGGAATGCAGGCCTATATTGTGGGAGAATACTACCTCCTCCTCAGTGTGGCTTGTCTTAGCGCTTTACAATAGAGAGAAATGAAACGATTGGAATACTGCAGTCGACACATGTCAGCAGATTAGACTTAGCGCAATATTTGGTTATACTTGCTAGCGCGGAGATTCCCGACGCTATAGTTCTCCATAACCAATCGGCCCGGGCACGGGGTCCTGGTCTATAAGAAACAAGTTCAATCAACGTGCATGAACGAGTGATGATTTCTGCAGGTGGCTAAGAGTCGACTAAGATGTCCGTGTACACTTCGCCCTTTATCACCGGGGAATTGTGGTTGCCCCGCATATCCGAGCTTCCGGAACTTTCTTCATCCTTTGACTTTGGATATTGTCATGAACTATGGGGTTGATGCATATAATCCTGTTATTATTAGTTTCTCTAGCCTCATGCAGCAGGGAGAGAAAACCCTCTCTTCTTCCAAGTCAATGCCGCGTTATATTGGTGCAACAAAATAGTTGCTTATTTGGTTTCCTTGCACAAGGTCACGAAGCTGTTGAGCGAGCCTTATTGTGTGCTATACAAATTATAAGCCGTATGCTAGAAATAATATTCTAGGCATTACAAGGAGAAGAGTCTAGAACATAATAAAAAGTATTGAGGGGTATTATTGACAGAAACGCATAGGGTCTCGGATATTATAACCAACTTTTTGTTGTATACCCACCCATGTAACCCAACGCATATACAGCACAGTATTACGCCTCTCAGCGCATCCTATGCCACATTATGACACTGCTGCATGCACAGGGAGCTGAGACCTAAGCCAATGACTATAAAGGGTAAAGTGTGATCAGGCTAGCATTAACTTTAACAGAAGTCCATTCTAGGAGAACGGAGAAGTAGTGGGTTGATTTCCTTGTTACTCTATAATACTACGATGTTGATTCTGTGTACAGGATCCTGAGCTGCGTTTAGAGCACGTAGTGTTTGCTATCAGAATGAAAGGTGATAGCATGTCAATTTAGTAAACCTGCTTTGTTGATATTCAGTGTTGAGATCATGGTGGGACTATAGAAAGCCATCCTGAACAGTTCATCGGCATGACCGATAAGAGGCTGATACCCTGAGCCTAAAATCTCGTATCCTCAGCCAGCCACTCTATAGTGGCTTATTATGGATTCCAATAACAGCATGCATGATATGGAAGTGTGCGGTCGCGACCATCGGTATCGAACTTCGCAAAGACTTATAAATAGCTTGACAAGTATTCATTTCTCAGACCATCAAACACAATCACCTTCTCCTTTCTCTTTGCTCAGAACACCAAACCCATAATTATCTTGCTTATCCTTCTGGCTTTCCCCTATCATACAACATGAGAAACTTCAAGAACTTCCTTCTGCTAGCAGCTATCTCAGGAGCCTACGCTAGGAACTGCTGGTCAGGCCTGGTGTACTGCGGCTGGGATCTCCTTAAAATAGGTATGAACGGCAAAAGCCCCATCATAGCATATACGGGCCAATGTGTTGCTGACTCAACGCCAGGAAATTATGAGGAAGATATCGAAGATGCACTGGAACTTGCCGGACAACCTATAAATGCACACACCAAAAGGGATTCGCTCTTTTTCTGCGGTGGGCCTGATGACCTGTCGTACCAGGGTACTTGCCACCGCGGCGAATGCCAGTGGAATAACAATAACGATTACTGCAATGGCGATTACGATATTGCACCATCTTTGGGATTCTCAACTGGTATGTAGAAAAGCAAACACAAAAGGAAAGCTTGATATACCGGTGCTTTTAACTGAGCTGACTTGGTAAAGGCGAAGCCTCACTTCTGCGGTCGCAGGGCCATTGAAATGGACGAGACCTGTTCCAGGTGGAGAGTATTGTTGGTCATATTTTGCTGGGATCACGGTTAGGATGACGGCTTGAAGTGCAACTTGGATGATGTAGAGACCCAATAGCAGAAATGAGAATTATCGCGTATTCATACTCCTTAAAATGCTTCTGATATCCTGCCCCTAGCTCAACACATCTATACTCAAAGTCAAGATATATCAATGAGCAATCGGGAGGGATTTTTTTTATTAGGGGTTTGCTGGGTTAGTTGGCTTAAGTTCTTGGTTTATGTATGGTATTGGGAGAGCAACTCTTTGGAATGACTGAGGGAATTGGTTCGTGCCTTCCGCTGTCTTCATAACTTCACAGAATATATGTCTGTTATACAATAGATACAGGGTGAGAAAACAAGAAATACAGGAACCCATGTTCCTCAGTACCCTCTATCCATCACTCCACAACCACAAATCAGTTTGTAATCCCTCTCGTTCAGCATCCAGAACCAAGTTATTCGCATTCAACTGATCCGTAACAGAAAGCATCTGCTCCAATGACAACCCACAATCTCTCCAATCGAAGTGCATCTCATCGTCCTGAACAACATCACCAGCCTCTGGCACCGACAGAGCCGGACTGATAGCCGCGTTCAGAACAGCCACAGAATCATTCACCTGCTCCGACGGTCGTCCCTCGCCCACGTGCTTTGCACTACTCCCAGGTGTTAGGGGTTGCAGTTGAGGCTGGAGCAACGGCTGGACTAGTTCCTCTAACTGCACGATTTCGGATTTCCGGAGCTGTGCGACGCGATTTCCCCGGGCGATCATGTCGTCTAGTAGACTGAATCCCATGTCTCGGTAGCTGGGGTCTGGGATGATGTCCGGGAGGATGGCTGCGATCAGAGATAGGATGAAGAAGGATGAGAAGAGGCTTTCGAGATCGAAGGGGAGAAATGTTTCTGGTTGGTGCTGTTAGTATTGTCGTTTGTGGGTTAGTGGAAAAGACGAACCGAGGAGGTTTTGGTCACGCAGCGCAGTTAGGATTCTCAAGGATTTTAACGCGGAGTCGGTAGATGCGTGCAGAAGGGTCTGGACTGGTGATGATAATGTTCGGAATACGTCGCCCTGCTCGAAGCAGCTGAGTCGCTCCCAGAGGAGGGCTAAGACTAGTGGTCGGGTAGTGACGATGATACACTTAATCCTGGTTAGGAGAACTGCCTGTGCAATTTACATAGAAGCACATACCTGATGACAAGATAATGTCAGTCGTGTAGTGACGCCAGATAGTGACTCTACAGAATTTGAAAACCGATGCGCGAAGACATCCTCCAGCTCGCGCGAAAGGTCCGTCATTTCCTGCAGGACTGATCGAACCTTCCGGAGGAAGATGCCACCTAGCTTTCCGTCTGGGCTATATACAGCTGAAAGGTGCCTAGTCAGATCAGGGTACATTTGAAGGGAGGGTCCTCCTTACTGTCCAACACACGGGTGATAACCTGTGTAATCTTCACATGAAGACTCAATGCGGCCTCTTTTTGGTCACACGATTTCGGATCCGAGAGGGGAGTAGTTATCTCATCATCCTTGACCGCGTTGGGTGATCCGATCAACGATGAAAACTTCCTGTCCAGTATATACACTGTCCACCATATATTTTGACACCGATCCACTAGTTTTTGGCCTAGTTGTTCAACTGGCGGAGCGCGGTGGTGACCTTCGACCAATGCCATGCGCATGGCATGGCCGATCTACACTGTTTAGCTGCTTGGACAATAAGAAGAAAAGAAACATGGAAGAAAAAGAGCTCAACTTACATAGCAATATGCGGTGTCTCTCATGTCGATCGAGTGGAAATAAAGTCCGATGAGAGTAAGAACCTCGATAGCCAAAACAGGATCTTGCCATAAGCCTGTAATATCAGGAAGAAAGGACATGGCCCGTAAGAAATATTTCGTCCAGCTAGCAGCATTGGAAACCTTTCGTACCGGCGCTAAGAGAGCCTCTCCGAACGCCAATACGATCAAGAACTGGACGTACCAGAGACGGCTCTGTTGTACCTTCACTTCGGCATTATCATAAAACTCGTACAGATGGTGAAGAAACTCGTCTTCGTCAAACAACAAGTACAAATGACTAAAATGGAACTGAACCGTGTTCAGTATATACAGGGCATGCTCCAGGGATGGCAGCCCACTGATGTCAGGAAGCTCCTCGGAGCTGGCTTGCCTCCACTGAAGTTGGTAAGCGTCGCCGTCCACAGCGAGGGGCAGTGGCGTTGAGTTTTGTGGACTCAGACGCGCTTGGATGGTGTTAAGAATTCGACGACTGAAGGACCAGGTAGACGTAGGTCCGAGGAATACTAGACTGGTCAGCTTTCTGAGGGGGTCTTGACAGCAGCAAGTGACATACACCACGTTCTCTGCCTACGGCCAGTATGCTTGACATAGCCAGGTGATACCAAGGCCAAGGGGTTGGAAGCGAATCGTTCATCATATCGGATGACCCCAGATTGTTCCGGGGTAGGCTCTTGCGGCGTCTCGGATGTTGGTACTGGTGCGAATTAGCATATATCCGGTGGTATGGTTGCAATCCGCGTTACCATAAGTGCTTCCGCCCACACTACTGCTCTCCAAAGTGCGAGTCCGTTTTGGTGGTGGCGTGCACTCGATCTCCTCCACCCTTCGTTTTAGGGATAGAAATAATCTGAAACATTGTCAATATAGCGCAAAGACAATAAGAGTTGTGAGATGTATGTACTCCTCTGAGACAACAATTTTCCGATCATCTTCAAACACACAATCCAGCCGACGCTGTCGACATTTATCGCAAGGATGTGTGCCGGAGCATTTGACTTTGCGAGATCGGCATCGCTTGCACCTGGGGAGAGTCAGATTCGAATTACTGATAGGCACCGCGGATTGGCAACTTACGCGTTGGAGGTCCGCTTAGGACGCTCAGGGTGATCCATATTGATCCCCAATGACTCTTGGCGTTAGCCTAAGTTATTGTAGCCAGGAAAAAGGCATTGATATCTCTTTTCCAGTCGGTCCATTCGTTGTTGTTGATGGTATCCACGTGGTGAGTCAGCAACCCCGCAGTTTAATAACCAAAACGAGAATTAGGGCATTTGCCGAGCGGGATAAACCGATAAGATTAGATATGTTTGTATAGGGTATACAAGATAAGCTTCCAATGCTATCAGTAAAAGGACATACTTATTGCATGGTACTGGGTGATGCATTCTCAAACAGGGACTCCTACGAATAACCATTTCTTCGCTATGGCTATTCATTCATACGAGACAGCTGAACCTCCTTCTATGCTTATACTAGGATGCGGATGCAAGGGTCGAGCATGGGTCTCGAACTGGTTGAGGGCTCCATCAACATCCTGGAATTGGTGGTGAGTACCCTATACCGCAACGAACTTCGGCTGTCTAAGGCCGAGGAGCCAATGATATGAGGAAATTTGAGGAGATCGGCATTTTGGCCCCAAAATCCGCGTGCTAGGGCGACGGACCACCACATACCATCAAGGGCAACATGTGGATAAACTATACTATACTGCTAAGGACATATCAAGGATCCACGCGGCTGATATTAAAAATAGGCCAGAAATTCTGGGTTACTCTGAACGTTAAAACCTCCTGGAAAAAAGTGAGGAACATATTTATTTGCCTCCCACACCTCCACCAAACATGAGGTTCCGCCATAAACCGACTGTGAAAGTTGATCACTATCCGCTAGATCAGTATCCATCCATTTCTGAAACCCCTATTGCGGGCCATGAACCAGATGGTATTCCCAGAAACCAAGAGCAAGTGTGCCAATGGGGCATTGGCTGGAAAACCACCTTTATCCTCAGCGGCAGCTACATCATGGGTATGCACATGTGATGTGAATTTATGTGGATATTTATATTGACATATCTGGGAAGCACTTGCTCTAGCAATCACTCACCTGGTAGTATTTTTACGCAGTACTTCTGGCACTTGGTTCGCATCACCCCGATGCAACTCCAAACCTTGGAACTTCTCTACACCATGCGGGGCAATCCAACCTCGTTCTTCTCCATGACGGCCCTTCAAAAAGGATGGATGCTAGTTGCCATCACGGTCATTTTCTGGGCTATACCTATCGCAATGAGCTTCCCATCTAGTGCAATGACCGTCAAAAATGCAATATACACCCATATTATACCACAGATAGTGCCTAGTATGGTCCCTCAAGAGGTAAGTATGAGCTAGGTCCTGGGACATTTTCGGGGTATTATTTTCAATTTGCCCTTCACCATAGACCTGGGGTGGCAATACGACGGAATTGTTAGATAAGGGTTTGGCGATGTACGTGACACCTAGCGACGCGGACGCGAATGCTTTGGACAATGTTCAGGTTGTCTCCATCGACCCCTTGTATTTTGTGACACTGCACACCAATGTTAAGCCTGTTGTTCAGCAGCTAGCCACGGAAAGTATGGTGAATGGCGCCCCACGGACAATGGACTCTCCTTGTGGTATGAACTGCTCTTATGAGATCTCCTTCGACGGCCCTTATTTCAATTGCAATCACACTCTTACAGAACACATCACACCGGGTGATTACAATACTTCCAGTGCGCACATCCAATTTTATGAGAGCAACTGGACTACGGCTCAGAATAAGCCAGACGGTGGGATTATCGGGGACTATCGTATCAAGAGCCTCGAGGTACACGTCTTCTTCCTGAATGCCTCTTCGGCATACCAATTGAGCTATGCCACACATGCCCTTACGTGCCGCCCAAGTCGGGCGAAATACCACGTGGTGCAGCAGTTTCGCAACGGTCAACAGTCTTCGACTGTCACAACACGCGATGCCCAAGACCTGGTCTTGATGGATGAGATGCTGTACTTTTCCAAGGACAATATGACTGCCGGGGTCATTGACCAGATTCGAGACCGTAACATAATGACGCTGATTGTGGCAATGGCCAATGTCCTCACTGGCACAGTGACAGGGGTTACGGTTGGTGTCGATAACGGATCCATCCCGCAACAAGCATACGTCTCAGGAATCAGTGAGTGCTCGCCTTAGAGATTTCGATCAGTTAATAGAATGACTGTAAGGACAGCCGTGACAGAGTCTGCGTCGGTCATGTCCACGCGACTGTACAGGCCTTATAGCAACTCCTGAAAAGGTGCTATAGTAGAGGATTGGGACAGTCTGTTCGATATAACTGAAGACAATCTCAATTCGATGTTAGCAAACATCACTATGAGTGTTATTAACCAATTCCAGCTTAACACAGCTACTACCAATGTAACACGGCATGATCTACGCACGCAGTTTGCCTTCTCCCGGCCGTTGAATCTTTTGCTCTCTTACTTTCTCTCCCTGGGTGTTGCGCTTCCTCTAGCTGCTGTAGGGTACTGGTCACTCCGACAGAATGGCGTTCCAGCGACGGATAATGGCATTCTGCAAGTAACTATGACTACTCGGGGGAGCCCAAAGTTAGATCAGCTGACGAAGGGTGGGTGCTTAGGGGGGAACCACAACGAATCGGCGCAGCTTAAACAACTCGAAGTTCAGTTTGGAGAGGTATCTCGAGCAAACAGTTCTCGAGAAGAGCAGAATAGCCTTGGGGCTTCCACGTCAGAGCTCAGGATGGCTGGATTTGCGCCTAGAGATGAGGTTACTCCTCTTCTCCGTGGGGAAAGATATGGAGTCACATATAATGATAAGGTCGCCGGTAGTAAGGTGCGCGATGGGTCCCTGCTCACTGACGATGGTGTACATAATTAGCCATGCTATACACCTTTTCGAGTTTTGGCCAATATCCTCTGCGACGAAACTAGAATATGTTAATAGATCAAATTTGAACTCTGCAGGCCAATACTTAATGTACTAAAGTTGACTCTTCACTTTCACATAACCGTCCTTATTCCCAATGGAATGCGACTATCTAGAACCTCAACATTTCAATTAGTATCATGAATATAGTGCTAAGCCGAGTAGTTCTACTTGTGTGAAGGGTAGAGTGGTCTCCCTTTCAGCCAAAGCTCGAATGTTCCGAGCCGGTTGTAATATTGTCCTAAATACCACTGTAAGCAAACCCTTGTGTTATACGGAGTAAAAGAGATCATATTCAATTAGAAACCTGGTTATAACCTTAATAATATCGGCTTATAAATCGTAAGCAGGGCAGATAACAAGAGTCTCCAACCATTCTCGGCGGCCCTTCCAAAGCATGGAACACAACGTCGCCGAGCTCAACCGGCACCTTTAGCCTATCAGTGGTTGATGGTGGGTATCCTTACCAAATAAATAGATCATTGGCCAAGAGGCTGTGCATTTGTCCAAGCGCTGCAAACGGTTACATATCGGCTAAACCGTGTTAGGCAAGAGATACGCCGAGTCGGGTATGCACCAATCAGCCACCAGTTAATGTAGATGTCAATACCCAAAGGGGCTTAAAGCCAAATTTACCGCCGTTTATCCATCCCCTTTGGAGCAGGCTTGGCTCTGGGGGATTATCAGACCCACGAGGGGATGTCTGGGGTGATTGCTATATAAACCGGACTTGGCCCAGAATCTCAGGTCACATCAATTGTCAGATTTTTTTTCATTTTCATATTCTCTCTCAGTGGAAGAACAATGGCGTCACTCCCTCATCCGTTTGACCCCATTACCCCCGGGGAGATCCAGTTGGCCACTAAGATCGTTCAGGCCGCTTTTCCCGGGGTTTCTCTTCGATACAAGAAGATTGATATTCAGGAGCCAATTAAGAAAGAAGTGGTGCCTTTCATCGAAGCAGAGAGACTAGGAAAACCATTGCCTCGCCGGCCGACCCGGTTGCTGCAGGTTCTCTTCCATCGATTGGACAATGGCGCATTCTACAAGGCATTGCTGGATGCGGGGAAAAAGTCCGTCATCTCGGCCAAGGAACTGCCCAAAGATATTCAGGTATTTTATTACTACACTATGGCGATGTTGAACTATGAAGCTAACATGTCCAGGCCAGTGTTGACGTGGATGAGATGATCGAGATGGAGCAGCTGTGCCTGAACCATCCCGCGGTCCAGGCCGAAGTGGCCAAGATGCAATTACCCGAGGGGGTTACTGTGTGCAACGACCCCTGGATCTATGGCACAGATGACCCTAAGGAGACTCGCCGTCTGTTCCAATGCTACATGTATATCGTCGCCACCGACCACCCGCAGAACAACCAATACTCCACACCCTGCAAATTCTCGCCGGTATTTGACGGACTCACCAAACAGCTTGTACGCATGGACTACCTTCCCAGTGGGACCGATGTTCAAGCCACGGAGACCCAGCCGTGGAAGCCCGTGGAGACCATCCAATATGCACATGACCTCCTCCAGGAGCCCTTGCGCACTGACCTGAAGCCGTACATTGTCCAGCAGCCTCACGGGGCATCCTTCGACGTTCAAGGCAATGTGGTTTCTTGGCAGAAATGGAGGTTCCGCGTGGGCTTCAACAGCCGTGAGGGCTTGGTGATCTACAACCTGACCTACGGTGGACGTAATGTGTTCTACCGTCTTTCCGTATCGGAGATGACCGTTCCCTACGGTGACCCTCGGGCACCCTATCACCGCAAGCAGGCGTTTGACGTTGGAGACGTTGGGTTCGGTATTACCGCAAACCAACTGTCCCTGGGATGTGACTGCCTAGGTCACATCAAGTACTTCGACGGCTACCGCTCTGACTCCAAGGGCAACCCGATCCATCTGCCCAACGTTATCTGTCTCCATGAGCAGGATAACGGGCTCCAGCATAAACATACCAACTACCGTACCGGGGCCGCGACGGTCGTCCGCAACCGCCAGCTAGTTGTGCAGATGATCTGCACGGTGGCCAACTATGAGTATATCTTCGCGTTCATCTTCGACCAAGCAGCCAATATCGAGCTAGAAGTGCGCGCCACCGGCATCCTCTCCACTGTCCCATTCGACAACGAGGAGTTCGGCAAGACCGTTCCCTGGGGTACGAACGTGGGCCCCGGCGTGATGGCCCCTTACCACCAACACATGTTCTCCTTCCGGATGGACCCCGCCCTAGATGGGTTCCAAAACACGCTTTACTACGAGGACAGCGTGCCCATGCCCGAAGACGAAAACAACCCGTGGAGCGTGGGATACACCACAGAGCAAACCGTCCTCCGGACAAGTGGAACCGCCAACACCAGCGTCGACCGTCACCGTGTATTCAAGATCCGCAACGACTCTCAAATCAACCCTATCACCTACAAACCAATTGCATATAAACTGCAAACCGCACCTAGTCAGATGCTCCTCGCCAGCCCGAAGTCCTTCGGCGCCAAGCGTGCCGCCTTCGCCACCAAACCCATCTGGGTAACCAAGTATCAAGACGACGAGCTATTCGCCGCAGGCGAATTCACCAACCAAAGCAAGGAAAGCCAAGGTGTTGAGAAATGGGTGCAACGGAACGACCCGGTCGAAAACGAAGACATTGTCCTCTGGCACAGTAAGTCTTCCTCCTCACCCTTTTGTCCAGCGATGGATAACTAACATCAAGTAGCATTCGGCCTGACTCACAACCCCCGCATCGAAGACTTCCCCGTCATGCCGATGGAGCGTATTAGCGTCATGCTGAAGCCTGATGGGTTCTTCACGAAGAACCCGGCGCTGGACGTGCCGCAATCCTCGCAGTTATTTAATAAGTCGACGCTGCACCCGGAACCGGCGGCATGCTGTGGTCCGGCGAAGGGCAAGCTGTAGACATTCGTGTGTATTTGATGCTAGAGATTCTTACAATGAATTGATGACTTATGATCAATCAGTTTGACATAATCAAGTAATCTACAGAGTTAGTGAAAGACCACAAAATCCCACGATTCACATATCTCATGAATACTGCTAGAATACATCCCCCCACCACAATACCTTAGCAGATATCACCATGAACAATACACCTGAATTATTTTGATGAAGATACGGTTGATTCTTGGGAGGGAGATCTATAAGCGGTAGAGAGGATGGTTGAGATTCTTTGATTATCAACCTAAGAATACTTACTGGGTTTGTTGTATGAGGGTTGTATCTATCTATCTATCTATCTATCTGTCTGTCTGTCTATAGATCTATAGAATGAACTATGTGTCTATGTGGTCTATTTATTGAAATAACCATATTATTGATTTGATTTAAATTTGATATAAACAGAAAGGGACAGTTAACCCCGTAAACGCCGTTTATTCTCATACCCCAAACCCCGCCTCGGCCGATATCAGTAATATACCTGTATCAGTATTAAATCAGTATACTATACTACTATAAAGTACAGTAGTATCCAGTATACAGCGACAGCCCCAAACCCATACTCCAAGACTGCTAAAGGTATATGACACATAACCCTTATAACCATGGAACTCAAACATACCCCCATCCAGTACTGTATTTCCATATCCATATCGAAGCTCTCAACTAAATCCAAATCCAAAAAGAATCCAAGAATCCAACCCCCCCCCCACCAGCAGGGAAGAAGGTAAGAACCCCGACCCCGAACCACTCGGGGACCCAACTTTAACTTCCACCCCACCAAAATCGGCGATCAAATTTCATGACTAAGACGGGTTTACCTTTTCCTTTAAATATTCGGTCGTCAGCCACCAATTACTAACTACTACCTAAGAACCTTACTCTTATATAATTGCCACACTACACTACACTACACTACACTACAACTACTTCTCCTCCAGTACATATACATATCCATATCCATATCCATATCCATATCCAAACTCCAATTTCAAAATGTGCATGAAGGCAACTTGTTCTACCTGCCGTATGTCCCTCTTACTTCTTTTTATTACTTTAATTTCTATTTTATTGGATCCAATGATCGAATGAGTGAATGATTGAATGAACAATAACTGACTAAGAAAATAGACAAAACTTCATGGTGGGGTTGCGGAGCGCATATCCCCTCTGTTTTGGATGCCGTGCCTGAGAGTGAGCGCTGCACGTGTACACCCAAGGTTGAGCGGGATGGAAAGGAGTATCCGCCTAAGGCTGAGAAGGCGTGACTAGCCGGTTGTTCAATTTTCTGAGAGGGTGTTTTTGGTGGCGAGGGGAGCCAGTTGTGTTTTATAAGGGGGTGGTGATATTGGGGGGTGGGGGGGTGGGATTACTGGAGTCTACTGTCTGTGTGGGTTTTGTTTATTTGCTGGGAAAGAATATATATTCCTTTTTTATATTTATTTATTTATTTATTTATATACGGCTATGTTTTTAAACTGAATTTGGTTGACTATGGTAAAGTGTAGAATTAGGCTATGCCTCGACTCGAGAATGCCAGCATCCGGATCCCGATACGTGAGCGTGCGTCTTAGGGGCTCTCTTGCCGAATGGTCTCATGGTGCGGGCTCGACGGTGGAGGGAGGAGGTGGTATTCCGCTTGGGGATCGAAGAGAGGTCGTTGGCATAGGTGGCTACGGCGAAGGCTGTGGCTTTGGAGTTGATCAGGAAGGCTTCATGGTTGAGGTTGGTCATGTTGTCTCCCACGGCGTGGTAGTTGGCGTCGTAGGCCACGCCGGCTTGGCCTCCCCAGTGGCTGGCGTTCTCCTCGGACATGATGCCCTCGGCGCCCGTGAAGAGTCCACCGGCCGGGATGCCGTTCAGGATAAAGGCTTCGTAGTCGGAACGTCCGTCGAACTGGGTCGGGATATGAGCCAAGTCGATGGAGTCGAAGTAGTCCTCGAACAATTTCTCGATCTGGGCGGAGCCGGCCGGTCCGCTCTGGTTGAACGCCGATCCGTCGCCGTCATAGATCATGAGAGCGTAGTTAGGCGAGGCGATCATATCGAAGTTCAGGTACAGTCGGATCTTGTTCAGCTCGGTGGCATTCAAGTGGGAGACGTAATAGTTGCTGCCCAGGAGACCGAACTCCTCGGCCGTCCAGAAGAGGAAGCGCACGGCATTCTTGACCGAGTACTGCGTCAGCGCTTTAGCAACGACCAGGTTGCTAATGATGCCCGAGCCATCGTCGTTGATACCGGGGCCCGCCTCGACTGAGTCCGTGTGGCCACCCAGCGCGACGACATTGTTCGGATCGCCTCCCTTCGTCTGCGCGACAACGTTATACGTCGTACGGTTCTCCTGCTTACTATCAACCCAGAGATCCACCGATACTGATCCCGCCTCAGCAAGCTTGATCAGCTTCTGACCATCCTCCAAGCTGATACCGACGATGGCCGAATACGGACCCTTATCACTCTGCGCCGCGCCAAGAGTCCCCGCCATGGATCCTGCCACATTGTTATAGACAATTGAAGCCGCAGCCTTGGCTTTGGCAGCGAGCACCGACTTGTCGCCGAACGGACATTCTCCACGTTGAATAAGGGCGACCTTGCCGGCGACATCGGATGGGTAATCCGCCTCGCTACATCCCAGGTTCTTGACCACGGCCACGTCGGCGGTCACTTCGACGCTGGGACTGTAGGTCATGGTCTTTGCCTCCATCTCCTCGTCGCCCACCTTGAGCGTCTGGTCGGCATTGCTCCACAGGTGGACCTGGGGTTGCTTGTACACATCGTAGTAACCAGTCTTCTTCAACTCCTCGTAGAGGTAGTTGACCGTGTCATCGTGGGCTTTACCACCAAAGACACGATTGCGCTCGGGGTAGGCATAAGCAAAGTCCTCGAGCTGTTGGGATCCTTCCAGCAGATCTTCCAACTGAATGTCCTCTGGGAATTCGTCCTAGAAATGAACCATTAGCCCAACTAACATACAACATACAACACCTAACACCACAAGAAAACCAAGAAAGCCAACAAACAAAATCTTTTTTTTTTTCTTTTTTTTTTAGAAAAAAGAAAAGAAAAGAAAAGAAAAGAGAAAAGAAGAAAAGAACCAACCGGCGAAACAAGCGCTCTCCCAGCCAACACCCCCGAAACCACCGAAGCCCACAAAAGCGACCTCATAACGATATAGTAACAGGCAAATAAATAAAAATAAGGCTAAGGCTAAACCCAAACCCAAAGGATAATTGAATCAAGCACCTCTACAAAAGAAGAAAAGGTATGCAATTCCCCAGGGGTCCCCCCAGTCTAATTTAAATACCCTGAAAACACAGTCGCTACTACCCTTTTCCCTAATTTGCTAATTTGCCATCTCTCCCGTCCCAACCTCTCTATCCCCCGCCCTCAATGTCCTTTACTTCAAGTTTCTACGCCATCCGACCAGAAAAGCACGCCTCGGATTATAATTTGTGAGGGGTCAAAGGAGCCAAGACCTTGGCGGAGATAAGAAGTCGGACAGGAATGAGCCAAGTTGAGGGGCTTGCCCGACGGTCCACGGCGGAGGAGAAAGACTTGGGTTGCACTGGCCAAGAAATGAGGATGTATTATATGATGTGATACGAGGGGTTTCGCCGATGATGAGGTGGTAAATGGGCAGGACAGAGTATCATATTTGATTGCTTGGCTTGGCTGAGCGACTATCCTTGCTTTTTTTGAGATCGGGAGGGGGTTTCGGGATGGAGGTTGTTTTTATTGGTGTAGTTTTGGGAGGGGGGGAAGTGAGGAGGTTGTCTACCTTGAGGTTACTTAGGAGGTTGGTGTTTCTTTTCTTTTCCGGATGCTTGGGTGTACTTTGGGTTTGAGTTTGGGTTAGGGTTATGGTTGTGGGGAAGTGAGTGGAGGGATGTATGCATGTATGTAGGTAGGGTGAGTATGGATAATCCTGGCTGTGGTCTGGTCTGGTCTTTTCCTTTTTTGTTAATTTATTCTATCGATTTGTATACTTTAGGAAAGTAGATATTGTCGAATGAGGAGTTGTTCAAACTATACCTGTTACATATGGGAGTTACTCACTTATTCTCCTCTGCAGCCTTTCTAACTATCGTCTATAGTATACTACATCCGATACTAACCTAGACTACGGATTACACCCAGTCCACCAACCAGACGATATTCTCTTAGGCAACAGATTACAGTCTCTAACCACAGTCTAATCCAAAAGTAAAATAACAGAAGTAGAATACCCCGTACAACCAAAACCTCACACAAAGCACAAACACCCTATCTACTCACCCTCACCCCCCATCCAAGAAATCAAGAACAAAAAGAAGAATGCCGTCTCAAGAGACTTAAGCTCGCATGGCCCTAGCAAGGATCGCCAGATCTAACAGCACGAGTCAATTCTATCTCCAAAGGTCCTCGCTGATCGGCAGGGGAGCCTGGTTTGCCAAGAGTATGTTGGAGGAACATGATAAATAGTATCTACTATCTACTATCTACAAACTAGAGTACTATTCAAGTTGAAGATGGGAAGGTTTAAGAGGGATGGGTGTATATGCTTCTTATGGTTAGGTGGTGCCTTCTTTTGCTGAGTAGATTCTATTATTTCTCGGTGTCCTTCGTAAATGGGGATAGTCTTTAATGAGATGCAGATCAGCCGAAGAGTTGAATACTAATGTTCTTGATCTAACCCACAGGCATGCAGTCGCAGTAGGAAAGCAACGAAGTAGTTGAACGTTCCGTCCGTTAATGCGCAAATCGAAAATCCAACCTTTTACTCCCCGTGTCAGTCGTGTTATTTAAATAATCCTGTCGTTGCTATACCACTATCAGTGACCTATTCACAATCAAAAAAGAAAAATAAAATGGAAAGAATCTCACCTCTTCAGTCATGCTATTCCACACCCTCTCCCGATGCCGATTCCTCAACACATAGTACACTTTCGTCCCGATAAAGAGCAGAATGCCTAGAATATTCAGGGCGAAGAGGACGGCGTTACCCCGTCGGTATTTTGGCTTATCGTCTGCTCGGTAGACGTTGTTGCCGATGATGTTGCCTAGTTGGACGCACACTGTATCTCAATTAGTACCATATCTACATTGTCTAGTAGAAGTTAAAATAAAGAAGGGAGAAATAGTGAACTCACTGTTGTATAATGCCGCCGAAACAGTCCTGGTGCCTACGTTGTTTGAATTCTTCGATGCCCAACCCACTACTATCGCATGACAATACGGATAGGAAAGCAATACCGTGACAACGGCATATGTCCCCCATGCATTCTCCATGGTCCCGGGCCAGAAGCGCAAAGCTATGACGCAGGGCAGCGTCCAGACACACTGGAGCATGGAGGTTAGGGCGCGCTCGTTGAGATAGCCGCTGAGTCGAGTTAAGGCGAGTAGAAGAATAATATGGCCTACGCTGTTGGGGATTGTGAGGAGGTTTGTCACAAACTAGTTTACTTGCGTTAGCTTTGGTTTCGATGACTATGGAAAGGGGACGCACAGTGTTAAACCCGAGATCCTTTAGGGTCAGAGTGATGTACGATTTCACCGGTACCATGGGAGTATAGGCAATAAGACCGATGAGGTAGATGGGCCAGAGATCGTAGTCGCAAAGAGCGTTCCAGAGACGCCTTGGGGTGATTGCTTGGCGGTTGTGCATGTCTCCTACTCTGTTGTGAGCTGTGTGCTTTAAAACTTGCTTCTAGTAGTGCTACCTTTGGAGGGATCATCTCGGAGGACGCGATTAACGACAATGCGGACTTCGCGGTCGGTGAACCAGCCCTTTGGACGGAACCATTTCTTCGTCTCGACGGCTGAGGCGGGCATTCGGAAGAACGAGGCCAGTCCGATTAGGAGGGTTATTAAGCCTTCGATTAGGAAGAGCCATCTATTTGCGTTAGGATCCGTTGTGAATGCAGGGGATGGTACTGACCTCCATCCAGCCCACCCGAGGACACCTCGCATGTGGAGGATGCCGAATGCCATGAATGATGTGACGATCGTTGTCACGGACAGGGCGGTCCAGAAGATACTATCTCTTGTTAGACACTCCATTGCCGGGCAGGAAAAGGGCTGTACCTCAGTCGAGTCGGGAGTTCTTTGCTTGTATAGAAATAAGATAACCAGAGGACGATGTCCGGGATGAATCCACCCTGTCGTCGTGTGAGCCCAAACACTTTTGTATGGCAGTAAAGTTTACCTCTAGAATCCCTAGCAGTGCCCGCGTCGCATAGAACGAAGACCGCCCCATCAGGCCAGCTTGGCAGGTGGCTACTATAGACCACAGGGAAATCTGCATAGGAATCCATCGATCGGGGCCGATCTTCTTGGATATCAACTGAGAGGGCAGCTCAGCTAAGAGGAATGAGATATAGAATATAGTATTCCCCGTGTTATAATCTGCATAATATCTCGATTAGACGCTGATCCTCCTCAAGATTCCACGAGAAACCTACCATTGGAAGAAAGATTAAGATCGTCCAACAAATTATCAGACACAGCCTGAACCAAATTCCCCCGATCGACCTGCAACCCAAAGAACATCACACACTACACAAACATCAGCCACAGTCAAGCAATGAAGCCAGAAAAAGACCTACGGCCCATAAACAAACCCGCCAATCTAGCTTCCTCACCAACGCCCTCTCCTCGTCCGGGGTCCAAGTCAACGTCGGATCGAAAACATGTCGACATTCATACTGCGCCTTCTCATAGATTAATGCATATCGCTCCGCGACCTCCGGATCAGCAAAGGGATTATTCGTCTGAGAATCCACCGACTCCTCATACGGCTGTGTCTCCACTTGATAGGTGCCCTTAGGATCTGTCGCTGGTTCGGTATAGTAGCGGCCGTTGTGGTCGTCTACCAACTTCTGAGTGACACCCTTGTCGGTAACCATAGTGTAGGGACCAAGCTCTCAAAGTTTGCTCTGGGCATTCTTGTCGTTCTGGGCGGCGGAGGACGTTGTTATATGTGGAGTAGTAGACTGGGGAACCATGTCTTGAGGGGTGGTTTGGCACGCCATATGCAGGTATTGTTGCGTGTAGATAAGATCTGCTGCCGGTTGTTTTTTATCTTTCTTGTTTCGTGGCCAGTTATCATTTAGTTAGGGAATATACTAGCTTATGCCAAGAGGTTTATGCATGTCTGTCTCGATGAGATGGGAAGGTGGTTTTGTTGCAGGTATCGGGAGATTATTGGGGTGAATACTCTCTGCTGGTGAGTAATTGGTTGTTAATAATTCACGGATGGGTCTATCGTAGTTGATAGTTAGCTTCAGAATTTAATAACAAGAGTTATTGTACGTCAGGATATCCATTTCCATACAATAAGATATTTAGATGGTTGATCAAGTGCCGGAATGGCATCATCCTCCCTCAGGATTTGATCAACTTGGCGTTGGCTTGCGTGACCTTTTGGCACGTTGGCGACATTGGAGTCAGAACTTTAGATTGCATATTGCATTTTGATTTCTGAGCCAATTTTGTAATAATAATGCATTCTCTCATCAAGTATCAGGCTATTGTACACACCACTGTAATGTGGAAAATAAGAGCAGTCGTTTGTCTATACGACGGCGAAGATAAGCTTAAAGAACGAGCATTTGCAACAAAAAAAGATTCTAACCCCGAACGCCCCCCCCCCGCTTTCGCTCACTAGAACCAACAGGCAGATTAAAGAGTATAAACTCCCAGACTCCCGCTTGAGAACACCATAAAAGCGAATAAAAGAGACTATTGAAGGACGGCCCAGCAGTTATCTCATGTGCACTTGGAATAAGTATTTCTGGCGGATCTGCGCAACATCGTACACGATGTACTCGTTGTACATCAGTGACCGCGCGTCGGCACTCTTGGATGAGGCAGAGACATCAGGCATTTTCACCCCTTGCAGCTGTGGATTGACAGCCCCAGCATCCTTCCAAGCTGCCGGGACAGTCCTACCCTTACCGAGAGTCGCAATCTTGCCGTCCTTTTTGGCATCTTCCCCAGCGTTGTAGTTGCTGTGGTCCAACTCCAGCATGGGGTCTCCGAGTTCAACATCGCACAGTAGAAGCAAAGCCATACCACCGCTGTTGTAGGAGCAGCAGTAGTTGGCGGATTTACTGGACATGTCCGCAAAGTAGACACCTTTGCCAAACATGTATCCGCTCACAGGGGCTTCTGGTGGCGCAATGCGCAGACCCTGGCTCAAGATACCACCAAAGTTGGTGCTACGAGAACCATGCCACAACAGGCGGCGGTCACTGTTCTTGATCTTCCCGTATTGGGAAGAATTAAACCGATCGTTTTCACCATCACGCTCAATGCGGAAGATATTGACGACCTACATCCAATCAGTACTGTGTTATCGCGAGGAAAGAGGCCAAACTCACGTTGTAACGGATATGATGAGTGGAGGCGCGCGACTGGTTGAGGTAATTTTCCAGCTCGATAAATTCTGTAGAAGAATGGTCCACTATTGCGCGTTAGTAAAATTTGGTCATATAGAAGAGAGGGCGAGAAAAGGACGTACAAGGAGTCATCTCTTGCATCTTGAGGCTCTGGAACTGGCGATCCAGCTGGTGGACTGTGTCGGCGTCCTTCGACTCTTTCATGATACCGTTCGCAACTTCCATATCTGTCAAGGCCTCGAGAAGCTCAATCTCCTTCTTGATATGCTGGTCAGAATTCAGCACGGGAGGTCGATTACGGCCGAACACGTGAGGGATCGTAGTAAAGTATTGGTTGCTGAGGTCCTCCGCGGCTGCATTGTACGTTGTGCCATATTGAGTGGCTGCAAGATTCGGATCCGCAATGAGCTCGGAGAGTTCCTTCAGCTTCAGGAAACCCTGCCTTAAAGTTCGCTTGCTCAGCTTCCCAAGTGGCAACTTTTTAGCATCGTAATCCATGGAAGCCATTGTAGACAGGAAATGGTTCTGATTGAAAATGAAAGACATAAGATCCTGAACCTGTTCGGGCAGTTCGCTCTTCACTTCTGGCTTCTCTTCGTTGTTCTTTTTCGCTGTGCCCTTATCATCATCATCTTCTTCTTCCTCATCAGAGTCTTCTTCGTAGTTGCGTTCGATGAAAGTGTATTTGCCCTTCTTTGGAGGGTCGAGTCTGTCGTCCCATGATAGACCAGACTTGTCCTTAAACTTCTTCTGGAAATGAATTTGTGCCTCAGGAAGACCACCGCTTCCCAAAAGACCATGCTGGCCAGTCTCGCCCACTCGACCCCATCGGGTCCAAGTTTTGAAGTTAGTCCCGGATCTGTCAACCAAAAGTTGGATGCGGTAGAATTTGTTGGCGTTATTGGCGGAAACAGTCTGGTTGAGAGTAGCATCCCAGATCAGGCCTGCTGGGTCAATGTACACTGCGAAGCCTATCACCAACGCCGTTAGCACCTAGTCGAAGGTACATATAGACAGCAATGGAATAGTTACCTGAGAGATAGCAACCCTCGTCAACAGGAACATTCAAGGTCTTAGAGCCCAATTTCTGGGCGTCTTTGGCCTTTTTATTGGAAGTCTCCTCGCTAACCTCGAGCGCTTCTTCGAGTGTACGTTTCTTCTTCTCCTTTTTGTCGTTTTTCTCCTCGTCCTGCTTATCATCTGACTTTGCATCCTTCCTGCTGAGCAAGTAAGGCTTCTCAGGAATTGGCTCTTTCGCGTCTATAGACTCCAGAAGCCAATCGATAGAGACAATATTACAATCGTAGACATTGCAAGCTTGTTTGTCTGTGTTGATTCTGGTAAGCCGAGGTTCCAGGGATAATGATGAAAAAACATATGTGGAATGGATACAAAGCCTACAGATAAAACAAAGATATGAACGGGTCTGAGAGAAACTTACATTTGGAATTGTTGTTATCTACCTCTCTCTGGGAAGTGATAAAATGTGTGCAATCACCTGTCACAGTAGTGCTGAATGTTGCACCCTGACCTTCCACGAGTTTTTTCACATCCGCTGCAATCCCAAAATAGCATTGGTTAGCTCTGGTGTTCTCAATGCTCTACAAATTTAGGGAACCTGCCTTGCCTATAGCCAGAAAAGCTCCCGGCGACAACGACGACAACATCCTTGAATAGATTCTTCTTTGGCGGCATGATTCCAATTAAATCCAGTGATGGACAATGCGGTGTGAGAATAGAATACGAGGTGATGGAACCAATTGATGTAATCAAGCGATAGTGAGGTCGTAGCTTGATGCTTTGTGAGATTGTTGCAAGAGGAGGGAGAAAGACGAATGCGGTCTAATGTGATAGGAAGAAGGCTGGATTATCAAGAAAATAGTAAAAAAGGTGCAGGAGAGAAGGGAAGTTGACGTGATTGAGATATGACAATGGCAGAGTGAAGAAGATGAGATGTCAACAGAGCCGATACTTATTCAATCTCTAGGGGTCCTACCTCGGCTTGGCTGCCTTAGCTAACAGGCCACTAATGGCCGCTGCTGCCTTGTGGTCTACGGCCCTGAACGTTGATTGGCTGCAATGACCCCCGGTCTCAGGCACCAGCCCCACAGCGGCTTCGACTGCCTGGAACTTTTCCTAAATCGATCGGGGGTTCTTATCGAGATCGATGAGGACCTAAACGGACTGATTCTTGCCTATAGAACTGGATTTCCCCTGATCCATGATGGTTCTTAGCTTTCCCTTTCCATTCTAGGTTACGTTGGAGACTAAGTTACTGTAGGTAAATTTACCTTTTCATCTCCGAGGTATTTTCTACGCTCATGTATGTGGAATTAAAGGTATCTGTTTATAAATTATAAAAAATAAAACAAAATTCAACCCACAATCCTTTAGTAGGCCTGCCCAGCTCCTGGCAAATCTGACAATATTCCTGCATATCCGCATGTTTTAGAGAGAACTACTCTGTACATTAGGCAAATAAATGTGTCTAATCACCATAATAAAACTTTCAGCGCGACCTTTGTTCTGAATTTGGAGAAGGTGGGCTCAATGGATAGAACCTTTCGAAGCCAGCTATCCCTCACACTCTTGTGACTTCCTGAAGACGGGGTGATACACAACTGGACAACCTGCAAGACGTTCATGGGAGACGATTTGTGCTATCTAAGTACTAATACTTGTACAGTATTATATATAGTATATGACCCGTCACTCTTTACAGCTGCTTCACCAAATCCCCGGCATTCACACCCCTCTGGCCTTCATAAAGTCGACTAAATCAAAGAAGCTCTTTTTATAGTGACGTTCTTGTGTAGTGCGATTAACCGTCTGCATGCCAAATTGCTGATCGTAACCTCCAAACTCCCAATTGTCAACGAAGGACCACGCATACACCCCTTTAACAGGGACATTGTCCTCATGTATGGCCTTCAGAACTTCGGACATATATGCTAGGTAATATTGGCTGCGAGGCGAATCAAAAAGCTGATCAGAAAGGTCTTTGGAAGCTTCATGATACACAGGAAATCCAAACTCGGTGATGGCGATCGGGACGGGCCAAGTCTGGTAAACGTAATTTATATACTCGCGAATAAAGGTTGTAGCTGTGTAGACATACGACTGCGATCGATAGCCTATATTCCATCCGTAATCATTCAGAGATGAGGTCTCAACACACCACGGCTGGAGGGCTGCAGAACTACTTTGGAGACAGTCTTGAATACTGCTGGTGTTTCCCGAAACTGGCGGGGTCACAACTAAAGGACTGTAAGCGTCCAGTCCAAGGAAATCTATTGTACCCTTGAAGTGGTTGATGTCCTCAGCAGTAAGGGGAATATAGCTGTCTCCCATGAAATACTTGAACGACTCCGGATATTGCTTTCCAAGAACCATCGGGTTAAGATATGAGCCTAATTGAACGGAGTTGTAATAGTCCGCCGCAAAAATATCGGCTTCACTCGTTGCATTGTGCGGGACTCCAAAGTTAGCGTTGAATTTGATGGAAATCTGGCCGGTTCCCTTCAGGTCGTCCTTGTACCAATGATAGACATCAGCATGGGCTTTTAGAATGTTATAGACTGCTTTAGTGGTATTGCCAATCTCAGGGGGCTGGCAAAAGGTAAACCACGTCGGAACACGATCGGCATAGTGCGAGAGGACTATTTTCGCATAGTTGACAAAGGCATCACTGAAAGTATCGTTTGAGTATCCCGCTGTCAGATAGCTGAGGTACTGAAGTTCTGTCTTTGAAAGACCTTCGTCAAGAGCTTGAGGGTAGTCAAAAAATTGCAACGGAAGATCGAAATGAGTGAGGGTGATCACTGGCACCATCCCTTTCTCAATGATGAAATTAATCACATCATCATAATGATCAATAGCCTTTTGGTTCACAGGTGTTCCGGGCATGGCAAAGGGGAGAATGCGAGTCCAGGCAATAGTGAAAGAAAAGTGCTTCACACCCATGGCAGCCACCCGTTCAATATCTTGCTTGTAATAGTAATAATGCTCATTGGTGACATAGGCTTTGGGTTTATCATCACGGACAATGATATCCATGATTGAAGGAGCTTTCCCCTCGTCTGCAGCAGCCCCCTCGATCTGGCTAGCAGAAGAAGCAACTCCGAACACGAAGTCATTAGGGAATTGATAACAATCAGAGGGCCCAAAATAGTCGCGAGGGGGAAGCACTAGCTCGCTACTGGGAATCGGTGTAGGGGATACAGTACTGCTATACACGCTAGTCTGGTTGAAACCGACAGGACGAGCTTCTTTCCATTGGGCCGTCCAAGCGGCTTGACCATACTTGTTCGCGGTGTCGGAGGCGTTCGAAGTCGCACTAGGTTTCCATTTACCCCAGGTGGTGTATGTGAGAGATGGCAACAAAGTGGTCAAGGAGTCCGAGGGCGCAGCATAGGTAGTAAAGGACGTGAACGAGGGTACCGACGTGGCATACCTCACGGTATCAGATGCGCTATACCGGAACTTTCCAGCCACATAAGACGTCGAACTTGTCGGGTGAGTTGAATGGGCTATATTATCCTTTGTCATGCATTGGGGTCGAGCTGTTGCCCCGGTAGTCGTAGTGTAAAGCTGCTGCGAGGCAGCAAGCGAGGCCAATAGCCCAGTAATAACACCCAGTGCCAACATGACTAGGTCCTCATATTCCTGGTTTCAACTACACGGGGTCAATTCTCCTATTTTTATGAACAGACCCGTCCCGAGCTGATCACCAACTCCAGACAACAAAGGTTACTCAACAAGATTCATTGACTACATGACGCAAAAACGCAGGTCTCTCCAAATGACCCCGCCTACGTACCCCGGCACTTGATACAAAGTATTGCTCCCGAATGAGTAGACATTCTTTGGTCAAATTTACTACTGATTGGTTGCCAGACCCGAAATCGCCAGCCCTCATGGTCCAAACAACAAATTACAGAGCACAATCCAAGAAAAGAATGTACCGAAGAAAATACTAAGTGGGACGATCACTTTGCGGAAGAGTTCGATGACATCGATGAACTCCGATTTCCATACACAAAACAATCCTTATACACAAAACAGCGCAATAAGTCAGAGAAGTCCAAACGCGAAGCTAGCCAAGGATCCACTGCATAAGAAGCTTTGTTACCACAAAGGAGGGGATTTCTGGGGTCCCCACATGAAATGTGCCTCTCATTCGACCGTTGGTCTCAGACCTTGATGAGCCCCCAGTGTCCTGAGCTGGAGTCCAGTGATCATCACACCGAGAATGCGGAGAAGTTCTCCATACTCTGCGGATATACGGGTACCCCGCTGGGCCCGCGGGGTTCCAAAGGCTGAACCTTCCTGGGTTGTAAGGAACAGACCTTATAAGGCCTAGGGACTATATAGGCCACTATATATATCGATTCTAGGGAATGCTGATTGAGGGAACAATCAAACATTGTGGTCTTTTTTACCTTGTTAGTTAGCGTACCATAGAAGCGCTATCCCTAACAAATTGATAAGAATGAAAGAACGGTAACAGTTTAATAGTTTATGTTAGGCCAAGTAAGGTCTCTAAACGGCTTATAAGCTTAGCAGGTAGTGAGTACCTTCTTATATATAGTCACTTAGAGTCTATTTAATTAACTAATTAATACCATGTACTATTGCATTTATTCGGAGTAACATACTAAAATAAATTTTTAGTAGATAACCTATAGATTTATGGGCTTAGGTTTCGGGTCCAACATCCAAACCCAGTGAGACCTACCGAACTGTAAAAACTACTCAGTGAGCCTGAGCCTGAGCCTGAACGCCCTCATGAAAGCAGCGCAGCTAAGATAGGTAAGCCCCAGAAAAGAATACCACGTACACTTACCTATGTATCGCATATCTTCATACTACTTCTGCCCTTGTCTTCAGTTTCTGTCATATTTACTGCGAGTAACTCGCTACAGGGTGAGATCCTTGAAAGTGCGTCCATTCCTCTCAAACAAAACACCATATCATGCCCTGAGCACTGTCAGGAAGGAAAGGGATCAGAATACAATGGAAAGGGGCGTAACATATAAAAATTGAAACACTTCATAATGCTCCTCTTATTTTAATGCAATGGCAACTGTATCTGTTCGATTCGATCCGGTCCTTTCATTTAGATATCCATATACCTATACAGAGTGAAGCGGAATCAGCTCTCGCTGAAGATATATTTTATTCACACAGGACCGGCACAGCACCACTACACAGTATACCTTTCCAGTACATAAGAGTCTAGGTTTATTCTATATTACTTCACTTGCTATACAAATCCCAGCAAAACTCATATGAACTGCAGTACGGTCTTTGCTCACTGCAAGTAGTTTTCTACTTACATTCTATTCGTCCAAGCCCAGCAAAATAAGCACCCAACAGAGTTCATCTTGTGTAGAGAGAATGCAAAGTATAACTAATCTTACAGCAAGTTGTCTGGAGTTCTTACTGACATATTCAGGAAGAAAGAAAGGATCAGACCACGATTTGCTGACGTCAATCTGACTTCAAATTCTTCAAAATGCCATACACCAAATGCCTAAACCGACAAACCATCAATCGGAAAAGCGGTGCGGGGAGGAAAAGGGGATCGGAAGTGCCGTCCGCAGGACTTCCGATCGACAAACGAGCCAAACAAGCCAAACCTCAGCAGCATTGTTTGCATCAGAAATGTGCTTGATCGATTGGCCAACGAGCCACAGCCTTGGAAACTGCGGGCGGGCGATCAATGGCAGAGGAGCCAATTAGATCCACCCAGGACTTGTCGACCTCCTTTGCAGTGTTTGCTTCTACGCAATTAGTAAGGGATCCCCTGATATGATAGGCAAAAAAATGTCGAACTAAAGCGAAAGAATGACCAGGTTGACCATCGCAATGATTTTATTGTGTTTTGGTAGACTTTTCAGGTATTCTTCGATCTGTGTTTCTCAGTTCAACTTGTGCACTTTCAACTAAGAACAATCAATCATGCTCTTTTACGATACAGCTCTCCTACCTTATAGCCCGATTGAGTCCTTGTTAAATCCTTTATCCTCCATATGGCGCTGGCTATATCCTACAAGTTCACCGGAGAGTGTATGTGATGAAACGACCGGAATCGAATCAGCCACATCTCTCGCGATGCCCATCCCAGTAACACTGAAAGAGGAATGAAGTTCTGGTTTGAACAATGAATCTTCATGTGAAATCGATATGTGCATCTGTAAGTCATGCTACTGGTATTGTAGTTAATTTATTATCGGCTAATGTTACAGTTTGTATAGACTCTGACTTTTCTACAATGGAGTTCATGATGAATTTTGTTTTGTATAAACGTCAAAGGGATTTCTAAGCCCGAAGCAATCACTACCAGCCAATATCTGAAAGAACTAATTATGCTAAATCCGGAGATCTTGATTATACTTAAAACCTTGACGTCATTTGCGCTTGCAAATTTCTCTTGAAACTATCTAGCCATGGCTGTATATATATATATATCATAGGATATCTTACGACACAAGGAAAGCTATATACGGAATGATACGTACAATACCAAACAGTCGCTCTAACAAGACACCGAAAATGCAGGATTAGCAGAAATGATTCCAAGCTCTATATCGACGCCTTGGTCACGCTAGACAGCCTCTTCTCTAAACACTTAGTGGCATCTGCACACATCTGGGGAATGTCCACGTTGGCAATAACACCATTCCGGTAATTGATCGCGTCCTCGATCTTCTTAAAATCACATCCCACACCGTCGGCTCGCCACTCGTAGCTATCTCCGATAAACCTGCTGCTCTGAACAAGCCATTGGGACCGTTCCCGTCGGCTAATATCATACGCAGCAAGAACAACTTCTAGATCCTTGTGCGTTTGAACCCGCTCATCCGCTAGCAACGTAGCAAGAACGGCAGTGTCTTCGATGCAGAAGCCTGCTCCGGCACCGTGGTGGGGTGATGTAGCGTGTGCAGCATCGCCGGATATCGCGACTCGGCCTTTGTAAAACGTAGGAACTGGATTTTCTCCAAGATCAAAGATGGCCCACTAGATGTTATTAGTATATAAGCCACTGTCTTCAGGGTATAGTATAGTATAAACCTACCACGCTGAGCTCTGCGTCTGTCAACTTCAGCAGGTTAATAACGTTCGGCCCATATCCGGCAAAGTCACGGAGCGCCTCGTCTCGTGTACCTTGTCGCGTTAATCTGGGGTAATCGGCCCATTCATCCGGAGACGTATGGAACGCAACAATGTTGAGGGTTTTCCCTTGGTTTACAGGGAAGGTCAACATATGACCACCGGGGCCCATCTGTCACGTCATCAGTATAAAAGCGCGCATGGGAGAAAACATACTAAATGAGGATGTCTTACATGCATACACGAATTGGAAGCTAATTCTTCTCCAACCGCCTCGATCGCTTTTTCCATCGGGACCAGCCCGCGATACGCGTATTTGTGGGTATACGACGGCTTAGCGGAGGGGTGTTCTTCTCCCACAATTACCTGTCGCACCTGCGACTTGATACCGTCACAACCAATAACCAGATCAGCTTCATCTTGCGTTCCATCAGCAAACTTCAAAAGGAGTTTCCCATCAGTCTCCCGCTCCACAATGCTTTCGAGTCGTTTGTGAAATCGCGCGATGTCACCGGGGATAAGTTTAATTAATTCGTCAAGGAAGTGAGCACGGTGAACACCAGTTTGGCCTAGGCTGTTGGAGATAGTGAATGCAATATCCTGGCGGCTGGCGTTTTTCGCTGTTGTCGAGGTGCCCTTGTTGTATCCGTCTAGATAATCGAACCACACTTTTTGTTTCGAAGGCCACAGATTCTGCGTGCAGACCTTTTCGAATGCTTCGTAGATACCCGAATGGCAAACTTTCATTGCCTCAACGGCATTTGGGCCGAATGAGACGCCCGCGCCGACTTCACCGAAGGCTTCGGCCTGCTCGTAGATGGTGACTGAGATATTACGGTGGTACAGGGCGATGGCGAGGGTTAGGCCGGCAATGCCACCGCCGACGACGGCGACATGGAAGTTCTTTCGTTGCGTGGACATTGGGTAGAGAGCGTGTCTTGAAGTTTAATGATTTAAGGAGTACCTAGGGTGTATTTCAAGAACTCAAACACTCGAGGGGATGTTGAGCCAAGAGTTTGGAAAGACGCGAGGCCTCCCCTTTTCTATCATCCATCGTGCACACCGCATTCCATATGGAATAAGCATATCGGAACTTGACGACGACATCGGCTTTGGGGTAAGGTCCTTCGGATGGTGACGAGACCCGCCTAATCGACCCCCGTGGGGCATCGGCTTGGCAATGGGGGTGCGGATTATAGGGTATAAAACTGCCGAGCTACGTGCCGGCGAATCTTAGTTATTAGAGATAGTATTAGTAGTACGGGTATCTCGGAGTTAGTTGTAGGCTCAATATTGGGATTGTAAATTCGAGGGCCTCTTGTGGTATCTCACCGGAAGTTCCTTTGTGACAAGATGTGTATACTGATGTGGGAGACTGCCAACTCTTCGTTCTAGTTATGCAGTCGGTGTAAAGACTGGAGCTTCTGCCTCTTCCCTCTGTGTGTTTTCTTGCCCCTCCCCTCCTCGAAGGTAGATAGTGCACAGCCTTATGCTCCTCGCTGAACAGCACTGACTACTATGGTGACGTGGAGTGTGGAGACCTGGAATGGATCCCACCGGATTATGTAGCTTACGGAGTACAGTGAGAAACGGCTCCCGAGATACAGTATCAGGAACAAAGGCCCGTCTGAGTCTTGATAGAAGCTCAAGTGTAGCTTACGGTTATTTCTGCCAATGAGTGAATGCTATCCAGGTATCCACCGAAAACTATGGTGGAAGTTCAAAGACTAAGGATGTGTTTACGCAACAACGTTGAGCTTTAAGTGAAACTACCTTTTTAAGGCCACCAGGCGACATGGTGAAATTCATACCGTGATGTCCCTTTTAGTGAACTTGACGTAGATCATAGACTTTGGATCATTCATAGGGTAAATCACGAGTGGCCCCTAGCGTCGTTATACAATACAACGCAGCCTGACCACACATAAACCGGGGTTGGCCTTGATCCACGTCGAGTCTCCAGGTATGTGACTTGGTCGCATATTCAGGTGACTTTGTTCGGCGCAATTTCCAGCGACGAACAGAATAGAATGAGGTCATTTGCGCAATGCCCAGAAATGGGGGGAAGTCATTCGTAGGTAGATTAACTTTGCGGGGAAGCTGTTACTGAGAAATACCAGATATTGTTCGGAAGAGTACGACGGCGAAATCCACCACTACCTGAATCGTTCCCGAGTTTTCACGACTTATGCTGAGTATTGATGCCTAAATGGCAAGACTTGAATCCTGAATACACAGGTCGGCAAAATACTGGGAACCGCTGAAACCGGAAAACCCAGGAGGCAATCGGTGAACGTCCGGTCAAGTAAAGACATTATCCGACTCCAATTGATTCTCGGTGTGAATTGGTCCGTGTTGATGTATGGTGGGGTTTCCGAGTTTAATGTCATAGGGAACGAGTTACTCTATATGGAGTGGGAATTAATAATTATTCCTCTTACAGAACTAAATTTGGAGAAGAGTACCAGATGTATGTACTATGGGTATGTAGTGATATATGGCGTAGCTCCTGTGGGGTCTCGATCTAAGCAGTCTTGTTAGTCTGGATTCGATAACGGACCGTTGTACTATCTATAGATACAGGGCACATCTAAGACTCTGCATCCTGTACGCTGTACTTCAGGTCTTTTGCAGGGTGAGTACCAATGTTCGCGATTCTGCGATCTATTCTGATCAGATGCCCAAGAACCCCCTTGTGTGAAGCCTCTGTATCGATAGTACATCTTGGAACCGGCTAACAAGTGCCGAGCAAAAGAAAAAAAAAAAAACCACAATTTCAGTGGGGGAATTTTCAGTCAGGCCGCGTTTTACTTCTCTTTCCATTGGTTACCATGTATCACTCATGCCCCCATATCCGCCAATCATAATGCTTTTATTGCATGCAATGTGCTCGAAAGGGAAATTAACTGCAGTGGCCCATGACCCATTGCAAAAAACCCAAAAACGAATAAAAAAAGAAAGAAAGAGACGCAGGCAGCTTCACGCCCCATGCAGGTGTCCTCGCCCGGACTTTGGCTGCCGTGCAGGTTGCATGATGAGACATTACTATTATCAGTACTAATCGTCGTTCCTGGTGTGGGAAGTGTAATCAATCATTCTGCGAGATGTTCTTTTTGGATTGGGCAGAATGCAAGGAAGCAAAAAAGGATCATGTTTTGTAAAAAAGAAAAAAAAAGAAAAAAAAAGTCTGTTTTTCTCGATTTCGTTCTTTGTGTGTAATATCTAGAGTAGTAGTATCCAGCAAAGATGTCTGGATATTCAATGCTCAAGGTCGAAACTAGGCGGAATGGTTGCCTGCTAATTATGGACGTTGGATCCACCCGATAGGTACTTGTACGAATGTCAACCTCTCATTTGATGAGAAAAATTTTCAATCGGTCAGCCATGTGGGTATAGTATGAAACTTTACATTTTCCAGAACAATCACAATCCTTGTCCCTTAGGGCAATAGTTAAGGTACGACGTACGGAGTAGCTATAGACTAGTACACAGTGGTATGGATGTCCTCCAGCCTCCCGAGGACGTCGTCCGAAATAGAATACCTCAATTGGTACGGCTAGTGCATCCTTTCGGGGACGTCTGTACCGTTCATACTCCGTACTTGTTCCTATCCGGGGCAATGCGTAGTATGTACGGAGTATGTAAATCAAAAATCAGGCTACAATTTTGAAGGTCACCGCATGTCTCAGTGCACTAAGGAGGAAATGCTCTCAGGTAGGGGTCAACCTCCACGTCTACTGAAGATCCAAAACTCACGGACGGGAATATACCGCGTCTTCTTCGCTTAAATAAATTGGGCACCAACCCCTCTATTCCGTGTGGAAGAATAGTGTGCGTTCAGGAGGACACTAGCCGTTGAGGGTTATGGAGAACTTATTGATTGATTAGGACTTTGAAGGTGGATTTACACAGTACTCTCTCTCCCCGAGGTCCCTTGTGCTGTTTCTGTGCCACTTCGAACCCATGGAATATCCTATACGTTTCATCCTTCTAAGGCAAAAAAAAACTCTTCGCCACGTTCTCGAAGCATCAATGGAAGCCAAAGATAAAAATAAAAGACTTTTGCAAAATTTTTCCACTTGTTTTATTTTTATTTATTTTTATTTATTTGTCGTATTTTTTCTTTCATTTTTTTTTTTTCCTTCCCAAAGGCTCCTGTTTCAACACCGGCCCCACTCGGACGGGAATAAGGAACTGGAGTGGCGGCGCGGCTACTTTGGCTAAGCTGGAATGTCGCCACCGAGTTAAACCTGATCCGTGATAGTCGGACGGAGCACCAGAAAACTTGTGAAAGCTCGAGCTTTGAGCTCTGGGCCGGGTTGCATGGGAAGCTCAACATTCGGAGCTGGGGAGAGCTGGAGAGGTGTGGGAGGGGTCAGGAGGGGTAGGTTGCACATGGTCGCTTTTAGCGCTACTTTCGTATCATGGCCGATTCACTAGTAGTAAACTATCCTTAAAAACCCTGGTTTAACTAGTCATAAAGTATCATCCGATATACTCAAATTCATTCCATTAGATAAGTTTGGTCATCGTCTGAGAATTTTCATTACTCGAGATGTGATCATTTTCTCGAGGGATTGAAACTTGGCAAAAATCCCCCTTATGCTTACCTGCAGCTGTCGCAAACCTCCAGAGAGGGGAAGCGGTCCCACCGGCCTTTCCCGAAATGCTGGTCACTAATACTGTACGGAGTACTGTAAGTCTGTATGTATGTACGATACGGTAATGATGACCTCCGTTCAATTCCCACATGCCATATTTTCCAATGTTCCAGTAATGAGGTTTCGACTAGACCTAGAAGTGCAGAATTACCCTCAAGTTACGTTAGTGGGGGATGCAATGGCCTTGGGTGCGAAACACTCCGAAGTATAGAATATTGCCTCGTATAGTAGAGTTGAGCCCTTTACAAGGATGATCATCATTTGCCCGAATGGTTTGGAGCAATGAATTTCTCGGTGAGTTCAGATAGATGCACCCCTCCCAAGAAATTTTCTTACCGTACGGTCATGTCACCCGAGGTAAAATGGATTCATTTCTACACTAAAGTTTTGAGTAGCAAGTGGGAGTGTCATTGATTTTTTGATTGCCATGTACTACGCCGGACTACTATTAGTTACTTACGTCTACTAGTATATAGTGTCTTCTATGCATGTCAGGAATTACGGAAAAATGTATGAGATCATATTTATCAACTCTTCTCAATCAGGGAATGCAGGTTCGGGAGGCTATTTTACGATAAAACGAGAGCATACCAAAAATGAACCATGTTTCTGGCGGTTATGCCGGCGATCAAAATCTTTTTTTCTTCTTCTTTTTTTTTTTTCTTTTCCATTTTTTCCCTTTTCTGTTTTTAACTCGTAATACCGGGTTGACTCTATTGTTGAAGGTTCCAATGTACAGGAGGGCTCATGTTGTACCACGCGATAAGCCCCAAGGGATAATCATATCGGTCAAGGGATATGCTTATCGGCCAGGTGCTACGGTGGTAGCTATCGACTGCTCCTCTTACTCAGATGCGATATTATAAGCTTAGGTTTTTAACACCCACCGAATCATGTACGGAGTACATGATGTATCAATACAACTTACGATAGGTGTTCGCAATCGGACGACGAACCACATAGGAGGAACAACTAGGGTGGTGACTTTTTGTCACTTTCCCTGGTACGATGTGGTATTTACCATGTCACAAACCTTGATTGTGCAGTCTGGCATTATTCCCTTGAATGGGGCTTTTTATTACCCGGAGCCCTTTCTATATATGCTTCCCCTTATGTATCTGTATGCGACGGGCAAGTCTTTGATGAAAAAACCGCACCGCAATGTCGATTCACTATGAATGATCATTCCTTTGTTCGTTCTTGGTCCTTTCTCGGGGTTGAACCTTTCAGGCTTTCAACCTATTTGCCTCCTGCATAACCGGTTGTGAGGCCACGCGGTCGGCGGTTCCCGGGGCCTGAGGGCCCTCATCCCTTAAGGGTTTAGTGAGGTATCCATACCCAGTAATTAATCAAATTTACACGCAATACCACTGAGTGACCATTTAAAGCAAAGGAGCTAAGCTGCGGTATCTGCTGCTTTTTTTGCCCACCCACACAAGATACTCGAGACTTTTGTCTGTTTTGCGTCCTATATTTTTCTTGGAATTTCTCCTTTTCTTTTTCCTTCTTCTCTCTCGCTGCTCTTCTTTTTTTACCCTCTTCGCTTTCCTTGCTTGGTTTGTCCTTGCGTCTTCTTTTATTGTACTTCTTCATAGTCCTATTTTTTGTTTGTCATCCCCCATCTACGGGCTGTCACCTTGGGCTATAAATTACATTTCCGTCTTTACAACTCCGTACCGGCACTCACTAAGCTCCAGAGAGAGTATTGAGTTACCCACTAACAGTACGTTAGTGACTGCCACTAACTGACCTTAGCTTCCCTTTCCCCTCTCCCTTGACTGCTGCAGTGACCTTTAACTTAGTAGTAGTATTCGACGACTCCAGAGTAAGAGTCTACTACTACGTACCTACATCTCTTCGCAAGGCACTGGAGAATTGCACTATTACTCATTCCTCGATCCCCACAAGCCCTATAGATCTCTTTGTATCTTTTCCTTCTTTTCTCTCTCCTCAACTTCAATTCATCCTACCACTTTGACCACTTTCCTCCCCCGAGTCTCCATAACCCCTCTACCCCTCCATAGATTGCATGCGATTTTTTTTTTTTAAACCATCGCGGATCATTTTGATTTCCTTTGATGGAGCATGTGCTAGTCAGTTGGGCTCTGCTGGTTGAATTGAAACTTCTCATTTGATCGATTTATGGGATTATCTCCCTTTCATACATTAGCACCTGAGTTGTTCGCCTCCCCCCCGTCCACTCACCCCGCCGCCAAAGACGGATTCATGCAGACCATGCCGCCTCGAGCGTCTTTGACTAGTTCTTTTTCTGTCACCGACGCCAATAATGAGGTCGTCTGCCCCTTGAAGAATAATGACGGCTCCAATTGTCGGAAAAGATGCCTCGGTGTGAGTATTTCCCCCATCTTTTCTTTGTGTGTCGGCCGATCGATCGGAGCCCCACTTCGAGCAACACCCGCTATCGCAGCTGTACGACACTTTTATCGTGCGAAAAGACCAGCATTCCATGTTTATCTGAGCTTATTAGCCTATCCGCCCGTTTTGAAACTTTTATATATAAGTTCATATCTAACGTTGCTATGCGCCCCTACAGGAGAAACGCTATCGCTCCATGCAGGAGCATATCCGTCGGGCGCATCCGAATAATTACATTCCGAAGCTCCCGGCCACCGAAGAGAGCTTTATCTTAATGGTTACGACCCCTCCGGAACAACGAGCTCAGATATCTCCGCCAAATCAGGTGCAATCTCGCCGTCGCAATGGTTAGTGGCTCGGGGGTAATGACTTCAAAAAGTCAGGTTAGAAAAAGCTAACTCGCTTGGATGTAGCCGATCGAGATATATATGTCGCTGACGCCAGCTCACCCGCAACCCCACGGGGCATCGATGAAGCTCACCCTGCTGCTGCAACTGCTGCTGTCGCATTAGCCCAATTGCATCATAATCGATTAGCCTCAGACTGGGATACAGATATGGTATGTAGGCCGAATTGTTTTATTCCTTAATATTTTCTTTTTCTCTCATCATCTTTCCTTCCCCGAGAGATAAGCTAAGAATATGTTAAGGAAACTCACTCTGATAACGACATCGGACGAGATCGCATGCGTTCTTCTATCGAGTTGCCCTCCCTGCGCGACCATTTCAAACAGGAATCATTACCGCCCTTTTCCCCCCGTCCACGAGAGCTTCTGCCATCGATTCTCAATCACTCGCCTCCTGGTCGCTCATCAACCCTTCCCCCCATCCAGAGAAGGGACAAGCTGCCCCGTCCTCGCAAGTCCTCCATATCAGCGGCACGAAAACCTAAACATGAGCGGGTCAAGTCAAAGGAATATGGCCGGCGCCCTAGCCTGGGCGATCGCAAAGCACTATCTGCTGAACCGCAGACGGCAGCATGGGCCCAAGGCAAGCGCTGGGAGGATCTGATTGAGGCGGCTACGTCGGCTACGGAGGCCGATGATGACCGACAGTCAGAGGTGAGTTCGCTATCAGATACCGAGGAACGACGGGTTCACCCGTTGTCTCTTCGCGAACAGCTTTTAACTGTTCCGTCCCAGGTCGGTCGGTCACCGACCCTTGCACCTCTGATTTCGAACATCACCTCTGCTCCTTCTGCCCCGGGGAATCGTTCATCACTCCCTCCTGCTTTCCAGTCGGCGGGCGCATTGCCCCCACCCAATTCGCATCGCCCATTTCCACCGCATTCTTTTGGTGCTTCCTCCTTGCATAAGTCCTTGACTCCCCCGCCGTATGAAACAGCCCGCAACCGTGACAATGACTTGGAGCCTTTCCCGTCTATTGAGTCTTCTTTGGATTCGGCATCGACTGCATCAGGGAAGAATTTTGCATTCTCGGGTCATCTTGGACCGTTGGCAAGACCCGATTCCAGCCCTGGGTTGAGCCTCTTCCCTCGCCAGCATCATCGCTTCTCCAACCCAACTCCAGCATCGTTTCGGCAAAAGGAGGTCCAGGTCTATTGCGCTAGCTGTCATCGGCCCTGGGCGCTCAGCGAATGTTATGCCTGCACAGAATGCATTTGCGGGGTATGCCGTGAGTGTGTAGGAATGTACATCAGCAGTCCCACTGCATCCTTTAGGAATGTGACGTCAAGTCCAGGTAGCGCCATGTCGCACGGTCCGACGAGCTATCCTCCCCGGGGTTGTCCGCGGTGTCGTACCATGGGAAGCAAGTGGAAGGCGTTCCAACTTGAATTTAAGTGAGCCATCGGGCCGAGGTTTTCAACGGGTTGAAATTTACGCTGCAGAATCATGTTTTACGGATGTTACGATTAATGTTGAGGGTCACGGTTACTCAAAAGGATTACGCTTCAATGATGACATCTACGCTGGCGACAATGCACGCGTCCACGAGCCCCCGTCTATCTGAGAACGAACTTTTCAAGGGCTGGACTAACCGTACATGCCACGCACGATAGGATGATTGAAAAGCTGGGCTTTTTTTCTTTTTTTAGTTTCGTTTTTGTTTGAATTTGCAATTTGGTGTGGTTGTGTTTATAACATCGCTGGGCGGTCTATATACACTTACGGTGGCATTTTGGTGTTCTGTTACACTCTGTATTTGAATGAGTCGCAAGATCTGCATTTGGAATGATATTCAAAGACATACATCAAGACATATGAGGCTGACAGGCGGGTTTTCTATCCTGAAGTACGAATGGTTAAGATATTATGTATACAATACACGTATCCAACTACAGGCCTCTACTCGTACCACACGATGCTACTCAAGCCACCCCAAGTTCCCTCGGCAGGCGCCTCGCCAACCAGCAGAGAGGCGACTTCATTGAGCAACTTTCCAGTTTGCGGGTCCCTCTTGATGATGGCTACCGTGGACGAATCTTGATTACCCACCGCGACCAGATCCCCCTTCTTGTTGATCACGAAGCTGCGCGGGGTCTTGCCACTGGATGAAAACAGGTCGTCGTCGGTTACCGTCTTCTGGCCGGGTTTCAACGTTACCAGGGAGTCATTTCCATCAAATTTACCATCCTTGCGGACCGAGATATGTAGAGTCGGTCCCGCTGCCCGGATTTCCCCTAATGTCGTTTGATTCGAGGGAAAGTTTGAGCCGGGGTAAGGGCGGAAGCACGCCGACAAGGGCTTGAACACGGGGCATCCGTTCTTCACATATGACACATCGAAAGAACACACATCGCCGCGGAGTTCTTCCACGGTATACAACGTCGTCTTTTCTCCGTGGCGCCTCGTGAGCCGCTCCCTATGCGGGCTTCTGGCCAGCCGTGCGTGGTGACCTTCACTCGAGGTCACAAACACTCCATGACGCGGCCCGCTTCCCTTATCATAGTGGATAGTCGAATTGGATCCGCACTTGTTCAGTTTACCCGACTCCTGGTCAATCGCAAACACGTGCATCACATCGGATCCCAAATCTGGTGACAGGAGGAACGATCCAGTGGGGTCGAGAAGCACCTGATGCGGTTGCGACTTGGGCTGTTTTTCGGTGACGTTCGTGGGCTGGGGCAACCTCACCACGTCGAAGGGTGCCGGTTTTCCTTTGTCCGCGAAGGGGATGTTGAAGAGTGAGATGGAGGAGTTGCCACTATGTTCCGTGGTCAGTATTGAATGCAGCATCACAGGATGGAACATACTAATGCGCTATCGCGAGGAACTGATTGTCCTTTCCGTACATGACACTATCGACACCGCCAGGAGGTGTCTCTACCGTCACGGACTTGACGAACCTCCCGTCCTTCTCGACCTGCAAGGCGGTCAATGCACCGGGCGTGCCTTCACCAACACACCAGAGGAGCCCGCGGGCAGAGTCGACAGTCAGTGCACTCGTTGAGCCGGCACCACCGCATGTAGTCTCGTTGTAGCTCTTCGTGAGCGAGAATTTATCGCCTTCCCTCTCCAAGTTGAGAGCGTAGACGTTGCCATCGTAGTGGGTTGCAAAGAGTCTTGCAGCGGTTGAAAGAGAGGGCAGCGCCAGGGAGAGCGCTAAGGCAGACTGCAAGAACATGTTCGAAATGAACGTTAATCGACCAGTCCAGACCGGTCTCAGCTGGGTAGAAGCGAAGATGTAAGAGAGTGTGTTCCGTCGCTTTTGCGACTTTTTAAAATTTCGAAGGGTATGGGGAAAACATTGACTGATCTGCACGGGCGCGAAGCGAAATAAATACTACTTGCTCAGCCTTGCAGAAGTGCAGGAAGCCTCAGCCCTCTCACGGTTAGTTCAACCTGTCTCTTTGATTTGTCCAGCGTTGCACCAGGAACAAGTGGAGGTGGAGCGACTGGCGCTTTGTCTGGCATGGATCTGCATTGTCCGGTGGTGGACTTGAAACACCTCTAGGGTCTTGGGTCGTATACAAGGAGCGACTGGTTATTGCCTTCAATGCCTTTAATCTTATTCTTTTACGCTTTGACAGTTATTGTTCGAGTATTGATGGAGGGAATTGAAAGGGTTATAAATGAAAGATTTACGTACCTACAATTTCTAGGATCCACTTTTTAGCCGCCGAAAGGGTCTCATCAGTTCGATGCCTGAGGTATAAATGTACAACATCTCCCCATCCCACTTCAATCCTCATCCATCCATAGCCCTAAGGCAGGATATTTCCAGTAGAAGAATCAATGACTCCGCCCCCACCATTCTAAAATAAGGATATGAGCAGTCTAACTCGGTACACTCGGCTAACGCCATAGTCAACGAATATGGCTTGGGCTTATCTTAGTCAGCACAAAAGGGACCCCAGCCTTGCAAAGTGATTGATTGATAACTCAGATTAAGGCCAGCCATCCACCGGCTAGGTTGGGCATCCTCCTGTTTCAAGCCATGGTGGGAGTTCCCCACAGCACCGGCTGTGAAAGCTGTCGGAAGCGCAAGAAGAAAGTAAGGGCCACTGATAGGACACTGGAGAAAAAGAAAAGCGGCGATTAACCTTCCGCTAGTGCGACAACAGGGCACCAGCATGCACGGCCTGTGTCGCCTCTGGGCGCATTTGCCCAGGGTATCAAAAAGAGTATAAATTTATCAATGAAAACACATCTCTCCTGGCTCATTATCGCAAGAAGAAGTACCTCTTAGAAGAAATTGGTGCTGACCCGGACGAAACTGTGGCTTTATCGAGATCCGCGAGGAACCACACTTACCGCACCGTTTGCTCTTACGAATGGATTTGCTGGCCCTTGGTTTCTGACCGGGAACATGATGGTGCGAATTTAGTTTATATCCTGCAGGATCCTACGAGTCAGATGGTTTTCCCCTTGAGATCACATGGGGGCTTTTATCAGTATATTCCAAGTCGATTGGGACGAAATGTTGCTCTGGACTCTGCCGTTGCTTGTCTTTGTACTGTGTATGCGAATCTCCTGGCTGCTGATGGGACTATTTCGAAAGATGCTTGGCGCAAATATGCCCAGAGTATTGGGGCGCTACGCTTGTGCCTGGATGATCTCGAGCGTTGCTTCCAGTCAGAGACTATCTGTGCTTCGATTGTATTGCAGATGTGCGAGGTATGATCTTGCATCCTTTCTCTGAGCTAGACTAATATGTAACAGCTCTTGACAAATGCCGATAATGGTCGTTGGAACCAGTTGACGCATGGGACTAAGGCTCTCATTCAGAACTGTGACATACGTCGGTTTCAGCAGCCGTTTGAGCGCGCGATGTTAGAATCGCAACGGGCGTTTTTCGTATGTCTATCGATGTATCACTGGAGCTTACAAGCTGACAAGTGGTAGATTGTTCAGGATATGAACTTGCGACAGCCGTGCTTTCTCGCACAGCCTCTTTGGCGGGAGTTCTTGCGGGACACGGAAGAGACTGCATTGACACCTACAAGTCAGGCGTGTGTTCTACGATCGAAGCTTTGCGACTGGCTGGTGGATATTCCTCTGCTTCTTGAGAAAGCTTCGGATATCCTGCACAGTGGAGACTACGGGGTGAAGTTGGAGAGACTTGTGCAACGAGTCATGGTTATACATGGCCAAATAGAAGGATGGTACCTCGCCGAAGTGGTGCCGGATGTTCCGTATGTTCAACAACACGGGGACAATAGTGCACCACTCTGTCCGTCTGCTGAGTACTCTCAGCCCCTCATGGGTGTACTGGATTGTGTGGTAAACTCTACGCTCATTGCCCTAGAAGATGCCATCTCTACCACCGTGTCTCTGTTATCCGAGTCGGATGGTTCCCATAAACCCATCGACTACTCTACCACAATTTGGAAACGACAGCAGACTATCAGCAATGCTCTTGAATATGTCCGGGGATACTCCCCGGTGGCTGCCAAGCCCCTAGAATTCGGCTTACAGCAGCTGCGAACACTCAGAGCAGATCAAAAAGGCTTCTATTGAACAAGGATTTCGCCAAACAGAATGATAACACCATTACTCAAACACACAATCGGAATTTGCCCCCTATACATCGAACCATATACTTTTTCAAGCTTCTGCCAGCAACAACTTCACCATCTCCCCAAGACCCTCCACCACCTCTTTCCTCTCCCCTTCCCAGGAAGACAAATCCAACTCCCGTCCCTCCGCAGCATCCATCAAGACGTCTCTGCTGGGAAAGGTCAACCCCACCGTCCGCTCAAGAGGCCTCATCCGAGCCCCACACAAAACCTGCTTCAACTGCTCCGCCGCCTTCCCGCCCCCATGCCCACCATAACTGACAATCATGGCGGGTTTACCATTCCATTCGTGATACAGATAGTCAATCGCATTCTTGATACTAGCCGGATACCCCCAGTTGTACTGTGGAGTCACGAACACAAACGCTGCATGAGAAGCGATCTCTTCGGACCATTTCCGCGTATGCCGGTGGAGATATTGGTCTGAGGAATGGATCTGGGACGGGATGCCTGGTTCGTTATATAGGGGGAGATTCCACTCTGCCAGATCAATGAGGGATAGTTTGACTGCGTTTGTGCGGACGCTGTCGGTGGCTTGGAGATCGTTTAGAATGGTAGTTCCGATGTGGAGACCGGCGCGGGGAGTGCGCTGGCTGCAAATGATGAGGCCGATCTTGGGGGTCATTTTTGCCAGAGAGTGTGAATCGAGGTAGATAATGTGAGAGGGGGATCTTCACACAGGGAACAGGGTCTGTGAAAACATTTTCATTTTAAGGTAGGCAGGGTGGGAATTTATAGCTTGTCTACGGTGTAAGTCAGTGATGGACTCATATCCTAATCAGGCAAGAAAGCTAAAAATGTAGGGGTTGATGTTGCGCGCCAATGAGGATTGGCCTGGTGGGTCGGCGATATAGTTAGGGTATGGAGTATACATTAAGAATTAACAGATACGTCCTACTACGATAGGGGTATATTGAGGAGTTTTGGACCCAATCACCGCACGAACTTCTAGTTATGCTTAGGGATGGATGTGTGGCGACCCTTGTCGCCTCTCCAATACACTGGAACTGATCATTTCTCCAAGACTATATATCTAGGTTGGCTAAGGAATTTTATACCTGAATCTAACCGAGGTCAGTTAGGTTAGGTTATGGCTAGATTACGGTCTAGTGGCGCCTTATTATTGCTGTGCCCCGCACACATAAATGTAGGATTTCATGAGCCATAACTAGAGTGTGACATATAATTTTATCCTCTGTACCGGCTGCTTTTTATTTACTATTTTATTTTATTTTATTTTTTTATTTTTTTACCATTCACAACAGTTGGGAGTCAGAGTGAGTATTAACGCTTGCTATCTATCTTTTAAGATCACTGTGGATCTTTGCGCTAAGACGAACGTTGAAAACAGGACTCAAAACGGCAGATGGTTTTCTGGGGTGAGGGTCGAATGCAACCGAGCAACCATGTCTTTAAATGTAAATGCAAAGACCTGGATCCTATCGGTTTACTTACCGGCACAAAATCTTATTCCAGAGAAATAGTATGCCTTGGAACAATAGGTGACCTGAGGCGGAACTTGGACTGTTCTTTATGCCAATTGTTTGTCCAGGCAATGGAATTGAACAGCCACAAGGATGATGAAAGGCCAGATACAGCAGAGGTATATTGCAAGCATACCACCAACACTACGTATCTCTTTCTGTTCACTAGTAGGGGACTAGGTGGTATAATAGACCTTTCTCGCCAAGAGGCCATCAAAGCGAAATCAGAGTTGGCCTATCCTGGCGTCGGAAGTAGTCTGAGTGATCTGTATAATGACCCAGGAGATCACTGTGCGGTTAGGCAAGGCCGGGTTGATTCCGCCCTGATACGTTCATGGATAGACTGCTGTATACGTGATCATGGACAATACTGTTGTCCACCTACCATGAGGAAGGTCCGTACCCGCATGGGAGAGTTGCCCGCATATTTGGCGTGCGGGACGACGACCCCAAGGATACTGCATCTAATGCTCGTTGATGTCCTCGAGGAGCGACTAGTTGAGCATTCTGTGTCAGAAACACCAGAAATACCATATATCGCCTTGAGTTATGTATGGGGGCATACCCCAATGCTTCAAACGACCACGGAGAACCTCCCAAAAATGCGTATGCCAGGGGCATTCAGTACAAAGAACGTGACCCTGCCACGTACAGTCCGAAATGCGATGGCTCTGGTTAAGGACCTTGGGTATCGGTTCCTATGGGTGGATGCATTATGCATTGTTCAAGACGCGCCAAACAAGAGTGATCAAATACAAGTGATGAACTTGATATACAGGCGAGCCAGGTTGACCATTGTGGCAATGGTGGGTGAGAACGCTGACAGTGGTCTCCCAGGCATCATGCAGGGCACTCATATTGGGCCCCCAACTGCGGTAATGGATGGATACAAATTGCAAGCCGGGCCCCCGTCTTTCGACATCGAGTTGAAGAGATCGCTTCATTCCACTCGTGGCTGGACCTATCAAGAAGTTCTCCTTTCTCCCAGATGTCTATTTATCTCGCTGTATCAGGTTTACTTCCGCTGCACCAATGGAGTCTCGTTTCAGTTTACAGATCCCTACTCACTTAACCCGATCACTACCCTGGTATGGCCTACTTCAGTCAGGTCAGAGGATGCTGAAATACTCATTGAAGGCTATGAGCGTTATGTGGAGGTTTACACGCGCCGGCAGTTGACATATGACAATGATATCCTCAATGCTTTTACCGCCATCCTACAGGAATTGTCGCTGATATTCTCAGTTACATTCCATGATGCGATTCCCAATATGAATATAGTGCGCGCTCTGCTTTGGTGCCCAACTTGTGAAACTTCTCCCGAAAGGCGTTCCTCCGTCACCAACCCGTGTGCTGACTCCACTCCTTATTTCCCGAGCTGGTCATGGCTAGGGTGGAAGGGACCGGTCACCTATTATATAGCAAACTTTGGGAAGTTACGGAATGAGACATGTATGTGTGGCCTCCTACCCCAGGCATCGCTTTTTTGGAAGCCAGCCATGTCAACAGCGTTCCAGAAAATCGAGACCTCAGACACCAAAACAATAAAAAGGGAGGAAAAGGAAGTGAAATGCGGACGTTACAATTGCTGTACCCTCCTAGTCGCCACGGACAGAGCCCCACACATAAAGGTCGAAGATGCACCACATAGTAGTAGCCTCGCTGAGAGAAGCCCAAATGAACACCTCATGGGACCTGGAAGCCCGCAACACCTTCCAGAAAAGTTCATTCATCTATCGATTCTCCAATTCCGTGCTTCCACAGTTATGGCCCGAGGCTACTACTTTGGAGAGTGTCAATACAAATCTTGGATGACTGATAAGTGCAACGAGATGGACGTTTTACCAATCTACGACATTCAGAGACGGCAGTGCGGTGGCTTTTTCAATCCTGCGATTCCCACCCTTACGTTTGACGAATCCCAGCAATTTGCTATCATAGCTATGAGTGTTTCCCCTGCAGTATGCCTTCCTTATAAAGAACTTATTGACAAGTCCTATGGTTTTATGGGAATAGATGAAGAAAAGTGCATGTGCATCCTACATGTTATGTTACTCAGGTTTCATGGGGAAGTAGCAGAGCGTGTCGCGACAGGCATGATGCATCCTAGAGCCTGGAAGGACGCAGAACCAGGTCCAGAATATAGACTCATCAATCTGGCCTGATATCCTCTTTTTTTTTTTTTTTTTGGAACTCGATTGGCAAACGCGGTGACTGGTGTTAAGATCCAGACCTTTTAGGAACGATATTTCAGTTTATAATAATCCACTATACATGTATATTATTTTTATAACAGAATTAAATATAAAAATATATATGTTCTCACTATAAAAGTTAGACTTCATTGGGGGTACCAGGAAACACCAGCCGAGCTGAGACGATGTCAAGATTGCATTCAGGAAATGATTCACCCTGAAGCTCTATAGATACCATATCCGGACTAGAGAAAGAGTGGAGTTTGAACTGAAATTTTCCCAAGGCCCCAGGGAGCGTTTGTTGAGCCTAATATCGTAGGGAGCCTAAAAATCTTTCCAGTGTTAAGTTCGACCAAGGGATATTTTCACTTATGCAGCTATGCTACAGAACTACATCCTTTCAATGGCCACTGTTGTCTCTCTCTAGTGGGATTAAATCCCTAGCAAGTAGAGCCTGGTGGAGAGCCGGGACTTCACGATTTTGTTGCCAATTAAAAGTATATGCTACCTCCTATGTACACATGATTCCCCCCAGCGGCTCAACTATCTACATACATGACAGCTACATACATGTCAGCAAGAACTGTCTCCACTCCTTGATAGGGACCCCTACTACAAGAGTCTCAGGTTTCACCAATTTGTCTATATTGACGATTTGGTATTATTCAGGAAAACAGTATTTAGATAGCTCTTGTACTTTGCACCAACATTTATCCAAGACAGGTACTAATTCTGGGATAATCCTTGGACATTTTTATTCTTCGAATAGATGTATTATTCCTTGGGATGGCCATTCCCTCATGCTTGCACTTTTACAAATGCTAATATCGTATATAGTTAGTTCGATGCTCGATTCGGTTTGCAGTAACCCAATAGCATTGTTAGTCTGGCTGCTAGTCGGTATGGATGGATTCTCTAGTCTTGTCGACCATGGTGAAGCTGCATGTGTATCCGGTGTGTGGTATGTGATTTCCCATGCTATGGACAAAAGCATAACGTTTAAGACTTCGCAGAGCAACGTTCGATCTCCCGCTCGAGAAGACGTATCAAGCGTGGTCTGAATGAATTTCGGAGACATCTCATCGTCAACAATCCTTGCCAGCAAGAACATCGAAACAGTTGAGGAAATCTTATTATTTCTTCTCAAACCTGGTAAAGGATAGATTATCCTTGTAGGGCACTCGAATACTTTACGCAAACCGAGTCATACTTGACGAGAGATACTATTCGCTGCTGAATAACAAAGATGAAATTATATTTATGCAATTATTAGAGTTGAAGAAGGTACAGTCTGGAATATTTTAACCAATGTGATTGGATAGATAAAATCAATTTTAGAAAAAACGTACTACTCTCTTATTAGTGGTAATTACCAAACCAACACCACCATTATACCTCTATGTCACATACACATACAGTCCACCTGAAATATGCCTATGTAACCTACAAAACTCCTCCGATTGACAGGACATTCCGATCACTGCACACAAATCAAATGTTGATCCCGGTAATGAAGCATTGCGGGGCCGACGGGGCCGATTCGCTTACTCCCGGTTTCCTCTCTCTTAAACTGTCGATCTTAGTTTCGGAAGGAAGTTTTTACTGTTTCACCGGATAGAATCGTGGACCAGTTATGAGGAATGTCTTAGGGATTATGCTTATTCATACAGTTTCCGTAAATTTGGTGTTTCATGGTTTGTGGAAGTGTTGAGTGAGTTTATAGTCTTATGGAGGATTGTGGTAATGGATTTATAGTCAGAGATAGGGTGGTGACAAAAGAAAAGAGAAAAAAGAGGAAGAAGAAGAAAAGAAGAAAAGAAGAGAAGAGAGAAAATATGAAAGAAAAAGGAAAGAAAGTAATATCATCTAGGGCATTCATAGATTTATCTAGGCAAACTATGAAGGAAGTAAGTCTGTGGAGCTCTACAGCAGGGTTATTCATAGTGGACTGTTCTACAATGTGATACCTAATGCAAAACAAATATTCCATACACAATAAGAGTCACATTGCACGTTCTAGAATCTAAACTATCTAACCCCAGTACAAAGCATGCGTAAAGCATGTTAACTCATAAAGAAGCTACACAGAACCTAATTGACAGCTTCGAACTTAACCGGTAAGCCAGGCTTCCCATACTCCATCGTGAAAAAGTCCTTCTGCTTCGGTCGCTGGAAATCTGGCGGAAGACTGAGCTTATAGTTCCGGAATATATATGCCATCACAATCGTGACTTCCGCGAAGGCGACGCTAGAAACGACGAGGACAATCAGTATCCAGTCTCAACCAGAAGGAAATCAAAACATTCTTTGCTAGGTGTAGGTATTCAGCAGATATGGGTTTTCAACTTACTTCTGACCAATGCACATCCTAGCACCCTTGGAGAAGGTACAGAGGTACTGGTCCAGATTTTTGGAGTCGGGCTGTAACCAGCGCTCGGGGTTGAAGGTTCGCGCATCAGGACCCCAGAGCTCTTCGCTGTAGTGCATGGTGTAGGCGGAGATTGAGATGACAGTCTGGACATATTAGTTTATCCATTTGAGTTTGACACTGGGTGGAAATAGATTGGGTAGATACGTACTCCCGGGGGTATGATCTTTCCATCGACAGCAAAGGGCTGAGCCAGGTCGTTGGGCACAATGCGAGGTAACCGCCCAGGGACGGGCATTCCGATCCTCAGGGATTCTTTCACACAAGCCGTCTAATATTTCTGTCAGTACCAGGAACTGTTCCGTGGCAAAAGGGGTTGCGATAGAGGCGGGCCAAGGGGATATACCAGATAATCGATCTTTTCAAGTTCCATAAGTGGCAAAACTCCCTGCTCGTTTGGCTGCACCGATTGTAACGCCTGGACCAATTTGGTTTGGACCTTTTTATCCGCGAGAATATGGAGCAGGGCTGCTGTCAGGGTAGATGCAGTGGTATCCGCTCCAGCAATCAAGATATCCATAGCTTCGGTGACTTTCTGAGGGTAGGACACTGACGTAAGGTGGTCGAAGACAACTGGATGGGATGTGGTATTGCCATGTTTCTCATAGTGATTCATGCAGCTCTCGGCGAACTAAAGAAGATAGGGTCAGACAGTGAAAACTAGCGCAAAGGCTGTAAATGACAGGGCACGTCTCACATTAATTACTTCAAAAAAGGATGCAACCTTCTTGTTCATGATCTTAACAATACTCTTTGGCAAACATGATCCAATCTTCCGCAGTACGGGCCATTCATGGGCTGTCCACAAGTCGCTGGCGACCGAATCAAACGCTCTCAAGAACCATGAGTCAAATGTCGATTCTTCCTCTTCGAGCATATTGGCGGAGCGCGCAAAGGCAAACTCCATGATAACCTCCGTGGTGAGACATCTTTACGCTGTTAGCCACACGCTCAACACTTTTAACGGAACTGAATCAGAGAGAGATTACCGAAAGGCATCATAAACGTTTATCAAGTGCTTCTCCCTCAATCTGTCAATCTTTCTCATCATGATTCCCGCCTTGGTATGAATAACTCCTTCAAGCTTAAATACACCCGCCCGAGAAAAAAGAGGATTCAGCATTTTGCGTCGCTCTTTATGCAGTGCCGGATCTGTCTCACCAAACAGCGAGTGGTCAATGTTGAATGAGTTGTAGAAAGGGGGATACTTGAGGAAGGGCTTTGATTGGCTGTAAATGACTTTGTACAGGTGAATATCAGAAAGGTGAAGTTCATTAGGGGCAATGCGAAGGGATTTGGTTTCTAGAGTTTTGAGTGGGCGTATCATTAGCAAGATGCACAATGTTAATGGGCTAAGGTTGCCTTGGGGAGGGCCATACGGTATTTCTTGTGCAGTCTTTCAAATTCATGCTCTGGAAAGCCTGCCTGGTTGGTTTTATAGAGCCAGTTCGTGGATAAAGATGCTTCGGGTGGGCCTGAGAATTGGGACAGTGGGTGGAAATGGCGACGATAAATGCTTCGGACCATATGTAAAGTCCCGATTCCAATGATGAGCGCTATCAGAATGCTGGCACCCTGTGTCTTCAGGAAGGCCATGCCCAAGTTGTCTGCCATATTGGCTATGTTCGACATGGTGATTCGGATACACACTGGTCTGATGAAGGGTTGATACAGAGCACTTCCTCTCAAATGCAGTACCTCACCGGGGTACTTATAGCTTTGATCCCCCTGACCCTTGCTGTAGGTATCTCCACCGACGCTCGATCACCGAGCTGGGATGTGCATACATCGAAGCCTCGATTTGACCAGAATGCCTGCTCGGAGGTTTGTCTTCTGTCTCCTGCAGTACAGGTGGAGGCCGCTCTGGCTGGTTGCATCTCCACCGGGTAGTGGATCGTTTATCGGCTCCGCAACGGACTAAGCGGGTGGAATAACGCATAAGGAACAACCATTCTCGTCCTATCAATACCGCTAATATAGTAATGTAATAATTCAAGGACAGCGCTGGTCGGTAATGTCAAGTTGCCTAACCTCTCTCGTGGGTTAAGCACCGTATGAATGGTACATGTCAATACTCTGGTCGTTATATAGGAATAACCTGGCTGTACAACATATACAGATACGTCCTGGGTCTTGTACAGATTGCTATGATAGGCGTGTCTACGGTGGGCACCTGAAGGGGTGAAATGGTATCTGGAGCCAAGCGATAGGACATCACGAAGCCCATGAATATGGGGCATCAGTCAACGGTTTCACCTCATCAACAAGCTCATTGAGAGCAGATATAAATCCTGTTCGAAGATGCGGCCACGCATCATAAGATCCAAGAATACGTTGACATTCCCTGAGAAGACGAGTGGAAGCCCCTGGTTCCAAGAGGAGTCCAACTCCGGTCAAGTAAGGTCGACAGTTGGCATCGCCAGCTATCCACTGTTTCTTCAGCACCGGATCAGGGTCGCGGTCGATCCTTAGCAGCCTATGGGGCGAAGGCTGTGTTGAACGAGGGCCTTTGGTAGTGGTACTGGTATGGAACCGCTCATAGACCCATAAGTACAGGAACGCAAATAGGAGACTGAAACAATGGTAGCAAGCAGGAGCTAAGCCACCACGAATCTCCCTAATTATTGCACCAGCATGTACTACACATCTACGCGCACGTTCCGTGTCTTTCTCCATCATTTGCGCTATGCGCTTCCCGGCGGCGATACTCTCCACATTCGTAACAAGCCACCCTGTGTAAGCAAGTATATCCCGCACAGACGTGTATCTTAAAATGCTAGTTAGATGATAGCAGATCGTGAAGCACTCAGCGAAAGCGGATGCTGACTTTGTTGGTGTGAAGTTCGGATCTAAAAGTTGGTACCGGGGATCAAGGCTTGGGTACGAGTTAGGTGTCTCCTGCAAGTACGGTAACGTGCAAGGATTACCGCTAGGCACTAGAAGACGAGCAGAAAACTGACACGTATTGACAGCTTGCTTCTCTCCGACAAAGAGACCAAGTAGTAATGCTAGCCTGTTGAACCAGGGTAGTTGTTCAAGAGAAAGGTCATTAATACAGCTAGATGATAGAAATTCCCGTATAGTGATTGCCGGTGTCTCTAGTGGAGGTTAGTACTGAAAGAGTCAAGAATCAGATTCTAACTCACCCTGGCAGGATTGGAAATGTTCCTCCCAGGAGTGAGCATCCTGGCTGCTCCAGAGTTCGTCTGGATAAGGGAGTCTGTGCTCAAAATCATCCATTGAATAGCTTGGTTGCATATCAAGAAATACGACACAAAACGAGTCGAGCACTGGATCCACTAGTAAGCCATCTATTCTGCCGTTGAGTCCAAGAGCAATATATTAACGCACAGAAAAACGCATATACCAGACGGGTGTGGGCTTCGGCTTGGAGCCATGCATGCCATCGGTCGTAAATATTCACAGTTTGCGAGGCATCTAGCAGGGCAGAATCTCTTCTACTGTGGGGATTAAGAAAAGGACGAATAAGTGTAGCCAGCCAGGTGCGCAGAAACTGCAAATTAATGATATTGTCTCGGAAACCGTTGAACACAAGGTTAACATTGAGCAGCAAAGTTGACTGAGCCAGAGTCATTGCATCGAATTGCAGCGCTTTCACAGCCTGGAGCGGTTAGCATGGCCAAATCACATGGTATTGGAACGTTAGGCGTACATCAAGGGGGATCGCACGACGTAAGAGTTCGGACAGAACGATGATGTATTCTTTACCCATAGCCATTCTAGTATATTGGCTCCCAATAACAGCCAAGGCAAGCACTAGAATCCACGAGCCGTCGCTTTCAAGCATAACTGGATGTATAAATGGCATCTGTGAATGGAAATACTCAAAATACACCTGAACAAGACAATTGAGGCGGTTGGCGTCCGGAAAAGCGAACTTCTTGAAACAGATGTCCGTCTGGGCCAGATAGAAGCTCAGGATCTTTTCATACGTTTCAGTGCGTACGGCACTAACATGGAAGAAGTTTTCTGCGATCAGTAAATCATCGTCAGAATGGGAATCCGGATCCCCTCTAGGAGATGTAGAGCTAGATGCTGTGGGGTCATTTAGTACATGACATGCGATTTGCGAAGATTGATGAATTTCTTCCGCGGGAGTAGGCAGTGGCTGTAGCGCAGCTGGTTCAGTAGGTGTGCTCGACCTGGGTGTTGGTAAAACCGGAGGAGGCTCAAATGGGAGTGGAATTTGCTGACAGGGTGAGTCCAGACCATTGAATCCAGCGCCGTTGTTGAGGGAAGCATTATATTGCGGATCATCAAGGCAGTCGAACGGACCCCATGTGAACAGATTGCCCAAGTCGGGAAAATAGTTCGGATAGCCCAACGCACCGAAAAGGGGCCTTATCCCCGGCGGCGCTTGAACGCTAGCGTTGTCCACTAGCTGTTGATCACCCGGTAAGAGCCTATGCTTCCCTATGTCTCCATCAAAGCTCATTTCTGCTTGTCCTATGCCATCTTGACATGATACATGTACTGTGGATGACTTATTTCGAGCATCATCACCACCAGAGGAGTGATGATCAAATACACATGTGCGATTTTTGTTAAGGCAGCGAGTACAAGGCGCGTGCCCACTACAGCGCTGTTTCTCCCGTGCGCAGCTCTGACAAGCATGATTGCTTCGAGGTCTTTTAGCCCTCGATGTCAGAAGAGGCTGGTTCTGCTGATCGCCATGCGTGCTGATATGCCGTTGCAATGTGTCTCTATGTACCGATAAGCTAGATGCTCTAACTCCATATGCAAGAGCTCGTACCTTCGTGAGAATGATTTCGAGCACAAGGAACACCTGAATGGGCGCACCCCTAAATGACCCCTGAGATGGCGGTCGAGGTGTTCCTGGCGGCGGAAAGTTTCGCGACAAACATCGCAAGAGAAAATTGGGGTATTTTTGGTAGCGCCCATCATTCAGATCATGGACAATCCCTTTCAATGGGAACAGGCCTTGAGATTAACATTTTTTCGCCAACGCATTACTTCTACAAGCAATGAATTTTGATTGAAACCTGAAGGTTTTCTCGGAAGTTGTGACTGGCCTGTAGATTCCGCTTAGTAAGAGGAGGTTTCCCCGCAAAAAGGTGGGCCTAGATTGAAAGGCAGCAAGGCAAACACTTGTGTATACGCATGAGCAGTGACTTCATAAGTACTAGGAGTCTTACACGGATACTGATATTGGATAACTAACGCAAATATACAGCTTCATCAATACCTAGAAATTATGGCTACGGCTAAGGCGTATGATACGTACTGCCATCTAGGTGTACCAGGTAGGATTGGGGACTTCATCCAACAACCAAAACCGTCCCAGCTCTGACTCCTTGTAAGCCACAGGATCATGCAATGTATGAGTCCGCACGTCCTTCCAGAAGCGATCAAACCCATACTTCTCTGCTGTAGACCTTGCTCCGGTAACTTCGAACACGCCGCTAGTAACCTCCAGGGATGTATGAGTCGCTACCACCTTCACACTGGCAACCCATTCAGCCACCTCACCACGTTTACGTGCAGACAGATCCCTCTTCGACCCATGCCCATTGAAAGCATCGGCTATTTCCTTGCCTGCACGATCGGCTAGAGCATCCGCGGCACGCAAGGAGGCGAAGAACTTCCCGTAGCGGGCCAGAACGTAGTGCTCATCCGTTGGGTTTGGCTTGGGGTCATGGGCAAAAGGCCAGGCACGAGTTTGAGTGAGAGTGTAATGCCTCGCCGTGCGGAGAGCGCCTTGCGCAATCCCAATATAGAAATTAGAGAACACGAGCTGGATAGTAGGCAACAGAAGAGCGGTAAAGGGGACTTGGAGGACTTCGGGGATAGGTGCTTTTGTTTCGTTTGACCATCCCAGAGCGTCCTCCCAAGCGATGGGAACATTTTCAATCTTAACTGAGCCGGACTCTGTGAGACGTAGACCAATATTGTTCCAGTTATGTGAGAAGACGATCCCCGGCTGGTTGGTCGGTACAAAGGCAAATATGTGGCCTTCTGTGTCTTCATAGACACCTTCCAGGACGGTGAGATCGGAAACCACACCTCCCGTGTTGAAGTTCTTGAACCCATTGAAGACAAGACCCTCGCCCGATGGGGCACGAGAAACTCGGCTATCATTATCGCGAGGGTTTACAGCCCCTTATGAGAGTTAGCATGTCGTTTTCATTCTAGAAATTAAATGTATGATACCTCCAATGAAGTAATTGTTCTCAATGATCAGTTTCTCATAACGCTCCTTTTGCTCGTCTGTACCCACAATATGTGCAGTAACTGACCAAAGCAAATGGTATCCCAAAAGCATACCAATTGATCTAAACACTCAATTAGCAAATTTCGAGTCACTCACTTCCATGTCGCAATGTAGGCTTACCCGTCTCCTGCAGCTACCTCGCGAATGACCTTGTATCCTGTCTCCCAGCTCTCCCCACCACCACCGTACTTGACGTCACCAAGTACCTTGGTTAGACTGGAGCTCTTCAGCAAAGAGATCTCAGCTCTGGGTGTCTTTTGGTCTTTGCTCCTGGCCGATGCATCTGGAGCAAGAATGTCGGACACTTTACGCGCTCGCTCTAGCCACCCAACCGTTGTGGTTGGCTGTCCCTCCGCTGCGAAAGCGTCGTGGTGGACTTGATAGATAGAAGGGTCTGATGCAGGTGGTGCAGGGTTTGGGGGAGGGTGGTTCTGAAGAGTTAGGACTGACGGGTTGGATTGTGACATGATGTCTTCAAATTATGAATTAGCTATGGCTCAGCGGTGTAACCACTACAAGTTTATACGAAGATTGTGCAGGACCAAATGTTAGTTTATATAGCCGCGGTTCGCATTGTTCAAATGCGTACATGCGTTCGTCCGAAATACTCGCCGATGATGCCATTTCTGATGCGTATTGTACCGATAATTCGTGATCATGATCGACTTCCTGCTACGCCCTCGAGGCCTAATATTCGGCATATAATTTCTTGACTACATGGATAAGGTGATAAGGTTATTATTTGGAGTGCAATAGGAGTGGGTTGCTGTAGAATGATTCGCGGTGGGTCGTGATTGTGTGCTTCTCGCTCCGATCACGTCTTCAACTAGTCGTTGACTCAATTTTGGATTTTTCGCGAGCTAGCTCTCTTGTTCGGTAGGATGACATTTGAATAAAGGCTAGGTTGAGCCTGTTCAATGAGAAGAGTTGTAGTTAACCCTAAGGTCAATGTGTTCATCTTCTTCATTACTGAATCAGTACACCATAGGATGGAGTACATTGGCTGGATTGATGATTTTATTTGCCTTAAACCCCCCAAAGGTTGAAGCTATATATAAGCTATTAGGTCTATCATATTCTTTGTATCTCGATTGTCTATATTATTGATTTCTTATAAACAAAGTGTGTGCTACGCCTAGAGTTGAGCGGGTAGCCCACTAAACCCGACCCGAAATCGCCCCAACCCGGTGATTTTCGAGGGCGGGTTCGGGTCCTAGGAGGCTAGGACCAAAACCTATCGATACTGAACCCAGGGATTCTGTATAGGTCGGGTCAGCTAGAGTTAATTGGATCGGGTTTAATCTATTGATCTATAATTTTTTTTTAAAAAATATATCATTAACATAACTACTGATTATATATATTAAATTGTCTCTATAAATAGATTTTTAAATTTTTTATTTCTATAGGATGACTCCTCCGGCTTGACCTACTACCTAATTTTCACGCACTTTTTCTCCATTACTTTCAGCAGTTTAAGGGTTTGTACATATACTCTTATTTTACACAGGATAATAATTTCACAATCACGGAGGTCGCTCCAAGAAATCCCTACGGCTGAGAGAGAACAGCTCGTCTCTGACCTCAATATTGTCTCGGTCGGAGTCGGGGAAAAGCCAACAATGGAGGCCGCGCTCCAGTACTATATCCACAAGAAGCCTGCCGAGACGGATGCAATCAGGTAACGCGGCAGTGAGCCCGTGCAGCGTGAGATCAAGGGCTATAAGACGGACGTGTTGCGGTTGACGATTGCACGCGCAACCGATTGCCCTAGTAGTTGCTGGCCGACTGGCCAGCGCGGCTCGCGGCGACGAAGATACCAATCCAGCACTTGGCCTGAGCTTTAGCTATGCTGCTACTCGAGCTGCGAGATAATGTGCGGTATCTCTCCAAAATTCCTCAACCAGATGGGGCGGATCCCCATAGCGAGGTATTGTTCAGACCGCTGCTCAATCTCTTGACCAGAGGGTTCCCGATCGTCGGCCAAACCACCAGGCCACGGCAACAGCGCATAATGATATCTGCCAGGCCACCTTTCAAAGGCATCTTGAAGCAACTGATTCATGTACCTGTCTGAGAATGAACACCCAACATACAAGGCCACGTGAACAGGGTTCTCCAGGTAGTCAGACTTGAAGCGTTCTAGGACCTTTGAGACGGACTGCCCATATTGCGACTGATAGCCACTTGTGGCAAAGACGTATGGTACTGTTGTTATAAGGAACGGTCTTCTCGGTGTATACCCATGCGGATGGTACACTGGGAGGTATAGCCCACCTGGCCCGACTGATATCGCGAAGCGGTTCGGATCACCTGCTATTTCGTCTCCACGCATGGCAATTGCGGCGCTGGGAATCTGGAGATCTGAAAGTGCTTGCTCCATGAAATCATCGTAGTTGTATGTGATGATGCCGTCCCAGCCCATAAAGTGGTCCTGCCTTTCGGGAACAAACTGACTCCGTGCTAATTTTGCGATCGCGCGATGTGTCTCGCTCGGCATCCTATCTCCCTCGTAGAGCATGGCTGTCATAAGGGTAAACAGTCGCTGTCCGCAAAGATCGTGACAAACATCAGCGCCGCGCATCAAGATATCAGCATCAACTGATTGATTATTCCTCTGGGCCTCTTCAATACGCCGGAGAACTTCAACCGCGGTCGTCTCTTCGTCAGCGTTGTATCTTCTTGCTGATTCTCTGTAATAACCAATCGTAAAGTTCCGCTGAACGCCATTCTGACCGACGTGGCTGTAGTCAAAGGTAGGTGTCCAGTTGGGGCCTGCTGGGTTCCTGGAGATGAACCTTTCATTGACAAGCCCTCGTGGAGCCTCAGGAGGCAGCTGCTCCAAGTCCTGAGGCCTGGGAAGCCAAAGCTCCATGACTCTGCCAATTGTCTGGCGCAGCAGACGCTTCACTAGTGCTGGCCAGCTTGGAGCATTGCAAGGGGCCGCCATTGACGCGCCAGCCCCAAGCACGAGCGAGAGCGCCGAAGAGCGGCGTATCTGGCGAAGAAGAGAAATGTCGAATTCTCGCACATTCCAACCAAGTTCCCTTCTCATCTCCCTAGTCGCCTGGGAAGTGTTGGCCACAAACTGTCTCGCACGTTCTTGAATCGCATCGAAATCGACGATAGCGTGTCCCATTTGACTGTTCAGCTGGTGACCCCACTGAACACTTCTGCAAAGCCCGTTGATAATTGTTTCGATCTCATAGAGCGAATGGGCCGAGGGTTCGCGTCGTCGCAGGTCGGCAAGAAGGTTTGGATCGAAATTAGTACGCAATTGTTGCCATTGTGCCTGGAAGTTGCTGGGCCCTGCTGGTACTGCAGGTGGAGAGACTGCGTGAGACCATACTGCTCTTAGATCTTTTGACAGCTTACCGGAAATCAAACTTGGAAAGAGTTATGCAATACCTGGTTCGTTAGTTCCCTGTGGCGGGGGTTCACCATTCGACGCCATTGCTGCGTATTATCAGGATTTCTACAGAAAGTGACATATAGCCGTTTCATCTGTACTTGAGATCTTGCTAGGACTCTCTACGGCAATCGATGTTGTAATTATAAGAGAGTAGAGCAATGGTTTTATATCCATGCAGCACGAGTTCGCAGAATCATACGATCAAATATAGGTGATGTAATGAAGGTTCTAGACATTGTTTAAGCTTCTAAATTATCTGAAAGCGGAAACATATGGACGTGGCGTGAGCTTCTGTTGTCCTAATCCGTTTCACCCTTCTTTTCTGCTACTTTTATTTAATTAATTTGTTAAATGGCTCCTCCAGATCAACAACCCTGGATGGGGCCAGGCTCTTCTGCCCCATGACACAGAGTCCTTGGGGTGAAACATTGCAGCAAAGCCCAGTAATAATTACTATCAACTCCGCGTTGGCGTGACTTTTGACAAAGGACAGACAGATTCGCAGTATAAGCATGAGTGGGAAGTGAGCTATTGACTTTAGCCTGCAAAATCAATTTCCCCATTTTTCACATGCTGAGAGGTATAGTTGACGCCAGCGACCTTGAGTCCTTCGCGATCGAGAAGCGTGATAGTGTCACCGTCTGTAGATAAGTGGCAATCCGGAACCTCAAAGACCACGGTAGCCTTTGCACCTAAATCCTCATCCCTAGGGAGAACCTGTTCTGCCCAGCGCGAATTGCGGACCCTCCAGCCTGTGAGCGATATCTCGCGGTTCGTGAGGTTCGCCAGGGTAACAGACTGCTTCTTCTCTTCTCCTTGGCCAAAAGAATCCACAACGGCCTTGTGGATAGCAACTGAATTTTCGACAAGGTCACCAGGCAGGAGGTCTTTCCAGGCGACTCGTGATATGGGCATGGCCACCATTCTCGCTTGTATGTACGGCCTGCGATGCAAAGGCGAGGAAAATACCAACCCATTTATCGAACCCTGGGACGGCCCCTCGGAATTGGAAGAGAAGCGCGCCGTCCTGGAACACGCCATCGTCACCCGAGTACCTTCGGATGTTGCCCTGGTTCATGTGGACATTGTGTATTCCATCGTTTGTGTTGAATCGCTCGCCGAAGATGTAAACGACAGCCCCGATGAGAGCTTCCTTCATGTTTCACTGATAGTATCAAGGAGATTCGCGAGGAACTTCCCTTGATCTTCGATCCCACATATCCGCTGGTTCTAACTCACACTAACCTATGTGAAATGAAGATCATCGTCAACCCTAACAGAGGGCGTATCACCAGAATTGCTGATTGGGCCGATGTGAGAGTGTCGCCTTTTGGAATGTCCCTGTGGGGTTTTCAGAACATGCTTGGCATTATGGATTCAAAGGACTGGCATTATTTTCAACATTACTCCAGAATGAAAAGTCCTTTTTGAATGTATTCCAAAAATTCGTGGGTTTTGTTTCTAGTGACGAAAAACGGGCTATTCAAATTGCGGAACGGGCTGGACTGCTCCTTCGCTATAGCTTCACTAGGAAAGATGGAGCTTCGGAAAGGCCCGTGAATGAACAGGATATTTCTATCAGGTATTTGGACGCACTCTTACTTGGTTTAGCTGATTGAATTGACTCTTCATCGACTTCATTCACGTACCATTTAGTTCCGATCACATCCTTAATTAGTTGCCGACCCCAATCCTGAATGTATTCGCAAGCTAGATCTTTTGTCGGATATCAGAAACTTTGAATGAGAATGGTTTAACTGGATCTAAAGAGAACAGTCGCAGTCACCCCTAATACCAATATATTCATCTTTCCATCACTGCACCAGTGTGCTACTTACTAGGTGATATGGGCAGATCAATACATAGATATTCTGCTGTAGCAGCCGGGACACATCGCCTTTGTGCCTTTTCTTATTCTCTCTCTCTCTCCGTGCGTGTCTCCTTTTTTTTTTCTTTCTTTCTTTCTTTCTTTCCCCTCCATTTTCCTGGGGTTGTGAAAGTCATGGGCCTGCTCTATCGCATACCTGACGTTTCCCTGGTGTTCTATCGAGCTTTTCCTCGAAACGTAATTGGCTCAGTGCAAAATACTCTCATCTTTAATATCGCAGACCATCTACATATTAAGATTAATTCCATACAAGTTTGACTCATACTCACTAAGTAAAATATTCAGTGTTATCTTCGGTAATCAAAGTTATTATTAAGAAACCCAATTGAAGTTTGGCAATCCAACACTTAGGGTTATCATAAGGCTGTCCAGCGTTAAAAGTACTAATTCGCTCTCGACTTCCAATACTTCAATATACACTGACTAGTCACTGGTCTGTGCATACATGAGTCATGGACAATAGAGTACGTGTCGTCAGGTTAGGCACCGACTTTGTCTCTTCGGTAGGCGACAATCTCTGGAAGCTAGGTCCACCTAGATACCTACCTATATGGATGGACCTTCGCGCTAAGCTGTGTTGGTATAGGACTATGTGGCTCAGCCTGTAAGGCTTTTGAATAAAAAGTACCGGGACTTAAATAATCGCGCCGCGCAGACCTACGTTTTGGTGGTAATTGATGAAATCAACATACGTCAGATAACCCCATAGAGGCATGGAAATGATTGAGCAGACTTTGTTTTCAGCTCCAAGGGTAGAGCGTAGCCTTGCCCCTCATCTGTACATTAAATCTGTACTCCACAGCTGAATGCAAGGTGTCTGTGCCGCAGAGAACAACACATCACAGCCACAGTTGCTAGGCGCCACGACGTACAACATGAGTTAAAAGAGATTGTCTCTGTTTCTGCCCGTGAACAAACAGTAAGAATCGCTACTTGTTCATGTCAAGATACCATTAAGGTTCACGCGAGGCACTTGTACAAATTAAAAGGAAGTACAAAGCAGAGTGACTGTCACATAATGTCCTCCACTGCAGCTGAACGACGTCAAGTCTTTTTAGCGTGTAAGGCGATCTTCTCTGGCCCTGACGCCCTGCTTCGAAGGTCGAAGGCCATTAGCAAACGCCTTGCAGAGCACCAATCCTCACTTTGCACTTTAATCCCCGATTTCGACATCAATAGAGTCTCTCTTATCGTTCAGGAACTCCTGAAAGATGGGGTATTCGAATCAGATATCAAGGCACGCCTCATATTCCCCGATCTTCCTGCGCCATCAACGACAAAAAAGAGCGAACAGGATTCCTTTGAAGACGAGGCAGCCCGTACGGTAGCGGAGACTGTCAGGGAGGTCGAGTCAGTATGCGACAGAGAGGAATGTGAAACCACAAAGGTTCCTCCTATATCGGTGTCTGTGAAGGTAGAGGCTTCTGCGGAAGAAAGGGCTTGCATCGACCGAGCAATTACTTCCTGTACGTACATTATCTTACTCTTTCGATTGTTTATTGCTCATCTCCCAACAGTGCCTTCGCCCCCATCATCAGCAGAACCAGAGCTGCGAATTCCATCACTATACCCATTGTACTTCCCATACCATGCTCAGCATTCTATCCTGTCACAAGTCCAGCAAGTACTGGAAGAATGCTGTTTTGATTTTACAAAGAAATGGCTTCCTTTGGAACTTGACAGCCATGGATGGGATTGCGCCGCTGCGGTAGAGCTCACAAAATGGACAAGATTGTTAATGAAATGGTCACCACAGCTTCCTGATGTGTCGTTACATTCGAATGGCCCAGAGTTTCACGAACGTCTTGCTGATGTTTCTGTAATCCGACACACTGCAGTTCATCGAATCCCAACAACAGCTCGAGGGATTGACACATTAGTCGTTTCGGCTATGAGACTAACCGAAGCTTTGCGGGATACATTGCGCACGTCACAACTGAAAGACCTTCACCTTGATATTCAAGCCAAGATCGAGGCGATGGAGTTTAACAAGAACGCTCTTGAAGAGCATCTTAGTCGAGAGTTGGAAGCCATCCAGCGGCAACGAGAAGAACTGGACAGGAAGGAGGTAGAACTTCGAGCAAAAACTATCGCTAGTGATAATGAGAATAAAGGGCTTATGGGTCTCTTGGTTAAGGAATCAATGGAAAGGATCTTTAGCGGTGGGACTTATGAAAATAGCTCAACTGGGTTTGTAACAGCTGATGAGAGGGCGGAAGATGACTGAATATAACTTATCACTCAAAACACACACACACACACACACACACACACACATAGAGCACTTCTGACATGGCTTACCGTGATATGCTGCTAGTGATACTATGTATGTTGAGGTCGAATACCCAGAGGGGCTACGACTCATCATGAAGCATCTACAACAACGGGCCTCTCTAACATTACCATAGGCTCGGCGCTTCAGGCCTAAAACCCATTCTAGCTAGACTGATGCGAGAGTAGTGGAGTTGAAGCTGTGCCACGGCATTACAGTTGGATTTAATGGCTATAGCCTTAAAAATTGATATCCGTGGTAGAGCACATTATTATGTTTGAGCCAATAAGACTGAGAAAGCACATCCCAATAAGACTATATTAGCATTTACAATACGTGGCTCATGGTTCGATATGAACTACACCAACTTAAACCTTCACATTCTATACCTCACTACCCAATTCTTCCCAATTAAACCTGTATTCTTCCTGCTCAACACCAAAGAAGATACCCATCCAATCAAACTCATTCGTTCAACCCACAAAAGAACGTAGCAACCACCTCAGCCGCAACTTTCGAATCATCATCCTCGCCTACCTCAATCAATCCCATATAACGCGCAGTCTCCTCCTCAGACCACTTTAGCCTCCTCCCAAACGCCAAACACGTCTCCCGATTGACAAAGACATCGAACTCAAAATGCCCCTGATACGTCAAAACCCTCCCAGGACAATACAGCCCCTGAACGGGACACAAATCAGTGGACCCAACATTCACCCAACCCGCAGGCAACTCCGCCGTCGGTCCAGCAACAGGGACAACCCAATCCCCGTGAATCACCTGCAGCCGCATCTGCTTCTGCATTCCGGGCAACTTCCCCACAGCCTCCGGAAACGACGCCACAAATTCCGGCGTCAAGTCAATAGGAACGAGACCGGTTTCACGGCCATCCGGACAAAGCTCAACTTTCATTGCGGGGCCCGGCGCACATTGCGGGGCCGATGTGGAGAGCAGCGCCTGTGCGATAATCTGGTGGCCGAAGCAGGACCCAAAGAATTTTACATGCGGGTATTGGGTGTACACCTTTTGGATCCAGGACTCCAGGGGTTTAATCCATGGGTATATCGAGGTGTCGTAGGCTCCTGCTGCGGCGCCGGTGATGAGGATGCCGTCGATTGGCTGGGCTAATGGGTTTGAAGTTTCGGTTCCATTGCTACTGGTTGCCGAGCGCTTGGTGGTGCGCAGGCTTTCCAGTGGTGGAAAGGTTCCGCCTACGACATCGTAGGCAGAGGTGAAGATGCTGATTTTACGGCCAGCTTCGGATAGTCGTGCTGCGGCGGATTGCAGAAGATGGCGAAATTGAGATGAGTATAGGCCGCGGGCGCTGTAGACGGCTGGAACGGGGACGTCAGTGTCCAGGACAGCGATGTGGAAGGACATCTTGAAGTCGGGAGTGGGATATATAAAGGTGGTTGACGCTACAAACTTCTAAGATGTTTGAATCGTTTTATGCTTCGGATCCGGTTGCCAGATCGGGTAATTGATTCCCAACGGCCCACCTTTTTTTTTTTTTTATTCTCTCGGACGAGTGATGGATTTCTTATATGACTCATACGTGAATTTGATTCTTAGGTAAAAGCGAAGAGATCTTATAACTGCATGACTTAGCAACAAATACAGAGGTGTAGCGTCAGAAGACGGGAATCATATCAATGTCACTAATTCGAAACGCCTTGTTCAACAAAGTGGTGAGCTTGGTAGGATGTATCCAGATGAAACCAATCTGCAGTTGCAATTCGTATCTTTCTATTCTAGGGCTTTATGCGCCCTCTATGGGGCAGACAGTACGAGGCCAGTAGACATTTCTTGGATACATAGACACCAGGTTGAAGCTCATGGTGCGCTCTGGGCATGATGGGGATAGTATTGGTGAGGGCATATTCTTACGCACGTTGCAAGTCGAGACAATTTTCTTCGTCGGGTAGCAATATAATAATTTGCATAGGGGTACTTTGGGCTCGGTAAATGATAGTCAAATATTGTAGTCACAGCATATGGTCTGTTCGAGTGGAATTCTATTGTGTTGCAGTAGCTATCTGATCTTATGTACCCTAGAACGGAAACAAATTTAAGATGGCTAAATTCCGCTGTGGTCAACATATTCTAAAGCTTCCAAGAGAACCAAGTAGTCACAATTTGATAGACTGAAAAGGGCAAAAACTGTATACTAATAATAACTGTGAAATTCTCTGGGCCCGGTATTGTTTACCCTAACATCAACAAGATAGCCATGGCGGTACATAGGGAGGTTATCTTTGGTTCCCAGTCATCAGTCTGGCTAATGATTCAGCATATGCTCTTCAAAGGGTTCGTTCATCCACAAACACTTCGTTGCTTCACATTCATTACTGCTTGGGGCGTTGCCGTTCCTCAACATGCCGACTTCGAGCAAGTTCCTTTCGCGAGAGGCAGAAAACAAGACGGTGGGCGAGCCGACAATGACATAGCTAAGGAATGTCCGACAATGGACATCCCCCTAAGATAACATAGCTATTTCCGGTTGCCATGCGTCGTATTACCAGTGGAGTGGGCAAGTTTGGCCAAATAGGGAATTATGGGGGCATGAGTAGGTCATGCTGAATGGAATCAGGCATCCACCAGGCAGAAGAGAAAGCTGTGGGTCCCACACCGTAAAAGGACTAGCGTTGAGTGGGTGCCTGGCTTCTGCCTGTAATTTCGGTTTTGCCACGCTGAACGTGACCCCGCTGCCGATCTCCACCATGCGCTATAAACCTACATCACATACCAGATGAGGAAGATTGTTTATACTTCTTATCCCAGTCTACTATATCGATCAATTAAGCGCTATACAATGTCAGCCGAGCAGTCAAATCGTATCCAGTTACCGGGGTATAATCTACCACTGAATTATAGACCGGATGTTAGTATCACCCAAGCACTATCTGGATCCGAGATATGCGAGTTGGAGTATAACTCACTAAGTTTTTGTTTATAGAGTGGCCAGCGTTTCGGGCGTACTCTTTTCCCAAATGCCTTGGATTATGGCGACATTGAGTATGGCTCGGTTGAGTAAGACTCCGCGATGTATCATTTGCAACGGGCAAGGTTGACTGACGCACGTTTAGCCGTATCAATGTACACAGGGAGATATTGATGATGCGTGTAATGAACACTATCACCGACAAACCCGAATGGGACAAAAAGGTATGTATCTCGTCCCGCAATTGCCAACTACCACTCACACGATCCAGGTCTTCGATGAAACCATTACTGCCAAATGGCGGGAAGAGATCGCCCAAAGCGGCCAGGATGTAACCCCCAAAATGATGGATTATATCATAAAAGAGCTGCAGTGGAAAACGGAGAATTTCCAGAAAACAGGCTTACTCAGCGCATATGACGCTGGTGTGGTGAAATCCGACACTGCCATTCCCGAGGACCTGAAACAGGCGTTGAAAGATTCGGTGGCCCCTTTTGAACAGGTTCCGGAGGATCAGAAAGACTATCACCCTGGTTCCGATATGAAGGTGGTTGATTTGGTGCACCCCTCCCTCTTCCCTGTTGTTTATGGCCGTACGCGAATCCTTCCGGACAGAGTCATCGGTCTTGATGACTGTCTGGGGAGTGTAGGACAGGGAGACTTGCTTCCAGTTCCCCCAGAAGGAGAAGCCCAAATTGAGGGGTATGGCGCGAGTGCATACGGGTGGCGGAGGTGGGAGACTGAGGCTCTGAGACCATTCAGTCGAAAGTTTCAATGGCTTCCTTGCGACGTGAAATTTACTGGTCAGAATGATGAATGTCGCATTATTTCATATATCAATAATGTCCACCCTTCGGAACATCAAAATCTCTACCAGGCCGTGGAGAAGATCATCTCACGGGCAATTCCTCTTTGGAACAGGACTTTGACTCACGTGCAGGAACGACGGCATTCACGTATAGTCTACGATAGCGTTGATTATCACCCAGGTTCTACGCAAGAGCCGAATTATGATGATTATAGTGACGACGAAGAATTTGACCGGAAGTATCAGGAGTGGCAAAGTGCACAACAAATAGTACTCCCCGAACCAGGGGAGTTCACACCTCCTAACACAACCGAGAAGACAGACTTACGGGAACAGTTCCACAAATCAGGGCTGCAGATCATCGTGAAGCTGGCTAACATTGAACTGACCCCGGAGAAGCCAGAGTACGGAGGCGGCACCTGGCATGTTGAAGGACAATTAGTACGCTCAGCATTCCATTCCATGGTACCGTTTCAAGGCTAACACTCGGCAGAATGAACGCATCTGCGCAACGGCCATCTACTACTATGACAGTGAGAATATCACCCAGAGTACACTTGCTTTCCGTCAGCGCGCAGATAAGGATGAGCTATCAGAAATTTCCTATGAGCAGGACCGCCATGAATTCATACATCAGGTCTATGGCTTCGAACCCGAAGTCAGTTCCCGCGACGAGACGCAGATCACCCAGGATCTTGGCAGCGTGGTTTGCCAGGAAGGCCGACTACTTACGTTCCCCAACATCCTCCAGCACCGAGTCTCTCCGTTTTCGTTGACAGATCGGTCCAAATCAGGCCACCGCAAAATCTTAGCCCTGTTCCTTGTGGATCCTCATATGCGTATCATATCCTCTGCCAACATTCCGCCCCAACAGGAGGATTGGGGGAAAGAGAAGCGAGAAGTTGTTACAGATATGCTGTCTCGGAGATTACCGGTAGAGCTTCAGGAAATGGTGGGCGAGGATATTCTTTATCCATCCATCAGTCTGGAAGAGGCGAAAGGGTACAGAAAGGAGCTCATGCAAGAGAGGAGTGCGACGACCAGTGAGCAGAACCAGAAATTTGAAACTGGTGAATTTTCGCTTTGTGAGCATTAATGGGGTTATTATGTATTTGAAATTATCTGGGCAGTCATTCCGCATCTCTACTTTTGAATTCAACCACTAGACGTACAACAACAGAAACCTTCTTCTATGTGCAAAGAGGTTTTACCTCAAGGATATTATCTGTGTATAGCTTAATTGATAGTTACTGAATTTACGCCGAAAGGAAACTCTGACCCTTCGCCCCAATAATTGGCGAGCCATTCTATGCTTAATTATGGTGTGTCTGTTTTCATTTCGATTCGGTGCCCCATTTCGAGGTGAATCGTAATCCCTCTGCAAGCTTCTTAAATAGTAGAGTAGACACATACCTCCCCTTGCCTCTAAAGTTACTTTGTGAAGAAAAGAGACACCAGCGAGACCCAAACCCATAGACTCTCTTACTCAACACCTCCCCAGTCACATTAGCACCATCATCCACCCTCGTCCAAACTTCCAGTTCCTCTCTTCTCAAATAATAAGTAGCCCACTGCACCTTCACCACCATCCGCTCTATATCCCCGACACTTCTGTTCACCGTAAAACCTACTTGATCCCCATTCAGGTCCTCGTAAGCGATATCAGTCTCTTCATGATTTCTGAATAGCATCCCCGCCATACATGCCTCGACTTCGGGTCGTATTTTGCATAAGAGCCCCAGCCGAGTACGGCTGGGTGTCGGGGCATTCCTGACGCTATCGAGTAAGTAAGCTCATAACCATGTGTCGACCATATCGGTACGAGGTCTTAAGTTTACGTTAAGTTGGTTACTCGGCTGGTCTGATTTAGTCAGCACCTACTCGTCAGCTTAGTTATTCAGATCAATTCATATCATCATTTACTTGCGTATTTTTTTTTTTTTTAGTTTAGTCTGACGCCTTTTCTGGATGTATTTAGCCGTTCGTTACCAATAGATTTGACCAGGTTAGACCTTCATATCCCTCTTGATTCAAGGAGCCAGTACGAAGGAAGACACGGATCCAGCAGTCCGACAATGATCAGATATTCAAATACAAAAGTTGCATTGCCGGCAAGGATGCCTGCTTAAGTTAGACAACCGGTTACACGACTGGGTATTACTCTATGTGTTTCTACGACAGGAAGTTCGAATATCTAATATCCGAGAAATAGTTCAAGAGACTTTACAGTAAAAAGGAAATTATGTCAGGACCTCCATACATATATTCTCCTAGTTTTGGGTAGTAGCCCTCTTATGCTTTCTTTTAACTCGGAATATTTCAAAATAGACTTCCAAATTACAAAATTCTAGTTTGTGGGTTAAAAAGGCCTGTCTGTCTACCAAAAGCTAGGAGGAATAAGCCGCTTGATAGATATCCCAATACTCGGATGCCCCCACGTGGTCCAAACAAGGCTATGACGATCCCAGGCCACGGTGTTAAGATCTGACTCCCAACGATGAAATGAGCCTCTGAAGAACAATGTTGTGTGGTCTTGTCGATTATCCACAAGAAGCCCAATGCATCGAGTTTTGTAACACTCGATATTGACTTTACCGTCGGATCGAAATGTCAAGCGCTATCAAACGCCCCGGTGGTGGTCGGCAGCCTTATCGACTCCCACTACTTCTTATTGTATTTTGCAGTCTCATTCTCCTGGTGCAACTGTGCACATCTGAAGGTGTATCTATCGACAGATACCGTCAAGGCTACCGCAGCGGGAACTCGGTGTATTACGATGACCTATCCGGGATTAAAGAAATATTTAATGAACCGTTATACATCAAGGCCAATGCAAGCGTCAAAGTTTATCCACCCAAAAATATAGCTGTCATTGGTATAGTCTCGTTTCTTTTTTTTTATATCTTGTCTCTCTAAAGTGGCGATGTGGCGGTGCTGACATCCTGCAGGAGGTGGTATGGGTGGTGTCTCCATTGCACATTCGTTCGGGCCGGAAAGCCGCTGTGTCAATTTTCCACAGGTGACTATCTTCGAGAAAGAGGGTCGCCTGGGAGGTCGGATCCATTCCGTCCCCAAGTACGACGAGGACGACTGCGAAGTGGCCGAGGCGGGAGGATATACGTTTGACTGGAGAACATACGGGGGATCCGCAGCAAGTATTGCGGAAGATGTGGGTGTGCCTCTTCAAGAAATATATCCCGCAGAAATGTCCAACGACATCTTGGCGAGGGTAGGAGCCTGGAACGGCGAGGAGTTGATTGAAAGCCAGTACGAGCCGGCGCCGACCCTGTGGACTTATCTGAAGAAGCTCCCAAGTCAAGTCGCTATGTACATCTGCGAAAAGCGCTGGGGTGACACAGAGGAGTGTGAGGAGGATTGGTCTTGGACCGTCCCAAAGCCGATAACTCAAGTGAATAAGGGAGCATCAGACGCTATGCAGAAATTTGCGGAGTTGTGGGGTATTGATATCTGGCGACACAAGAAAACATATCCAGAGAGAGGGGGAAATGCGAAGTTACTAAAGAGAGCAGTGAGGTTGGCTGAAGCAGAGCTAAATTTAAATTCCACCGTGAGTCGGATCGTGGGGCATGAAGATCTTACATTCGATATCCATTGGACCAAAAAATCCCCGGATGGTCAGACCGAAGCGCATGTCGACCAGGTTGACGCTGTGGTCATTGCAGCCCCTTTCTATCAAACCAACATTACCATCGAGCCTCCCCTGCCATCGCCCCCGGCGGAAGTTAACTATACTCCTCTCTATGTAACGCACTTCATAACCCGCCATCGGCTGGATCCCAAGTCGTTCAATAAATCTCAAACCAACGAAATTCCTGATACAATCTTGAATCTGAATGGTGACAAAGCACAACACGCGACACGACCGTCTTCCCTCCCGTCGTTTCTAGCAATCACTCGAGAAGATTCAAGCTACGCGGCTGGATGCACCATTGACATGGAAAACCAATATAGAATCATTTCGCTGAACCCAATCTCCGACAGCGACATCGCTAACTTGATGAATGCTAGCAGACAAGCCCCGGAAGATGTTACATTCCCTCATCAAGCGTGCTACCCAATCAGGCAGGACTGGATCATGCCGTTGGGAGTGGACCCGCCCGAACCGGACTATATGTACGCAGACTTTGAGGCCAAGGCGGCGGAAATCAAGTGGCACGAGCTTGAAGGCGAGGGAGATGATGGATGGTATTTGAGGAATATAGGCTGCGTCAAAGAACCGACTGTCCGATGGGTCCATCGCCGGTATTGGCCGAATGGTATTCCCATAGTAAATCATGATGCGAAATGGGATCGACGCATTGAGCTGGCTCCGAGCTTGTTCTATGTCAATGGATTTGAGGGTTTTGAGGGAGCGTCGATCTCGCAGAGTGGGGGGGCTGGGCAGCGTATAATGTATAATTTATTGTATAACTATATTGACCCATGACAGCTGGAACCATTCTAATCGGGCATCATCCTTTTTTATCATCTCTAAATTAGGGCCTAGAGTAGTTTGGTCTAACTATTTATTCATTTGCTAAGTTCCCATGTCTTTCTGCGCATGCCAGCTGAGTATTTCTTTCTCGGTGTCTTCACCGTACTAATCTGGTTCAGCAGATATATCTTGGCTGCTTAGGGTTTGGAAACAACTCTCTATGTGCATGAGATGGAAGGCAATAGTCGGTCCTCACTGTATATAGTTCGACAACATTCCATATCTTACGTATAGATAATCTTTACTGTAAGCTCTCATCATCTAGTACTGTAAAATTTCACCGAATTCAGGACTCATGATACACAGTCATCATCGAATCTGTGACACTAAAATTACTTTAGCTTTACTCTCACTCTCTGGCTCAATCCTCTCTAAGTACTCAGGGAGTGCTTAGTATGTATATTTCTACTGTCTTTTTCTATACTCCAGGATTAATTAGTGAGCAAAAAAGCAGTCCTGGGCTAGTCCAAGGGAAAGTTGCAAAGTTTTCTTTCTACACAAGAACTTGTTTACAAATGCTGGCCTAATCTTAGTCCCGGGTATCTTATACAGTACTGCATGCATGGATATACATTTAACTCAAAAATCATAACTGTCATAATATTTGTACATGATATACTACCTAATCTACTTCTACTCATTTCTCATACGAAACCTCTTCTCCAACACCCTCCCCACCACCTCAGCATCCAAATAAAGCGCCAAATCCACTCCCCCATCCTCCACTCCGGCATCCATCACCTGTATACATCCATCCATCTTCTGCATAATCGCATGGACATATCTCGGCTTCCGACCGCGTCCATCAAAATCCACATCATACGTCCCCAGCCGCAACCACGACGTGATCAACGTATGCTTCTGCCCCATAAACCCCTGCCACAATCGCTGTGGCGCAACCTCCAACCCCGCATCATATAGCATCGCACCCAGCTTATCGGGCGTGAATTGTTGGATGGTCTTTCGAATGCGAGATGCATTCTCACCAATACTCGACCTGCATACCTCTTCACCAGAAGCACAGGCATACGTGATGAAGATCGGGGATCCGATGAAGGTATCCGGGAGGGGTGGTGAGACGCGGGCTCGCGCGCCTAGGCTAAGATTCAGATAGACTTGGTCCGAGGACTGGTCATATCCGCGGGCTTGGTTGATGAGGGACCAGACGTGGGCGAGGAGGGCATCTAAGCGAGAGATGGGGGAGCCATGGTTGAGTCCGAGTTGGGTGCGGGCGAGCTGGCAGAGATGGTCGAGCTCGGCGCCTGTGAAATGGATTTGGGTGTAGCTGACTGGTTTTGAGAAGTCCCAGGTGTTCCAGGGGGCTAGGGTAGATGGGGAAAGGGTGGTGTTGGTGAGGTATTCCAGGGAGGGTTTGGAGTTCTCGGTGTTTGGGATCATGATAGGTGGGTAGTCTGGGTCGGATGTTTTCCACCAGTCATAGCGGTGGAGGGGGAGATTGCGGGCTGTTGTGATGAGGGATGAGTCGGGGTTTTTGGTGCTGATGTCGCCGCTGGCTTTGGAATCGAGCATTGATGGCTTAAAGACTGGGTCGTCCATGCATGGGGCCGACTCGGAATGGCCATGGAGTATGCGACAAGCTGCTGCCCATTGCTGCATGAAGACCATCAGGGCTTGTGCGTCTGCGAGGCAATGTGCTATTTTAATTCCGATAGCATACCCTGCCCCCTCGAAAAGAGTGATTTGTATCGTCATGGCGGGTAGACCTTCGTAGTTGCGGAGATTGCCGAGGGCTAACCGGGTTTGGGAGAGGAAATTGTTTTGCGTGAAAGCATCCCCGACCCAGAACCCATTGCTGGCACGTTCGGAAGCTGTTGGAGCAAAGCTGGTGATGGGTTGAGCAAGTCGCACGATAGACCATTCTACACCTGGATCAGACGCCGTGTTGTATGTGATCATGGGCCGGTGGGTTCGTCCTGGCTGAAATGGGACCCATTGCAATTGGCCGGCCCATTGGGGGAAGTGATCTAGTGCTTGGATCAGAGAAGCTTGGAGGTTATGTAGAAACGTTTTTTCATCCGAAGGGAAATCATCGAAAAGCCAAATTGCGCCGGTGGGGGCGAACCGGACGACGGTGGCATCGAGGATGGAGAGTGAAATAGATGTCGGCTGGTGGGTATGAGACGCGGGCAAAAGGCGTGTCGGTGAATCCATGTTGTTGATGATCTTGATTGTGCTTATGCCAATGGTTCTCAATGGCGGCTGCTGTCTCTACTTTAATCTCCTCAAACCCCGCGGACCCGCAGCTCGGATCTGAAGCTAGACTTCATTATCGTGATTAGGTATGATCCGAAATGACGAGAAATGAGTCATCCCCAAGGAACGAGAGGACAAAACAACTTCCAACGAATAAAGCACGATTCTAGTCATAGCTGTATATTATAAATAGATTGAATGATCGATTCAGGGCCTCAGATCCGGTTGAAGTGTCACTGCGCCAGGTGGGGGAACTTGCGCTAAGTCTTGACTCGACGGGAATTCGCGATAGTTAAATTACTGGATTGGGATTTGATCTAGTAAGTCTTGTGAGAAATACTTTTAGATCACACGCTAATTTATACACCTTCCGTAGTTCCTATTATCCTGACCCTTCTTCGTAAAGTTAATAGATTTCCGTCGTTCACTGTTGAGCCTACCGAGCAGGAGAGTACTGACGTTAGGGCTTTGGTGTTCACGTATCCAGCACAATTGCCTCCTGGTCATATATTAGCTGACAGGGTCCCATATAAAATACTAGGGTTACGCCATCTGAAATTAATACCCCCAAGGCTATACATTAATCTTCCGAACATATTCTATCTTCCTTCTAACCTACCTAAGACCCTTCGTACATACTAGTAGTGCATCTCTTTTGCTATCTTGATTGTCAACATTATTAGTATACCACAATCCTTCATATACATTTCACCCACTTGCGTTATAAGATAATAAAAAAAAAAAAAAATTCGCAAGCATCGCCATTCAACCACAACAACAACAACAACAACAACAACAACAACAACCAAAAACCAATCTATCCAACTACCATGATTCACTCACTCTCACTTCACTAATCTGACATCAATTGCTCTAATCGAAAATGAAATCCAATGGCGAAATGGAGATGAACCAGATCTTTACCGACTACAGTGCGGTCTTGGAATGCAAGGACAGGGTAATATGTCACAAATAAAGAACTATTCGGGCCACCCTCCACTAACACTGTGTTTTAGGAAAGGAAAATGATGAATCTACCATGGGTGATGAGCACGAAGGAGGGAAGCAGACGACAAGGAAAGGCGCGGCTCAAGCTGAGTTACTGCATATACTGCGGTTATCTAAGGCTGAGCCCAAAATGTGGCTTCAATCAGAGCCGGTTAAACCATATTCGGTTGAATATTGGGAAAGTTGGGGGTCAACAGAGAGTTCGGAAAGAGTGTTGGGACGGGGAAATATCCAGGCATCGATAGCAAGAGGAGAAGCTTCAGGAAGACGAGGATATTCAGCGCCGATAGAAGACAAGACCGATTAGAACACAGCCGATCATGTTGCTTGCTTTATGTGGTGGGTGAAGAACGAAAACATCCAACCATGCGGTAGGGTATTTTACAAGCGGAACTTGACAGACAGCAGAATAGACCGGATTGTGTGGTCGTTGAAGGAATATATCAAGGAATATATCCGACAAATGCACACTAAGGCGAATGGAGGACAGCAATATTCGGAACAAGAATCAAACAGAAGCTTGGGCACGGCAGTAGAAAAACAGAAGATATACAATGACACCCTCGTCAGTGAAGATGAGTTCTCAAGGAAGGAGGAGGAATTACAAGTCCGGTGACGAGCTCCAAGCCGATGTCATTGATGCAGTGAAGTACATTTTCGGTTCAGGTACATAGCCTGAAGTTCGGGCTGAATGCCTCCGAAGTATCCCGAAGCTGTTGACAAAAGGATCGTGGTCCGGGACACAATGGCGGTAAAAGAGTTTTATCAGACTTCAAAGAAGAAGCAGCAGGATTCAGTATAACGATGGCCAGTTTGGCTATCTGCAAGATCAAAAAGAACCTGATGGTGACATGACTGATTATGAAGCTGTCTTCACTTACATATGCAAAGCAATTGAAGATGAGGACAATGCTCTTTTTGGTCTCAGATGAGAGCTAATGCTTGTCTATTTCGCTGTGTTAGCAATGAATAATCGAAAATAGGTTATATTACATATGAATTTGTATAGGAAGAATTAGTCCGCCGTAGGTTAGGGCATTGGTGCACACGTCTCCAACAATTATAGAGAGGGGTAGATTTTGTTAGCTAACAGTACAGAGTATACAGTATAAAGATACTAGGGCTGTGCTAATTTATATTAATATCTACAAGGCTAGAACATCAGTTACGAATCTTCCAAGCCCATTTTATCTTCCTTCTAGCTTGATACAGTGGTATAGTGATGCCTCTCTCCTCTTTTACTTTATCGACTGTCAGCATTAGTATTATTTAGTATACCACAATCATGAATCACACACATTTTAACCTTTTTAAAAACAAATCTATACATAATTACAATTCTATTAAATCTCTCATTAATAATAGAAACGAAACACAAAAAAATAGAAACCCATTTTACAAGCACATCCATCCCAACCTCACTACTACCACAACAACAACAACCACCATCACCCAGAAAGGCCCAAATAAACCCCAACCAGGAAAAAAAAACTTCCAAACCACCGAATGCAACCCAACCCCAACAAATGAGAACAAATAAGAAATCCCATAACTCAAAAACTAGACCAGGTATACATAGTAGTCCACGTACCTGGACCTATCGAAGCACCAGAGCCGAATTCCCGACAAGCCAAGCAGAAGATCCGCATCACAACATCCGGGGCCATTGATTGCGCCATCCGCTCCCCAATCACGGCACTTGTTCATCGGCGCCAACGTCCTATAGGAGGTTTCAACTTGTCCAGCACGCCATGTGATCCACCTCTTGCATGGTCGGATTCTGCATGGAAAGGTTACGTTACTTATCGAGATAACTCTCTGTATGCGAGATTATCTTGGGGAGGAGGGGTAAAGGAACTTGCATGGAGGGGTGACCGGGGGGAAAGTATATAAGGGGGTTGACGGTACGTGTTAGTTAAGAGTAAGGAAGTGTATAGGGTTTCCAATCAATCAATTGAGAATTATCAGTGCATTGGTTTGGGATTATTACTTCTTTTTTATTTGATTTTATCTTTTCCCTACGATTCAATTGAAGTGAAATAAAAAAAATATGGCTGCCCTTACCCAAGCTCCTGTTGCCATTCCCCTTGATGCCTTTCCCGATGGCTTGAAGACCACCGGCCAGCATGCGCCGCTGTACGATCATATTAAGACCTTTGAGCAATTCCCCAAGGAAATCTCTGGTCCGACCGTTTGGAAGGCCGAGGAGTATCGCGATGCTCCGGAGAAGTGGACTCATCGGTTTACGCCTGAGGAGATTGCCGAATTGAGTGCGACCGCGGATCAATTCCTGGCGAACAAGATTCCCTTGACTGGTATTTCTAAGGTGGGTTTGGGGGTTATCGTGCATGCTATGATACATCGGGCTAATACTGTGTAGAGCAACTTCCCCCTTCCGAACCTCTCCAAGCGCCTCGTCGAACTGCGGGCAGACCTCATCGATGGCAAGGGCTTCATTCTCTTCAAGGGTTTCCCCGTCCAGGAATGGGGTAACCACAAGTCCGCCGTCGCATACATGGGTCTGGGCACGTACCTGGGTTACTTTGTTAGTCAGAACAGCCGTGGCCATGTCTTGGGTCATGTGAAGGATCTGGGTGAGGATCCGACCCAGATTGATTCCGTGCGCATCTACCGGACCAATGCCAGGTATGTTAGGCTTCCATGTGCTGGTAGGGATGGCGGTGCTGATAGAGAGCAGACAATTCTTCCACGCTGACGACTCGGATATCGTCGGTCTGTTGTGCATTGCTCGTGCACTCGAAGGAGGCGAGTCCGATATCGTTTCTTCCCACCATGTGTACAACACCCTCGCCAAGGAGCGTCCAGACGTCCTCAAGACTCTCACAGAGCCCATCTGGTACTTCGACCGCAAGGGCGAGACCAGCAAGGGACAGGAGGAGTACATTCGCACCAGCGTGATGTACCTTGAGCCGGGCGAAAACGCCCGGGTTTACACCAAGTACGCTCTCTCTTTTTCCTTCTCCCAATGTAACTGAAGCTAACGGGCGCAGGTGGGATCCGTATTATGTCCGCTCTCTATCCCGCTTCTCCGAAGCAGGCATCGTCCCTCCTCTCTCCGCCGCCCAGGTCGAGGCTCTTGAAGTCCTCGAGGCAACCTGTAACCGCTTGTCGCTGCACATGATTCTGGAGGTCGGCGACATCCAATTCCTGGCCAACTCGCATGTTCTGCACGCCCGCACTGCTTACACTGATCATGCGCCCCCAACCCCTCGCAGACACCTGATGCGTCTGTGGTTGGCGACGCCCGAGCACGAAGGTGGCTGGAAGCTGCCCTTCTGGGATAGTAACGAGAAAAAGAGGGGTGGCATTCAGGTTGACGATCAGGCTCCAGTAGCCCCGTTGGATGCGGAGTAATTCCGTCCTTGGGTTACATGCCAATGATGTTTGATGTGTGTTGTTTTAACGTAATGTCTGTACGCTTTAGCCTTGCGGTTTTTTTTTTTTTTTTTTTAGCTCAATACCATGTTTAATTAGTAACAACCATTAATCTATACATCATTAGTCATAAGTCGTATGCAATCGAATTATTGGACGATCTTGTAGTTGCCTCCGCTGATGATCTCGAGCTTTCCTTTGGCCACCATCCCCGCCAGAAACTCCCGCAGTTCTTCGTTGCTGAACGGAAATCCGCCCGGTACGGCGATCTTCAACATCATCACAATGCGTTGCAGCGGCATTGCGCCTTGGTTGGTCAACATTCCCATGATAAACTGCCAGTATAGGTTCATCTTCTCCATCGCCGCCGCCTCTGCAGATTCCTTCGCTGCTGCGGCCGCCGCTGCTTCGGCAGCTGCTGCTGTGTCCTCCGATGCATCGCCTGCATTATCGTCCGCGCCTGATACGCCAGTACCTCCGACAGCCTCGTCCTCCTCATTCGGTAGAACCTCCAGCACACGGAAGGTATCTCGCTGCACCTCGGCCAGGATGCGTTTGCTGACCCAGAACAAACATGCGCTTCGCACCAAAGCCACCGACATGTCTAATTCCTCCGCCAACTCATTGGCGGTTCTGCTAACTGAATCACCGGACGGCGAGTTGAACGCATGGATGACGGTCGCCTGCCAAGTAGACACTTCGTCCACAAACACTCGGTCCTCGAGATCCAGCTCGACCGTGACTTGTCCCAAGCCATTCAGCCAGGTGAGCTTCCGGGACTGTTTGAGCGACGCGAATCCGGCCGCATAACGCTGCTGCAATTCTGCAATCTCCTCGGGTACGTGGAAATCCTGTTCTTGGATCTCGGGCCAGAAAAAGTGGGACAAGATCTTGGCATGCAGCTCTGGAATGTCTTCATCGTCCGAGCCAGGCGTAGATACTGCAGGTTTCCTGGTCAAGTCCTGGTCATTTCTCACAACCGCATCGACTCGCCGCGAATCGAAGATATCCCGCATCATGACCTCGCAAGCCTGCAAAGCATTATCACCAAAGCGAAGCTTGAGAAGTTCCAACACCGACATCTCCTGATCAAAGTCCGTTCGCTTCTGGAGCAGCCGGTCTGCAAGCATTCTCTGCATTTCTTTCACAAAGGCCTCCTTTGAATCGAACAAACTGATTAAGCTACCGATGACGTCCGAAGTCTTCGATTTCCGGTAGTCGGGCGCAGCGTCCACCGGATCAGGTATCCAGTTCATATCATCCCAATCCAGCTCTCCTCTATCGCTCCTCATAGAATTCTGGTGCGCCTTGGTCAATTCTGCGGATAGTTCAACCAATGTGTCTCCAGAACCAGTCTGATCATGGGCATCGGCTGGGTCGGCCATAAGACCCCCGACAATAACCTTCACGGTATCAGGTCGATCTCGAAGATACCTGCGAATGGGCCGAGCGATTCGATCCAGCAGGACACCCTTCGGGTCTAACAGATTAAACGCGCGGATAATCGATATATAGACCTGCAAGATCTCAACAGTTGAAGCGCCCGGATGCAAAAGACGATGGTCCAACACAGCGGAGAAAGAGTGCGTCACCTGGAATCGTCCTGCTGGGTATGCAGTGAAATGACGCAAATCCTCAATCGCACCACTACTCGCCGGCCACTCAACTATTATATCAAATAATTCTCCAGTTCGAAGTGCCCCCAGTCGAGAAAGGCCAATTTCCTGCCACTTTTCCACATCGCTGAGTTTCACGTCCAGACGGTCAGCCTCTTTGGTTCCCGACTCGGGGACATTGATGATAACTAAGACCTGCACAGCCAATCGAGCATAGACATTCTCTATCCAGTGCCGAAGGTGTTGTGAGACTTTCGATGGCCCCTCCCACTGCCCTGAATACGCAGCCCTGATAAACTCCGTCATCATGGTGTTCATCACACTAGCGAAGACCTTCTGAGCTCTGACACCACCCAGCCCAACAAGCTCAAGGTCGTTGAAGAGCGACAGTAATCGTTCACGAGCAGCAGTAACGCGCGTATCCTCGCCTTCAGTCATCATCTGCATCCGAACCTCTGCGGAAGGCTCATCCCGCCAATCTCGATATGAAACGGAGTGCCGTCGGTCAACCTCCATGCTATCCTCATCATCTTCAACAGCATCATCCTCCAGCGTATCAATCCCCAGTATCGTAACAGCATGTGTCATCAATTCTCTCGTAAGCAATGGCGAGACACGCTGCCAAGGTAGAGTGTAAGCGATCATCAAGTGAAAGCCCCGCCGCCGCTGGACAAACACCTTTTCCTGCTCCACAGCCCCCAGCAGTGGGAGGAGGTACTCCATCAAAGGCGCAAAGTAAATCTTCCGTATCAACTGCAGACAATAAACGATTTTCCGTAGCCCATTCGGCTGGTCCAGAAGCTAGATACAGCATCCCCTCTTAGCAAAGTCATCATCCCGCACACATCCAAGGAAATACCCACCTTCACAAGCCCAGCCTTAAAATTCTTATAAAAGTGCCTCCGCATCTCACTCCCATACCATTCAAATATACTCCATTCCTCTCGATCCGCAACCCCCTTATCCGCAGCCAAATACGCCAACGCATCATTTACCTCCCTCCCAGGCGCCTTGGGCACATAGTCCTCAATACTGCAGAATCCCTGATCCGGAATTGTTAAGAATTTCGTCGCTGCCAACCATGCCCGATCCCACGTCGCTTGCTCCGGGTCTCGGGACTTTGTTTTGGGCTTCGGATCGTCAAGTTGAACGGGTGGGAATACAGATGCGAATATACGTCGCTGGTTGGGTTCTGTAGTGGCCATGTCGTTTCCTCCGCCCCTCACTTTCTAAGGCATTGCCGTTGTTTGTCAATAAATGGGCTTGTTTGGCTTCCAGAGAATTGCTACTTTTCGCGCCTGTGTTCACGCGTTGATGACTCAGCGGGGTAGGTCTTATCGATAAAAGGATACACTAGCCTTGTTTAGGTAGGAGCTATGCTGTTCCAAGTGTCTGTAGAATAGAAGCACTTACCCTAAGTACAGCTGTGTTTTACAATGTAGAAGAGAATAACAGAATACTCGAAAATAACAATTATCTTACTTTAATATCTAGATATATAATTTGTGTAACACGCGAAATAGTCCCACACTAATTTATGGTCATTCCCAACCGTCGAGCTTCTTATTACCTTCGATATATATATACTCTAATGTAGTGATTACCGCACAAATGAGAATACAAACCAACATACCTGTACCAGATCTTATTATGTATGACGACCCCCTCGAACAAGGCAAGAGGTAAATTGTGAAGTTGATTACCTATTTTCCAGGGCCTCTTCATAGCATCCTTCATATTAGTTACTACGTCAAGTCACCGAATCATTATTTATATTGTGACTTGGAAGCTGGAGTAAATCGCCTAATGTTGACTCTTAATCTTTTGGACGACGTGATATGGAAATTGATAGGCTGTAGCAAACATCTTAGAGTTAGGATGAGTATGGAAACTCAGCCACCGGCAAATACATATCCCATTAGGGCTTAAGATAAATTCCTGGCAAATAGCCATTACAATAGACACAATAATCCATAAATCATTATCTCGTTAAAGGCCTATCTACAAAACATCTGATATACAATAATATGAATCGAAGTAAAGGCCCACCTGGGACCCAACATGTCAAAGTCAACATCGAGCGGAGATTCCAACACACAAGGACTCAGAAATCGAGTCTCACGACTCAAGTTCAAGCTTCCATTGCGTATCTCTCCGCTTCGGCGCGAAGCAGCTCCACCTCAATAGCATGACGGCGAGCCTGTTCAGCTTCACTTGAATTATCCTTAAAGACATGATCCATCTGCTCGAGCGTCCGTCCCTTGGTTTCAGGGACGAAGAAGAACGTCCAGACAAATGCTAGGAGACAGAATACTGCGAAGAAGGTGTATGCGCCGAATCCCGTGTTTTGCACTAGGGGTGGAGTGATAAGACCCTGGATGTTCTTGTTAGTATATTATCCCGGATCGGGCCCAGTGGCGGATACTCACAATGATGAAGTTGTTGAGCCAGTTGGAGCATGTTGAGAGCGCAACACCCTTGGCACGGAGGGATGATGGGAATACCTCTATAAATCGGTTAAAAGGTGGTTTTTCTTTCTAGTTGGAAAACGGTGTAAACTTACCAGAAGGCATGGCCCAGCCTACTGGACCCCAGCTGGCGCCGAATGCAATCATATACACCAACAGCAAAGCGACGCAAGCCCAGCCCTGCGATCGATGTGCGGGCCAGTTGTCCCAGTATAAACCGACGAGGACCGCGATGATCACATGGCTGATCGTCATCAACAATGCGCCAGAGAGCAGTAGGGATCGTCGACCCAAGCTGTCCATGGTCCAAATGGTGGTGATGACTCCGACTAATTGTGTGACGTTGAGGATTCCGGACATTAAAAGCTGCATGTCGTAGTCCAAGCCCATAGTCTCGAATAGAGTGGGAGAGTAGTAGATCAACGCATTGATGCCGACGAACTACAGTTTGAAAATTAGTCATAGAGGTTCAAAGAAGTAGTGAGGTTTGGGTACTGACCTGTTGGAAAAACATGAGTCCAACACCAATATGGGTTCTCTTCCAGCAACCGGGCTTGAAGCAATCCGCCCACGAGGCCATCTCGAGAAGGAACGCGTCCTTGAGTCCACCACCCTGGAGATTAGGGTGCTTTTCGGCGTTCATTTCTTGGTGGAAGCGAACTTCTGCCTGGATATCCAGGAATTCCTGACGTACACGCTTATCGGTAGTAGGTAGCCGCCGCAGTTTCGCGAGACTCTGGAGCGCTTCCTCATACCGGTCCTTAGAGGCCAACCATCTGGGGGAGAACGGAAGAATCATGACACCTCCAATGAGAACAAAGCCGGGGACCATTTGCAGCAGAAAGGGAAGTCTCCAGGACCACTCTCCAGCCATGAATCTGGTACCGTAGGTGATCCAGTAAGCGATGACGATTCCGAGGACAATACAAAATTCTTCCAGCACCAAGAGAGTACCTCGACACTCGGGAGGGCCTAAGATGAGTACATATTAGCACCGCGCTCTCTTGACTCAGGAGCAATGTTTTGGACATACTGATTTCAGAAATATACAGTGGGGCAACCATCGACAGCATACCAATACCCACACCACCGATCAACCGAGCCACTGTCAACATCGCGTAGTCGACTGCACCGGTTTGGAGGGCAGAGCCAATGGTAAAAATAATGACCGCAACAATGATAGAGTAACGTCTTGAGATCTTATCCGCAATCCAACCCTGGTTTAGAGCTCCCAACAAGGCGCCCAACTCGATCATTGCTGTCATCAAACCCTTCCAGAAACCCGAACCCGATGAGTCAGGGGACACCTCAGGGAACCGCTCCAGGAATTGGTCCATAACTAGGATGACCGACACGACACCTTGATCGTAACCGAACAGCAGACCTCCGAGGGTCGAACAAGCAGCACACATCAAGACGAATGGGTTGGCAACTAGACCCGCCAGGCCTGGGGGACCATAGGGTTCCCTATCATTCAAGATGTTCTCTGCATGGTGAGAGAATCCCTGGATATCGGATTTCCCATCCAGGGTGTCCTTCGTCTGCACAGGTTCCTCAGACGACGCCATGCCTACCGGCTATAGGAAAGGGAGGTAGGTGTGGAATGAGTATATAGAAGTATGGGTAGGCAATGGCAGGGATTTGACCCGATCAAGTGTACAATTCACTTTACTGTAACGCAAGAGAGGACGGGAAAACCAGGAGCTACTGTACGATTTATATAGATAACATGGTAGGGTTACCCACCCATACGAATTACTTGAGACCCAGGAGCCAACCAGGGATTAAACAAAGTGAAAGGCCGAGCTGCAGTCCTGATTCGCAGGACGGCCGGATAGCTTCTAGATCCATGAGACAGAAAAGCAAAGAAAAAAATAACCCTACCCCGTCTTAGCTGTCTGGATTGATGAGTCGATCCGCCGGATGGCCGAATAGGAAGCGGTTACGAGAGTGGGCCGTCGATTGGAGAGCCTGGACAGGCTTGGGCTAAACTACATTCAGAAAGTTCCCGGGAAGCTTTTGGGGAGACTTTGATAGTGGGCCTGCATGGTTGGAAGCCGCTAGAAATTCAAACCCAGTTGGTGGAATGGGCAGACATGGTGATAGAAGAGGATAGAAAACTATTGTTGGCCCTAGAATCGTTGTTCTAGTATACCCTCGAACATCGATCATATAGAACTTTTCTAAATGGGTTTGTGCAGGGCAGAAGTCATGTTCGAAGTCGGATATGCTGTTTAACCCTTCCTTTGGTCCCTTGATACGACCGTCCCGTGATACTACGCTGGCACGTGCCGAAGACCGCCTTCCACCGGTTTAGGTAAACAGCAAATCACGAGCACCGCGAAAGGAATCTTCCGCGAGCATGTCCAGAATCCTCTCCTCCACCGCAACGTGGAATATGCGCCGACATAGATCCTCCCGGTAGCTAGTGAAACCAAAGACGAGGACATGCAGCGTATAGGAGTCGCCAAATTCGTTCAAGATGTCATCATTCACGGCAAGGAGGAGAAACCCATGGGTCCGATCGTCCCTCTCGTGGGGGTCACCAATGTAGACCTCGGGATCTTATCAAATCATGGCAGGCGGCTTACTACGGGGTTGCGGGGGAAAGGATTGGCGGGTGATCGTGTTTAGAGTTGCATTGAGAGACGGCAACTGAACGAGCGCCTTTCGAATGCCGACCGGACGTTATCCGTATACGCCCTTTCACTATGGATGGTAACACGGCGTACTTAGGGCAAAGGTTGATTTATTCTAGGCTGAAAGGAGCAGCAAGTATAGGAATCAATGAGTATAGGGGAGAATAGGCAACCGAGAATTTCCGAACTGCTTCTTCAAGGTAGCCGAAAAATTGCAACTACCACCAAAGAGCTAGAAACACGAAGCAATCTTTTGGGTGCCCGAGCCGGAAGAATCGAATCATTTGGCCTTATCATGAGATTTGTCGATGTTTAGTATCAAATCGATCACGGGTGATGCCTGAAGATGACCGGACGTGGAATAGCGTCCGGATCATCCTACCTGACGGCCTGACTGCCTGAGGTTTGTTGTTTGTTCTGCCCCTCTGTTGGTATGACGTGCCTTTTTTCCTCTTCTTCTTCGCTTGTTCTTTTTCTTTTCCCTTACAAAACCTCCAACATCGCCAACAATAATTAATATCTACACGCGATTTTACTCAACGTCTTTCCTCCTCCACCCTCTAGTCAGTAATCCCCACGGGGAAGGACCATAGATTTTTAACTCAGGCCTAGCTTCCCCCCCTTGGACAAACTTGGGGCTGGCTCCAGTTTTCCGGACTCGACCTTTCTCCACATCTCGCATTTCAAAGGCCGACCGCTCAGCTTCGGTTACCCGCCGACTTTTCGGAGACACAAGCGTCCTAAACGTCGTCGCTCCCTTTCACCAAACCTAGATTGTGCCTTGATTCAGCGTGTCCGACTTGGAACCTGGTCTGTGAAACCCGTGCCAGCTTGGCAGATGGCATCCCGACCCGACCGCGTTCGCATTTGCATCACTAACAGTCGTGCAGTAGCGCAGTCGAAAAAACCCTCCACGGATTCCATTTTCCGACTCAACGTCATTCCACAGCATAAACCCCTGTCTCAGACACGGAATCCATCTCCCTTCCTGTTCCCCGCAAGTAACCCGGCCCGAAGCATAACCAGAAATTATGGTATCGTTTGTGGAGGATCTTTGGGCTAGCATCTTTACCCCGGGTCCCACTCCCACCCTGCTCGTCGCTGCCAACGCCACCTTCGCCGCACTCCAACTGGTTCTGTTCCTGCTCCTTCTTGCTACCCACAGCATCCACTTCGTTGTCCTCTCCGTCCTCTCCGCGTCATTATGGTGGTCGATCAACTGGTTTGCTCAGGAATTGGCAGCGGTGCAGAAACAAGAGGCTGAGAAGGGAAAGACGCAGTCGAAGGAACTGCTCACGGAGGAAGACAACGATGACAAGAGGAAGTCGGAAGTCAGTCGGAGGACACCAGGAGCTCTTGACAGCACGGAAAGTGACACCGAGACCGAGAGTTTGATGGAGCGTAAAATCTCTGCGGTATCCGCTGCTGCTCCGCCGTCCACCACCACTACCGCCCCTACTGCGGCTACTCTTCAACCCCCGGAGCAGCAAGGAGGGATTCGGAAACGGCCCAGCATGAGCGGAGAGAGCTCCGGGTATGTGAGCACGGATAGTGAATGGGAAAAGGTGGATGACAAAACCACTGCGTAGGCATAAGTTCTGTTTGGATAAAAATTGCGCGGCCTGTTTTGCACTGCTCGAGTGCCGCTCGCAGGCATGACACTCTTAAAGATACTTTCCGTATCAGATGATATAACTATATGTTTGACGTGCATTTTGGTTTGCGTGTACCGACAGATACCCCATAGATGACGACTCTGCTTATGCACCGTTGGTAAATGAGTTTCACTGGTGATAACTCGCTCAGAGACTTACGTTCGTTATGCCAGTCCGGAGAGAATATAAACATCACATTATCAAACTTGTAATTGACCATGACCACTTCACTCATAGCCACAGCTATGCGAAAACTCACACAACAGCGATAACGGAAAGAAATCATACTTTATAAATAAAGGTCAAAACTACACACAAATAGAGAAAGGAAAAACAGGGCCCCTGGATTCCGATTTCCGCAGCACACGACCAGCGAGAACTACCAAATCAACGGAAAACACCAAACAGATTTCCGAACGTTTCCAACGCTCCCGGAAAACAAAAACAAATAATGAACGTTACCACCTGCTGACAATTTGAACTCAGTCCCGTATACGTCAGTTCAAACATACAGAAAACGATTGAATGCTTGAATGATTGAGCAAGTCCCGACCTGGTCCATTCCCAGAACCTTGTCCCTCGAATATATATATATATCCATCAAACGAGCTTACACGCCCCCGGCGGACAATATCCATGATCGCACGCGAAACTACACAGTCCCTTATATGAATCGTCTAGTCCATCTGCAGGGACACCTCTCTGGCCTGTGGTCGGTGGCGTCGGGACTGAGGCGCCATAGGCATTGCAGGTGCAGGGTCCCGAGGGACAATAGCCGTAGTGACAGCAGAAGTCGCAGAGGCCTTTGTGATTGCCTTGGCCTGTGCCACCGGTGCAGACCGTTCCTGGGGGTTGGTTCGGTGGAGGGTTGTTGGTTGGTGGTGGGTTTTGGGTTGTGGTAGGAGGAGGATTTGGGGGAGGAGGATTGTTTGTTGGAGGAGGGTTTGTTGGAGGGTTGTCTGTTGGAGGGGGGTTTGTTGGAGGGTTGGTCGGGGGATTGGGATTGATGGTTGATGGAGGAGGAGGAGGTGGTGGTTTTAGGGAAGGTCTGGCTTCACATTGGACCTTGAGGCCTTGAGAGAAGCGGGAGAGACTGTCTGGTTGGAGGCTGTCCATGGGCTCTGGGGGGAGCATCCCGACTAGTAATAGTAGTGAGAATTGGTTGTCAGTGGGACTGAGGGAGCATATCAAGGTGAGTTATATGTTTGGCGATGGTATGGAACTTACCGAAGGCGTTGAAGTTATAGATACCACAGACACACCCGTCTATGATATCCTTGGGACTCGTCCCGGCCAGGACCATCTTGTCGTCGCGGACCACGGCGAAGCTCTGCTTTCCGACGCCCATGGGGGCTTTGAAGGCTGTGGCTCCGGCTTTGGCCTCGAAGACTTGTTGGCTGTTGCCCGAGGAGATCTGGATATTGGCGGGGGATTTTAACATGGAGACGATGAAGACCACGTCTTCCATGGTCTCCCAGCCGTTGGGCCGGCCCATGAAGTAATTGCCGCTGCTGTTGTCTGCGGGAACCATGCAGGTGTCGGTGGCGTCACAGTTTACGCCGCGGGGAGCGGGTCGATACCAGTAGATCAATTGTTCGTCCTTGATATATTCGTTGACAGATGAGGCGCCCGCCTTGTAGGCGGCTATGAAAGGCCGGGCCAGTTCCATCCAGCCGTTGTGTGGCCTATCGATGTTAGTTAGTAGTAGTAGAGCGGCGATGGGGGAAACGCTGGTCTGGGAGCTTACATGTCATTGACATATTTGGAGCATCCATCATCTGTATGGGGGGAGGCCAGAGGGGCAATGTAATGGGATTCACCGTAGTCATTCCAGGTGACAATTTCGATGAAGCGTGGCTTGAGCTTCAGCATCTCGATCCATCGCTCATACCAGAGATTGTCCGATGGAAAGACCCAGTTTTTGCTATATGGGACTTCGGGACCAAAGTGCGTGGAGAACCAAGGCGAGACGGCTGAACTATAGAATTAGCTCTCGACTAGGACGGCATAACTTAGGGTAGAGGAAGTTACTCACGAGCGATATAGGGTTTACCTCCCAACGCATTCATATACTTCCTATCACCATCCTGCACGGTGACGAGGTGACCTGGCTTCGGTGCCTTGTTGTTACCATCATTGGGCCAGGCCATCCAGTTCAGCAGAGCATCGACTTTGGAGATATCAGCACTCTCCGGTCGATGGTAATTAGGAGCCCAGTAGATCGGCCGGCCAGCAGCAGAACGGATGGCGTTCACATCCACTCGGTCACCAGCAAAAGATGAGACGAAAATCTTGCCGTCCATCATGAGCTGTGCAGGCTTTCCCCCAAACTTGGCAATCTTCTGCCCAACTTGAGAGGCCTCCGAATCTTCCTTCCACCAGTTGAAGTCAAATGATATGAACACCTTCATGTCATTGTTCGCGGCCGACTGGTACGCAAACTCCAACTGTGTATCTGTGAAGGGATCAACACGGTCTACGCCAATGTTGAGAGCAAAGGCGTCGATCCCTAGTTCTTTCGCGCGTTTCATGTCACTGTCGAAATCGGCAGCTGACTTGCGGTTGCTGACGATCCCGATCTGCCAGGTTGTTAGGGCTCTCTGTTGGGTGCTTGATTATGAGGAAATGGCCTACCATGAAATGTGCAAAGACCATTCGGTCAGAGGCTTGTGGCTGGCTGGTCTCATTGCCTGCGCTCGGTAGTGCGTCCACCAGGGAGCTGAGCACGGAGGCTATGCCTAGAACATAGGGCTTGATCTTCATGTTGGATAGTGGTCAAGCCTTGTCTGGATAAGGTAAAGGAAGAAGGTCTATGATGACGAGAGTTTCGTATGCTCATATCCTCTCTTATATGCTTTTCATCAAGGTCACGGATGCCCTTCACAGATGCAACCATAATGGCTGTAACCTTGAATAAGGGATAAAGGATATTTCCTGAAAGACCCGGGGGGGGGGGGTGGTAAGAAGGCAACGGGACCGAGACATGGTCAGCTTTGAACAAAGAGTGGCATAATCTCCGACAGGACTAGTGGATAAGACCCTGTAAGACAATCTTCGCGTTCAAGATGACCACGGGTGGAGTTTATTCGAGGTATCAGGCCGCACAACCGGTATAATGAGGTCAGTGAAGGAGCGATGTTGAAATTAGATTGGGCAGTTCTATATGCTTCAATTAGCCGCTGGTCTGCAACTGGAGGGGCCGTTGGATAGACACCTAAAGCCTAATCGTTTAATGTTGGGCGCTAAATGACTAGTGCACAATAGGCACCCTATGAAAGGTAGCTCAAAGTGTTTCAAAGTTGCGGGGTATAAAGAAAAATCGAAGAAACAGCGTCTCACAGGGAAGATTAGGTGTGACTTTCATTTTATGTCGAAAGACTTAAGGTTGAGGTGCTGTTTTGGGACATCGGCTTAGGGTTGACATATCACATCGTATCGGTAACAGACATAATAAGCCAATGGGCATATGTGGGGAAGCAGTAAATCGATTGAATGAAGTTAAATAAAATAAAAAGATCAACAGTACTGCAGATCATCGGTATCAGTCCGAGAGTATGATTCGTTTATAATCATATTGTCGTACCACAAACGAATGCGGTACACGGCTCTCATACCTATCTTCTAATAGCCCTTAAATGCCGCATAACTTTTCGCTGCCGAATACCAGATGGAGCCTCTGCACGTATCTGTATTCACATCAAGCGCACAATACCAACAGGATCCGAATGCGTTTGTCCTATGTTCATTGCCGAAGTGACCCGAGCACACGGCGCACATCCACCACCAATAACCCGCATCCCGCCAGTACACCAATGCAGTGCAACTCGAGCACATCACCTGCGCTATCCGCAGCCAAGCCTCAATAAGTGTAACCCACTGCTACCGGCTTGGGGCAAGAACAGGATGCACGCGGTCTGGTGAGTTCTGCGCATGGCTGGGAGGAGGGAACAACCTCGCGCAATTGGGTTCAGATTAAACCTAGATTATACTTCTAGAAAGTGCGCAACTATTGGCGATTTGCTAGCCCAGTTACATAAGTGCGTTGACGATTCAGACATTGGTCACTTTTTCAATTGTCCCGAGTGTGATCTCGAAGCTTGTCGTGCATATGTTGTCCATCTCTGGGGTAGGCTATCCAGTCATTCGTAGTGTATATACCCGAGACCGCAATATTCACTGCAACCACGGGACAGATAACTACTAGGAAAGCCAAGAGGTATCATTCTCCTTTGGGCAGTAACTGTTGCTATTCACAAATGTAGCCCCTCCACTTCTGTTTCAATTCGAAGAAAAATTTTGAGCGTTCACGCGACGCTGTCCGGTGTAGCATTCTAGAAAAGCCTCGTCATCAGGCGTGCCTGCTGACTAGTGGACCATATGCAATCGAAGCGTTTGCCGAATGTGGCGTGTTGATCTGTAACTTGGAACTGAATTTCGGGTCTTCTTCAACGTAATTATCCTCTCATTCGTTACATTAGATTTGGGTTGTGATAGAGTCAGTGCCCAAGCAACCGGTGTGAAGGGCTGGAACGATCGAATGACTTTCTTGGGTATCTCGAATTGAGGATTCATTTTCTCAATATTGTAGTAAGGGCTTCAGACACTTACGCATTAGAATATCGTTGGCGGCCACCCGGCTGCATATACCACATTGACATGAGCCCAGCATGAATATGTGGTCATGCATGTTTCCACGCACGCCATGGTGTTATGTATATCAATTTAAATGGAATCTAGGCTCAGGCCGGAACACTTAGATGCACTATTAGGGTCCACGCATCGTGGCCTTGATCTATGACGCCACATTGTCGGACTCTCTGGACCTATCGCCTCCGTTTCATCGGATATTGCCGAGCTTGCATTGTGTTACAAAATGAAAGAACAGAGAAAGAAATGGTAACCGATTACTGAGACAATGGCGTCTATAATTATAATCGATATCTTTGTAATATAGACACGTCTAGAGCCAAGATTCTAGTGTTAACTCTGTCCACTCTCTTAGTAGGATGTCAGATGAGAATGCACAGTACATCATGACAGACACACCTTTATATCTCATCGCCGGATCGTACCCGGTGGAAAATCGAGCTAACCCTGCTAGCAATTTGTCGATATGTAAACCTGAAAAAGGCTGTGGTCGGTGGAATGCAACTGACAATGAAAACAACCCACATTTCGGTCCTATATTGCGTCAATCCTGCATATTGTAACTAACCAGGTCAGATATTGTACATACTGGTTCCACAGGATCAATTCAGCCAATGTCCCTTGAGTGATATTTAGTACGAGTTACTTCAATTCTAAGATCAGTGCCTCCTGTGAGTACTTGCATGTAGTATCTTCAAGTTTGGTCAAAAGCTTCAGTTTAACTGTCTTAACTATCGTACAGGCTCCTGCCCTATTTTAAGTCAATAAACACCGTTGCTTTGCTGGAGGGCTCCTTACATTACACCAAGCCCCATGAGGACAGAAAGGCCAATTTTGGTTGCGTTTGAAAACGCCTGGACTTTCCGGAATATAAGCACGGGGTAAACCGCTAAAGCAAAGTCACAGAATGCCGAGTAGGCTATACCAACAGTTGATTAACCCCAGATTCATTTTCTTTGGCGTAAGCTACTCACGTCCCTGAATATATCCGAAGATCTGGACTCTTTTCCGCCCAGGACAGTGTCCGGGTATCCGTTCATCCCATAGCTTCTTTGCAGGGGAGCACTGAACAAAGACTAATATAGCAGCAATCATATTGACGATGAAATTGCTTCCGGCAATAAACCAAAGGAACACCCCTTGTACTTTACTTCGTGCTTCTGGAGATGGTCTATAAAAGCGACAAGGGCAACCTTTCCAAGGCCAATAGCAATGAGAGCCAAGAACTGATTCGTCCAACCAAACAACAGAGCATCCTTGTCGTTATTGTTTGTTAGGGTAGCTGAGGGAGTTCTGAGGCCGTATGCTGCTCCGGCTGTGACCATAGCCATGCTTGCAATGCCAATAGTCTGGCTGTCGTCAGTCGTCAGGCTATCTGCTTAGCAGGGGGACATACAAAAGTAATTATGGACAGAATTAGGTCAGGTCCAGTATATTGGACAATTTTCCAGGCTGTGAAGCACCTAGCAGACAGTAGAACCAGTGCCAAGCCAGTCTCAACCCAAGTAACGATGAAGAACGGCTGATCAAAGCCAGCATGTGGGTAGTCACTCATTGGCCACTATGCCCCTGCGCAACAGCTACCTGTAACAGTAAAGATATGGCAGTATAGAAACGCAGTGTCTGCAATTGAACTTCAACATGGGAACTATGTCTCCGCCCATGGGGTGGCAGCCAGAACTACGCCTCCCATGCCAAGAGGAGGTTTTCTGCACTGGTATGTAACCGTCCCTGGCCAGTCTAGCTAAATTTACCCCTAGAGGCATTCTTGGAGTAAACTCAACTAGTCATGTTTGCGAGGGTCTCCCGTGGAAAGCGAAGAATCCGTCGAAGGCGTGGTGGAGGTCATGTGATGACGTCGATGAGATGGAGAACGTCATGAAACTTTGCTTACTTCGAAAACTTTTACACACCTCAATCTAGGCACCCGAGGGTAATCCAAGGATCTCCATGGCTACTACCTGTACGAGGGCCACAACATCCGTTTTAATTCAAAGCTAACCTAACCCAAGAGGGAAGCATATGCCGATGCATATTGGGAGCTCAAGACATTGTGTCGGCCTAATGGCGGCGAATCAGCCATTCACCGAACTTGGGGCATCTATTTCAAACGATGAGACATGTACTTGACATGAGAAACATTGCTAAGATTGAAGAATGCTTCTAGAGGCATGATCCCGATACTACGCCGATCACAACTGGAGACGATGTATGTACATCACTCCACTCGGCCCCGATCCTGGCTTAACTTAAAACACAGTCAAGAATAATACTCCGCTGGATAAGAATATTTAGACTCAACTAAGACTCGGGGGTTCAGCCCGATGGAGTTTCCACCAGTGACATCCAAGAGAATGCCGGCACGGGCAGATGTCGGGATGATCACTTTTAGTCCCTCCGACGGAATATCGATTTCAATTGGATCCGCCGCGCTGAATCCCGGAAATTAATACCGGATCTGCTTCATGATGGATCCTTGCCCTGCGAAAACCGTTGCGAGACTCGAGTAATCTCCGACTGATCGGCCCGTTGCCTGCTAGTTGATGTAATGTAACCCATTGCTGATCGGTTCACGGCATTATCTACATTGCGTCCAGGTCGCGCTATAAAAGCAGCAGAAGTTCACACTTTGAATGAGACAGCCAACAAACACCTACGATTATTTCCTGTTGTCTAGAAGCCACCTTCATCATGCGGAACAGCTTCCTTTTCTCCCTCAATGCCATTGCAGGCGCTGTTGCGCATCCGTCGTTCCCTGTCCACAAGAGGCAGTCGGATGTCAACGCCTTCATTGAGAAACAGACCCCCATTGCCAAACAGGGCGTCCTCAATAATATCGGTGCCGATGGCAAGCTTGTTGAGGGGGCTGCCGCGGGTATCGTTGTGGCCTCCCCATCCAAAAGTGATCCTGACTGTTCGTACAATTTTATCCATAAGACCGCTTCATATGACCACAGAACTGACTGTCCTTAGACTTCTATACCTGGACGCGTGATGCTGGCCTGACCATGGCAGAAGTGATAGAGCAGTTTATTGGGGGAGACGCGACTCTCGAGTCTACAATCCAGAATTATGTTGACTCTCAAGCGAAGCAGCAGGCAGTCTCCAACCCATCGGGCAGTCTGTCGGACGGCTCGGGTCTTGCTGAGCCCAAGTTTTACGTCAATATCTCTCAATTCACTGATTCTTGGGGCCGACCTCAGCGCGATGGGCCAGCTTTACGTGCTTCCGCCTTGATCGCATATGGCAACTCCCTGATCGCCAACGACAAGCAATCTGTTGTCAAAGCCAACATCTGGCCAATTGTTCAGAATGATTTGTCTTACGTAGGCCAATACTGGAACCAGACCGGGTTTGATCTTTGGGAGGAGGTCCAGGGCAGCTCCTTCTTTACCGTTGCTGTGCAGCACAAGGCCTTGGTGGAGGGCGACGCGTTTGCGAAGGCTCTCGGAGAGGAATGTCAGGCGTGCTCCGTGGCGCCGCAAATCCTCTGCCATCTGCAGGACTTCTGGAATGGGTCCGCTGTTCTTTCTAACCTACCTACCAGTGGGCGCAGTGGGCTGGACACCAACTCGCTTTTGGGTTCCATTCATACCTTTGACCCAGCTGCCGCTTGTGATGATACAACGTTCCAACCCTGCTCCTCTCGTGCTCTCTCGAACCATAAGATTGTCGTTGACTCTTTCCGGTCAGTCTACGGTATCAACAATGGACGTGGAGCCGGAAAGGCCGCGGCAGTGGGTCGTTACGCAGAGGACAACTACCAGGGAGGCAATCCATGGTTGGTACACTATCTCATTAATTTCAAGCCTTAAACTAATAAATAAAAGGTATCTTACTACCCTCGTCGCTGCAGAGTTGCTCTACGACGCCTTGTACCAGTGGGACAAACAAGGTCAAGTGAACGTCACCGAAACTTCCCTTCCCTTCTTCAAGGATCTCTCCGGCAATGTCACCACCGGATCCTATGCCAAGTCTTCCTCAGCCTATGAGTCCCTTACAAGCGCTGTCAAGGCCTACGCAGACGGCTTCATCTCCGTTGTCCAGGAGTATACTCCCGAGAACGGTGCTATGGCTGAGCAGTACAGTCGGGACCAGGGCAGCCCAGTTTCGGCGTCCGATCTAACTTGGTCATATGCAGCTTTCTTGAGTGCTGTTGGAAGGCGAAGTGGCACTGTCCCTGCTAGTTGGGGCTCTTCCACCGCCAATGCAGTTCCAAGCCAATGTTCAGGGGGTACAGTTTCTGGGAGTTACACTACCCCGACGGCCGGCTCGTGGTAGGTAGAATGTCGCAAGACTGTACTTTCCAGTGCGTGTAGTCAACTCTGACCTCATGTCACGGCTGTTATTTTTGCCTGTTTAGATGCGACCATACTGTGTATCTTGTTATATACTCGTCACTCATTATTATTGTTTCAACAACAAAAGATTATTTTGATTTATACTATCCAAACAATATCATTTTACAGTTGCAACGCCAACTAAACCATTGTATATAAATCTCCGGCACCATGACCTCTCACCATATCCTGTTCAAATCCAAATAATCTCACAATAACCACACAAACGAACACAATTCATCCATAGTTAGCCATTCAAGTTGTAGAAAAGTGGGTCCAAAAGTGACGTTACCCCCTTGCAGCAACGACCATGTCGATCGATGCTCCCCACCAGCCCTGCTGCCTTGCACAGCCTGTTGCTGCCTTCATCTTTAAAGCACAAGGCCCGTGCCTAACCTAAAAAACATAAGCTATAAAAGTATTAAGTATATCCAGATCTTTAATCTCACACAAGAAATTCACTCAATCATTTAACTTATTAATCATTTAATCAAGCACAAGCACTTTATCAATCAATCAACTAATCAATTAACCCATAACAATGAGCAACTGGCCCATTTTCATCACAGCCCCAGAGGCCCCAATCAAGGTATGTCCTATACTATTTATACTCACACCCAACCCAACCCAACCATAACCCTAACTGCTTCTTCTAATCCCCCAAGAAAACCACCAATACCACCCTCCCCAACAACCCACTAAATTAACAAACCACAAACAGACAATAAACAAAGCCCTTCTCCACCTAACAGACTACGAATTCAACTGTCCTCCCCAATGGACCCTACTACTCACCAGGGCCCCAACGGAACCAACAACACCCAGCATCCCACCACTCCCCATCGAAGAAACAGCCCCAACTGTCACCACCAATGAATTCGCCTTCAAATCCCCTGATGAGATATACACTTACCTCGACGATCCAGTCACCCAAGGGCTATTCAAGGATAGGAATCTATCGACTTCGAATTGGTTGATCATTGACCAGAAGGGTCTGGAGATGGAGTCTTGTTTGTTGGTTGAGTATATGCTTCCTGAGGATCGGGAGGATGAGGAAGGGAATGGAGAGGGATATCGGATGTGTCGGATTCCATGGACGAGGGCGTGGGGTATGTTTTGTAATCTGGATATTGGGAATATGGGGTTTGAGGAATGGGTGGATGAGGAGAGGGGACCTGTGGAGGAGGATTTTGGGGCGTGGGCTTGGGTGGGACCTTTTGAGGGGGAGGATATGGAGGATATGGAGGTGAAGAGGAAGAGGGAGGAGGCTGTTAGGAGGGGGGTTGAGGAGGGGTGGGCTTGATATTTCTTTTCTATTCTCTTTCCTTTGAAATGATCGAGCGGGAGTGAGGAATGTTGTCTTCCGGGCTGAGCTAGCTATATACAATGTATACAAGGATTTTATTCATTATCAATATACCATGAGGCTATCTTTGAACAGCGTTTTAAGGTGATTTCTCGCTCGACCATAATCATATTCTTTTCAAATTGCGGCCATCCAAGACTACACTACGGCATTTGCAGAGCAATCCCTGCTTATAATAGCGGTCTTTAACCGAGTGTTGACATTGGATTCACTCCGCCGCGCTTTTCGGCATAGCTTTCTCTAGGAAAGCAACACTAATTTACACAGCCTCCTCCTTCTTGTTAGATTGACCCCATAAACGGAACGTTTACTCACTTGGCTTACCCTGTGCCTGTTCCAACATCGGCAATCCGCAGATCCGGGTTCTTGGTTGGGATGGAGGGATGGATGCGATATTTAAACAATTTGGACTACTAGATAGTGTTGCAGGTTGATACTGTTCGTGCTAGTGGTTAGTATGTGGGCTGAATCCTCTACTAAGCGAGGAACTTACCGGTTGTTGTCCAGGTAATCCCGGGTGAAAACGTAATCCGGAGACGAGGCCATCCTGCGCGTATTAATTTTATCTCTCAGTTTTGGGTATCCCAAGAGTCCGAAGGGGGAGGGAATAATGAAGAGAGAGAGAAAGCAAGCTTAAACGTTGTGGATAACTGGAGGTGTGAACCAGGAAATGAAGGAAAGCCGTTTTGTTTCATGCTTTACTAAACAACTAAACAATGAGGGAATGCATGGGGCGGCACTACTATCTTAGCGGCTTAAACGTATAAATAACAATGCTTGAATTCCTTTAGTGCTTATGACGAGGTTGGGGCTAGCAGGGTTTAACGGGAATAAGCAACCGGTCACCCACTAAATCGCCCAGACCGACTGTTGGTTTGACATAGCGCAGGTTACAACGTTACAGCGTCAATACATATGCTCTCGAGGAGACGGAGGGGGGGGCGCCAAAGAAGAGCCCCACTGGGATTTGAATCTTCACTATTGCTATCTTGGTCAACCAGCTAAGCCCTTTGCTAGACAGCTCTTACACGATATACAGCAGCTCACAGGTTAGAGATGAATGCTAACTACTTAAATTGGGACTACCTGGGTGGCATCATAAGCTGGCCTGATCCTTATCGAGATTATCCATCCTCTAAAAGGCTGTTGTCTGACATGTCGCTCATTCCACATTCAATTCAGGAGAAAGGAGAAAGGGTATCTCAACGGAATATTACGGTCAAAAACCCACCAGACGTGGGGCTCTTAGATGCCCCAATGAAGACATTTCCATTCACCAGATGCTTCCCTTAGTCCTTAAGGAGAGTGAATTTGCTAACTCCCTTCTCCACGCTCCAATTTCGGTCCCGTAATCTAGGACAGACAAGAGCAAATTCTGGAAAATCCCCAATTATCGTCTCATGTTCGATATCAAACCTATCCCGTTTGGCTATTCACTGCCAATAATCCCGTCGGTGTATTGGCCTGTTCGTTTTCGGCAGCTGGTAAGTATATCTATCCTCCTCGGTGGCCACCCGGACCCGTTGATGCGAAACATCATCAATGCCCTGGGCTACCTAGATTCCACACCCGGCTTCAGCTGTGACAATTAAACAATTCACCTCGAAAGATAAGAGCAAAAAAATTCATAGAATATAAAGATGGGCCCCACTCCTTGACTTGTGTTAGGCAGTGCAGGTCTTAGGGCGACTTGGAAAAGAATGTGCTTCGAATGTTAGATATGTTCGACCCTGGTGTCATACATCTAATTGATGGTCCGAAGACTGACAGCCCGATTCATGTCCTTACTTTAACGCTCGACTATCATCGTATATTTGGTGAATATCAGATTTATTTCGAACCCGCAGACGTGCCTTTCAGTACAAAATTGATTCAACAGAGTGGTAGTCCTTTCTTACGTGATCCGCTTTTCCCTGTCAGGCGCACTTTGACCCTTAGTCCTACTCGTGACAATTGATAAGCCCTACCGACGGCTTCTTGATGTTCATCGTGCCATGCAGAAGTACAATAGCGTGGAAGGTTATCAGTGCCTCCAATTTCGGTTTGGACAAAGCGGGGTAGATTGAGAGAAAAAGACGAGGCTGACTCCATACCAGGAAAGCGGGTTTGCTAAGGTAAAAGCACCACTGCCTTATTTGAGGCGTACTAGTATGTTTTCAAGTGCGATGGGTATTATTGGTCGCGATACCTGATCATCTGCCATTAACCTGCATGGCACCTTCGTGTTCAACCTATCTCCAGACTCCCTCCTACATACCAATCATTCAGTCCCACGAGTGGTTGTGCCTCATGTTCATTGGTGGCCTCGCCAAATCTCATCATGCATGGAAAGTCGTAGATAGTCATCGTAGAGGTTGATGCCCAATTCTGATTCTTTTCTGCCAAAAAGCTGGGGAAAAGTATTTAGGTATATATAGCCTGACATACCCCCTTGGAGAGAGTTCTAAGATTCCTTTCCTGCTACACATCTTACGAAAGACTTGTTACTCTCTTCCGGAAACAGTTCGGTATTGTCGAGGGCTTGCTACTTTGCGTGGAGTCGTGGGTAATTCACACTGGGACTGATATTGATTTGGAATCAGGATGTCTCGAGGTAGAAGCCGTTTGTTTTCCCCCAGGGAAAGGTGCTGCGGGAGGTTGATGGGGGGATTCGACTGCAGGAGGAACAAAAACGGCAACAGAAATAGGTCTTACCGCGACTGCGAAAGATGTGGGCGGTTATGTGCGGATGATTGGGAAGGATGGCGACCCAATAATCCTCCTTGCGAATGTGGTTTTCCCAGTCGGATTCAACATCAGCAGAAGGGAAAACATTTCACCTATCGATGTCTTTATGAGCGGCGCAGGAGGGGCCGCAAATGTCGTGTCAGGGAGCGGATTTAGGACTTAATATTTCCTTAAGACTATGTTGCTGTGACGGGTGTTGGGATATTATCTTGCGTTGTCTTGCATAGAATGAAAGACAGAAAGTGGAAAATGTGTTCTATGTTGATACTTTTGGTAGCCCTGCTCAGTCATGACCTTAGTAGTGGTGCATTTCATACACTGCATTATGCAATATCTCCTATCTGTGTTACAGTAAACCTTTTTCTATGACTCATATCTGTGTCGGATTACTTTAGACCCCTAGGCTTTTAGACTTCAAGGTCGGACGCTGCACACAAGAATGTAGGTGAACCTGACTGATTTCCTAACCAGCTTCGATACCTCGCCACTATGAATGCGTAGCGGGCCTCCGCCAGAACCGTGTCAGGAAATACAAATAATGGTAGCTCATTAGAATCGAGCTTGTCCTCGGTAAAGTTTTCAACATTCTTTCTCTCTCATGATAGTCTTCTCAAGGTGAGATACTTCTGTCAGCTAATATGAGAAAAAAGCCGACTAGCCCCAGTACAATAATTTAGCATTCGAGGTTTATGTAGTAGTCTTATTAGGCCACTTTTAGCAGACTTTTAACTCGACCCTCTTCTACTTTTTCTCTTTCTTTTAAGTTATGTTCTTTCCAAAAGTAGAGTTCTATGGTGAGGTTCCTGTACGGCATTGACACATATCCTTTCTTGGTGAGATTTGCATGATGTCTGAAGTCTACATCATCGATTCCATCTTTGCTAGACCTATACGCTTTGGTGGGACACTGGGTAGATATCGAAAGAGTATCCATGGTTGAAAATGCTCACGTATTATGACTTCTGATATTCAGCTTCACGTCGTAACTCAGCAAGTTAAGCATACCTGTGTAACGGCTTCCATTGACATGCTACCAGAATGTAACGGCTTCCATTACTCAATCTAGTGGATGAGGCTTTTTATCGTCCTGAAGTTGTTCTTCCCATGGTTCAGTTCTATCTGACTGTCTAAGGATAATGTGACTTGATGACATGTGACAACCTGCGTCGCAGGATATCATTTTTCTGGTGCAGGTCGGGTCATCGTCGTTGCAACTGTGGATTTATTTACTAGGAAAGCAATATCCCGTAAAGAATCCTTCACATTCACCGCGTTCGTAAATACGGTTGTAATTGGCGTTCATCGTCCTCGCTATCTGTATCCTCCCTGACAGAGCCATTCTATACATCGTCCTCGGTGGACTCATTCTCTGCATTAAATCCATTCTCTCCACCTTTTTCAATACACTTATTTCCCTTTTCCTGTTAAACAGGTTCGTTATATTCAACTGTTACAGTCGCTTGACCCACTTCATCCGCATGACTACCATCGCCGCGCTGATGCTCCTCTGGAAAAAACGCGCTCTGCGGAAAGTGTGGGATTATTGGCGTAATGATCATAATTGACTGTGTAGTCAGTACATATATTAACAAGAATTCTTAAATACCAAATCAAGTGTAGAAACTCCTTAAGTAATCGCCCTCCCCTCTACCTCTAGCGCGTAGTTCATATCCCCAAAGCACGAGTCAATGCCCACTGCATGTTCAGCAATTCGAACAATGGTAAAGGAAGTACCTCAGTATCAGCCGTTTCGATTGTAATGATATCCCCCGCATAAATTTGCGTTACTGTTTCGCGATTAAACAGCTTTATTCGTTTGCCCACAAAATTTAGGTTGGATTGGAGAAAGGTTGCCGTCTTAACATCAATACTCTTCAAGTATTTTATAGATCGGTGGCTAGAAAAATCTGACTTTCAAGACTTTGCGATTGGCTGACAGCCCGATAAGCTGTATACCAGAAGCGGGCTATCATGTTGCCGACAATGTATAAGACAGCCAGTAGTATCGGTGACAGCCTTGTCATATATAACTATTGGCGCCTCTCTCCCTTAAAGGGTGAAAGTTCTTTGCAAGGGGTGTTTTGAGCATAGTTACACAGGTACCTGATGGCTCTGTACATGCTTTTGTTGAAGCTCTCTCAGAGAACCTCGTAATCGTTGACTGAAGCAATACTGGCAGCCCAATACCGAGCCTCGTCCGACATAGAACCCTTCTCTTCGAGATAACCCGCCTCCTGATAAACTCCTTTTGATAAATTGCGCTCGATTTCGATATCGTAACCGGCGGCGTCCTCATACTCCAAATGTTCGGGGTACTCCTCGTCATCAATAAGGACAACGTCGGCGTACGCGTCCAGGTTGAAGGGAACTTCTTCGGGAATGTTGTGGGGGGTATCGATCAACCACACCAAGGGTTTCCAGAATATTTGTCGCTACCAGGTACTTGCGAAACTGGGAGTGGTAAATAGTAAGAATGACGATGTGATGGCTCGAGATGTGTGGTCTGCGCAGTAGCTAGATGATAAGGTTGCAGATGCCTACCAATCAGGCGTTACCATTCCTACCAGGTATATACAAAAGCGTGTTATATCACCTGCGGCTAGGTACTCCTCTTCCTATCTGTCAGCCCACTTGCCATCCTGGATACCAGGCATAGCGGGAAAAGAAAAAAAGGTAGAGGGTGGCGGAGGGTAATAATAAAAGAGCTTGTCGCTTGGTAGAGAGATCTCCTGGAGTTCCTCAGCAGTGCTGTGATGATGTGGAAGCAGGTTGTCAACAGACCCACTAGCTGGCCGTGGAAGAACTGGTGTACTAGTTTAAGCGTACTCCGCGAGGCACACTGGCCTATTGTATTGTACTCGCCGGTGTCTCTTGCATCACATGGGTAGAAATCGATGTCAAAATGCGTGTCATAGCCGAGCCAAAGACCTAGGCGGCTTAGGTGTGGATGGTAGTCATAGAAAAATCTGTAGACCAGTTCGAAAGTGCTGCGAGACACGTACTGGCTGACATCCTGTGTTTCTAGTTCGCCGGTCTTTTGGTTAGAGTCTCCCGTATCTGCGAAAGGCCTTCTACATATTCCAGGGACTAATTGGATCGGACCTATTCATCTAGGATCGTAGGGGCTGTAGTCCCACTTCCGCACTCTAAAGATACGCCAATCTCCAAAGCAGCCGTTAAAAGCCCTACTGTCGTGAAGGCCCTGCGAGACAAATAAATGAATGGTTCGCTCATGAGACAAGGTTTGCACAGGGGAGCTCATCGGGTTCTATGGGCATTGTGGTCTCGCTTGTTCTCGATGAGCGAGCAAGCCATGCCGTTAAAGCTCCCATAGAAAGATCGGGTATGGATGTGAATATCAAGCTTCCAAGTGCAATAGATAGAGAACATACATTGTACAGGAAGCCGAGTCCTCTTATTCTGCGTCCATGACATAAACTCGCATGGATAGGGTGTTTTTGGTTCGACCTTCTCCCCTAGATGGTTGTAGCGCTCCATTGGCGCAATGGCTTTCAACCTGGTTCTGACAGATTCTGGCAGAAACTTGACCATAACCTCTGTCATCCGACGACAACCGTCGAAGGTGTAGGTCTATGTCGTATATAAGTATCTGGCTCCTTATATATGATTTGCCATGAAGCTGAAAAGTTGTCGAATTCAATTAGCTTCGATTAACCTACTGCACCAAAGAAATCGACAATCGTTGAGATGCACGACCGGGGACGCTTTCAAGCTATTTATGGCCATAGCCCTAAGTTCGATTTTCGATTCCAGCGCTTGAGCCCTTTCCCGAAGGTATTTGAGATTGCCCAGCCATAACATCCCCTCAATCTTAAAGAATCGACTGACAGCTTGAGGTTTCACTGGACTCCTTGAATATCGGCAATGAGGTTGTTACTATAAGTTAAAACAAATGTTTGTCCCAGATGATATTGCCGTGTTTCCCGGGCATACTCGATGACTCCAAGCTTTTCAGCCACGCTATACCTAAATCTCTCCTCGCTTGAGATTTGCAGTTGAATGACCCACCATCCTAGGGTTTTCATATCTTCCTGAAACTGTTCACCAAATATCATTTAGAATGGTAAGGCTCTCCGAGTTGCCGGGATCAAAGCAAGGCTTCTTTGCTTCATAAGAGATAGAATGTTCATCTGTCGCACGTCGTTCTCCACAAAGATTCTGCTTTTAGTCGACCATATTGCCTTTAGTCAATGTCTGAATACGTTAACGTATCCAATGATGTTCCAAGAGAACGTGAGGACACGGCTCAATAAGACTGTAGGCTTTGTCCTGAAGATGCCGAGTTAAATACACCAAGATGCGACACTTCATAGTCAAGCGCAACCCGTACTGGTATCGCAGAGCGAAGAAAATATTGACATTTCTAGCTGTCTTAGTTATTTGAAGCTCCTTCGCCTGTCGCAGCCAATATATATTCTGTTCTTTTGCTGCTGTATTTCGTAGCACACAGGGCCTGTGTAGACTCCACATATCTGAGGATCTCATTCAGGCTATTACCAGACTCGAAATCGACGTATGATAGCTCACAGCGCTGCCCATTTTATTTCTTTGGGAGGAGGCTTGGTGTCAGGATGGTCTCTGGCTAGATTACGCTACAGGACTATTTATCTAGCAAGTGAACAAAGAGTTTTGCTGCACTACGACTACATAGGGAGGTTGCCTGACCTGCAAGGGTCCTTCACAGTATATTAGTGGCTTATGTAGATAACAGGAACTTCTGGTCGAGATTCAATAGATGCGCCGTTTTTGTCTGGGATATCCTAGTTTGTCTAGCCCAGACGGCACTTCCCTCGAAGAAATCGAACACGTCGCCTCAATTCAATCCATGCACCGAATAGGAGGGTATTCCTTCCAGCCCCCAAATTTAATAAGCATTCCAAACGAATACCAAGAAATTCTCCGGTCGGTCTCATGGCTTACCGGTGTAGAATGGTAAAAAAAAAAAAAAAAAAAAAAACAAAAACAAAAGGGAGATGTAAGAGTTAGTTAAAGGCCCCTCTTTCCTCATTTTTTTGCGCTCTTCACTTTTCTGACCTCTATTGGGAATGCATACGAGTTTCTCGTTCTTTGTTTAATATCGATTCTAGATTCACCAGGTACCTCCGAATATAGAACGGGATAGAGGCAATCCTGCTAAACTCAATATTTCACACCATAAGACACTAAGACACATAGGCGTGACTCCGGACCGATAGAATAGCCCGATGGTCATACATATACTTAAGCCCTATCTGGTCTTCGTTTTTTATATTAATCAATTGCTAATTAACTGAACCATGTAACCATACATAAACTACGCACTTTTGAAAGAGGTTGTGAGTGAATTCCCACTACCTGGCATGTATATAATTTCAGGTCGTTACCGGAGGTTTAATTAACTTGAAGAAATTGCTATAAACCTCCTGCTAAGTTGGCTTTAGTGACTCTTATGTGTTGTTCCCCTTTCCGTTGTTGTTCAGAATTATGCAGAAGCGCAGGGTTTAGGCACAGTATATATATCCGGAAAGATCCGCGAGGTGGCCAGCTACTAGTAATTGCAATTGGGAATCTATAATCAGTCATACTATTACTAGTGACGATATTGCGAATATGCAAGGCCAAGGATCGACTGGATTGCCCGGCTCCAAGATTTTACTAGTAAGTAGTAGCCTAGTCGGTAGGTATTAGTGATTTACTCCCATTCCTTCAGGGTTAGTTTTTCTCCTTCGTGGCCTCGTGAAGGATTTTCTGTTCCTGTTCCTTCTAATCTTAATTTTTATTCAAACTATTCCTGTTTTATCTGCACATTGTCATCTCTGGTTATATGATTTGTCATTGTTCTCCTGGAATTAGCAACAAGTAGCGGTCAACGAGGGCTATAATAGCACGCAGTTAATTTATCTTCCGGGTCCGCTGACACATTAGATGAAACCGCAGTTCCCAGACATGGGGTACGTAGTGCTAGTAGTAGTAACAAGTAACAACCAAGACTCGGGGATACTTTAGCATTAAGAATTTTTGAACCCACTTAATAAGAATGGAAAGTAAAAACCATTTACCTAGCCTGGTAAGTCCTGGCACATGACGTAGCAGAAGTGGACCAGGGGGGCCGACGCAGGGGTACCGAAATGGGAATCCCACGTGGGTGACACCTTTCGTCTTCCAACTTGAAACCAATCGATGTGATTGGGCCTTTCCCCATATGGAGAGGCATCTCCCCCTGATTGAACATGGACAGTAGGTCCTAGTCGAGTAATCGGTAGGTAGTACTACATTAGTAGGGAACTCGGCGGAACTTACCGCAGTCCAGGAAACGAAAAAGAAAATAAAAAGAAAATAATAATATATTATACTGAACCATTTTTAGTGTAGCAAACCATTGTTTGATACCTGTCGTCGGTGGGTTGGACTATTCCCGGTTCCAGTATAGTTGCTGGAACCCGTCCATCGATCTTCAACGGTTTGGCAGATCAGCTACCTAATAGGGTAAGGTTTTACGACTCAATCGGAGACCGAATGTCTTTCTTAAGGGCTGAACTGGGAATTGTGTGGGCTCATGAATGGAAAGGATGAGTGTTCCTTCCCGGACCCGGAGCATGAGACCATGGTACGCGCTGTGGAAAAGACTAGGCGCTTAGCGACCACATTGTCGGGACCACGGTTAGGGGTGAGACAATTATTAGTGGTAGTATTCCAATTGGTGTCTGTACTTTTTTTTTTTTTTTTTTTTTGTTTCTTTTTCTCTTCCTTTTTCCCTTTCCCCT